CCACAACGTTTACAATCAGAGTACGACGTTTCGCCAGTAATTACAACCAGCCTCATCAGGCGAAAGCCAGATTTGTGGAGAAGCCCTCTTGTTTGGTGGTGGCGGGTTTAACGACACATTTATATATTTACACGATCTAACCCAACAAAAATCACCTGTATTGTGAAAAAAATAAATCACCTGAGAATGGACCTTAAAAAAGGCTTTATTCTGGAAATAATATGCGAAGTTTTGAGCAATTGTCCTTAATCATAACAAATGAATTTAGGCTTTGTTCTCAAATGTCAGAGTATTTGGATCCTTTACATTTCCACTTCGTTGAGCTGTCACTTGCGGCCAGGTCGCTTCTGAAAAAAAACAGCTATATTGCTCAAGTGGGCCTTACCTGGTAAAAGTTAAAGTTTAATAGTTTTTAGTTTAATTTATCTCTGCTCAATTTATGAATTATATAACCACTCTTGCTTGGCCAAGCAAGCAAGCTTTAGTCAAGCCCCTTGGTGGCAGCTTCATCTCGGCCCCTTCTTCCAATGTTCAGCAACAATGGTTGAATGTACATTCAGTAAGTTATCTAACAACTGAAAGGGGTCATCAGTATTTCATGGCTTTTTAAAATAACTTCTCCAATGCTACCTTGCAAATATAATCTAACAAAACGCGCTATTCTTACCACAGCGTTGCCTCATCTTGTTCTCTCCGAGCCCGAGACATTATTTAATGAAGACGTAGGTCTTTAGCGATTAACAAACAATAATTGAAATAACAAAATACCAGCCCACCCCCATTCCTCGACGCGGCCACAGTGCCTCCCTTTTATACCTGACCCCCCCCCTAACCCCGCCCCCTAACCTCTACCCCCCCCAACCCCTCCCCTCACCCCAACCCCACCCACCCACTCCGCCCCACCCCTCCCCCTACCTCCACTCCCCCCAACCCCTCCCCCCTACCTCCACTCCCCCCAACCCCTCCCCTCACCCCAACCCCGCCCACCACCACCCCCACTAACCCCGCCCCCTAACCTCTACCCCCCCCATCCCCTCCCCTCACCCCAACCCCGCCCACCACCCCCCCCCTAACCCCGCCTCCTTACCTCTACCCCCCCCAACCCCTCCCCTCACCCCAACCACACCCGCCCACTCCGCCCCACCCCTCCCCCTACCTCCACTACCCCCAACCCCTCCCCTCTACCTCCACTCCCCCCAACCCCTCCCCTCTACCTCCACTCCCCCCAACCCCTCCCCTCACCCCAACCCCGCCCACCACCATCCCCCCCTAACCCCGCCCCCTAACCTCTACCCCCCCCAACCCCTCCCCCTCACCCCAACCCCGCCCACCACCACCCCCCCTAACCCCGCCCCCTAACCCCTCCCCTCACCCCAACCCCTCCCCCCTACCTCCACTCCCCCCAACCCCTCCCCCCTACCTCCACTCCCCCCAACCCCTCCCCCCTACCTCCACTCCCCCCAACCCCTCCCCTCTACCTCCACTCCCCCCAACCCCTCCCCTCTACCTCCACTCCCCCCAACCCCTCCCCCTACCTCCACTCCCCCCAACCCCTCCCCCTACCTCCACTCCCCCCAACCCCTCCCCCCTACCTCCACTCCCCCCAACCCCTCCCCTCTACCTCCACTCCCCCCAACCCCTCCCCTCACCCCAACCCCGCCCACCACCATCCCCCCCTAACCCCGCCCCCTAACCTCTACCCCCCCCAACCCCTCCCCCTTACCCCAACCCCGCCCACCACCACCCCCCCTAACCCCGCCCCCTAACCCCTCCCCTCACCCCAACCCCTCTCCCCTACCTCCACTCCCCCCAACCCCTCCCCCCTACCTCCACTCCCCCCAACCCCTCCCCCCTACCTCCACTCCCCCCAACCCCTCCCCTCACCCCAACCCCGCCCACCACCACCCCCACTAACCCCGCCCCCTAACCTCTACCCAACCCCTCCCCTCATCCCGACCCCACCCACCACCACCCCCCCCCCCACAAACCCCACCCCTCATCTCAACTCCCCCCCAACCCCGCCCCTCACCCCAACCCCACCCTCCCACTCCTGCCCCACCCCTCCCCATTGAGACCGCTCGTCACACCCACAAGGCATTGCGACGTTATAAACTGCACCGAAAGCTTCAGAACATCTTCTTATTCAGCATACTTTCTCAAAGATAAACCCGTAATATAATTTTTAAAATCATAAAGAATATCAATGTATAACATTCCCGTATGCAATCGTCAAGCAAATCATCGTCATATGAAAGTGATCAGTTTTTACTTCACCCCATAGTGAAGAGTGTATCAGCTACAGGGTATCATAAATACTCGGCAGTTTTTTTGTGATGTATGCCATGTTCAATCTACCGTTTGATGAATGCCACTCCATGCCGTCAGTGTGCGATCCAGCGACCCATTACAGCAGCTTGCACATGACATCTGGTGGATGTAAGTACTCTCGTGCAGGATGTTCTAATCTCGTGTCCGTGGTAGATGTTACAATACTGCTGTGTTCTTTCAATTGTTAAAAAGTGCTTCATGGATAATCGGATTCCTCCAGCCTAAAAAAAGATTACGGTTCTCATAATTCTTGACTTAAAGCTTTCGTGACTGCAGGAATTCATATTCGTTGGGTCTTTCGGTAAAGCCACGTAGACAGCTTCAAAGAAAATAACAAAGAACTACGACGTTTCGATCGCAACACGAGCGGTCGTCATCATTTTTTTTTCCTGATAACGACCGCTTTGTGTCGCGATCGAAACGTCGTAGTTTATTTTGTTTAAATCTACGTGACTTTACCGAAAGACCCAAAGAATATTCCCATAATTATCGGGCCTCCCTCCCGGGAACACCATCCATTTTTGTGACGTGCCCTGCGTTCCTTCTCGCGTGCATTGTTCTCAAATACTCTTAGGTTTTTTCGGTATAGTCACGTAGGTAAAAATAAAAATAAACAATAAAAATAATAAAATATAAATAAATAATTTTTCATTACTTACTTTATTTTTACCTACGTGACTTTACCGAAAAAACCTAAGAGTATGAATCCTTGCAGTCACGAAAGCTTCAAATCTAGAATGTTCTCAAATGTTATACTGGTAGGAACCTCCTGGTTACACCAGCCCACAAGGGACTATTGTGTCCGTCGTGCAGGGAGGGGCTGGGTGGGGAGGGGAGGGTGGGGAGGGACTGGGTGGGGGGTGGGGGGGCTGGGTGGGGAGGGGAGGGTGGGGAGGGGCTGGGTGGGGGGTGGGGGGGCTGGGTGGAGAGGGGAGGGTGGGGAGGGGCTGGGTGGGGAGGGGCTGGGTGGGGAGGGTGGGGCAGGGTGGGGGGTGGGAGGGGTGGGGCTGGGTGGGGAGGGGCTGGTCACCCCGTGGTGCCCTTATAAAACTCAACGTTTAACCTACTCACGCCGGCTTGTGCCCGCCCTCACATTCGGGCATATTTGCGGAATACACCACACCGCCGTTGACCCTGCAGGCCATTGACCGAGCAACCCAACGTTCCTACCAGCTCCCTCCGCAGGAATGTGTTTATTGTCTCGGTGCAATTCCAAAATGCCTTGCTTCCCAGTCAACATGCAACATCGGGTTCTTTGCGGACTGTAAGTACACTCTTCCGAGTGTTACTTTCGTTATAGCTGCCAAACCGAATTTATTGAAAACGCCGTTCTTTAAGCACGCTGGTTGTGATTATTTGCTGCCTCCCATTAATTATTGATCATTCTCGGTTGTCTAAAACCACCCGGACTCCTCTTCCAGACACCACTCTCGCCGCCACCATAGATCATGCTCCCTGCACCTCTATGGTGGCGAGATGTTAACTACCTCGCCTGGTATGCAGGAGGTCGTGGGTTCGATCGTGACCCTGACGCCTGTTGTATAATTGAATGTGCGGTGTCTCTCCCCATGGTGAGATGTTAACTACCTCGCCTGGTATGCAGGAGGTCGTGGGTTCGATCGTGACCTGACGCCTGTTGTATAATTTAATGTGCGGTGTCTCTCCCCATGGTGAGATGCTAACTACCTCGCCTGGTATGCAGGAGGTCGTGGGTTCGATCGTGACCGTGACGCCTGCTTTCTAATTTAATGTGCGGTGTCTCTCCCCATGGTGAGATGCTAACTACCTCGCCTGGTATGCAGGAGGTCGTGGGTTCGATCTCGACACTCACGCCTGTATAATTTAAGTGTCTCGTGTCTCTCTCCCCGTGATAGCATGGATTTTTCTGCACATCCTCCGATATTCCCTCCACATTCAGAATCAAAATCACGCGTTTCGAGTATTTGCTATAAATTCCCAAATGATAAAGCCACTTCGTTGAGCTATCATTTGTGGCCAGGTCGCTTCTGAGAAAGAGCTACGTAACTCAGTGGGCCTTACCTGGTAAAATAAAAAATTGTAACAAAAAATTGTTCCATGTCATCATTTTGATGCTGGTGACCAAAATTGTAACAGTTTAAGATTAACATGGTAAGAAAGTGTTCATGAGAGCAAGTAAAACTATGAAATAGGGGAGGTGGGGGCTAAGAGGGGACACGTTTTACCTTTCCAATCAATAGTTTGCTTTTGGTTGAATGTTATGGGAAAATGTGTAAAATATTTGTAGATAAATGTGCTGTATTTCCCCCCTCAATAAATTTGTATGTGTCTGATCACGCAGCCACTGTCTGGGAAAACGTCCATGAGTGCAATTTATTAGTAACCTTGTCTGCTATGTAAATATTTAATTTTGCTGTTTCACATGAGTGTATATTTTCTAAATATATGTCAATAGTTTATCGGGTAATGTCGTGTGTTATTCTTATTCATGGGATTCATTTTCAACGTGATTTTTGGCGATGAAGGGTTAAAGGATTTCCACCAAATACAGGTTAAAACACCGTTTAACTTTGCGTTCATACAAACGGCATAACCTATGAAAGTGTACTGCAGTACAAAGCCATAAAATGAAGCAAAACATTTATTGAACTGTAGTTGTAAAGTGCTGTACATACATTTAAAAAAAAACAAAATCCAAGACATTGCAACAAGGCAATACAAGATAAGCTACTGCGATGGCTTGCGTGCATGCAAAATCATAAAAAATACATTTCACGAATATAACAAATGGAAGTCTAACGATATTGTTAATTTCTCGAACGTGGCCCAGTTTCCGTCAGCCTGCAAATTTCAGCTGCGGACAGTGTCCTTAGCTTAACCAACTATTCTGCTGCCCTGGAATCTTGGGAGTGTATCTCTTCGTCCCCGAAACTGCGTGTGTGCGTGTTTGTCTGAAGCCATGGGCAGGTTACAGAAGCAGCAGGCATATTACTGCAAGAGGCAGATCTAAAAATTCCTAAGCAGGGTGGAAGGGCACACAATTTCAAGCATTTAAATATGGCCACTACATTATTGACATTCTTGACAATAAAATAGCGTTTTTATTTTCTCTGGGAATGATCCATCACTGATTTCTGGCTAGAATCCACCACTGATTTCTGCATGGTCATATTTTATTTTAAATTCTCGATTAATCCCTCTTCTCTCGTTCTGCACGGTGTCATTCTTGATATGTTGGTAGATAAAATGGCTCTCTGTGACGTTAATAAACACAGACTTTTCAACCGTATTTGCTTTGACACTGCCATTCGATCAATTGAGGGCGAGCTGATACGGGTGTAATGACTGGCACTTACGAAGGTTTAAAAAGCAACAAGAGCGTTTTGTTATGATTACACTGGTTTACCCAGGAAAGCCCCGCTGCGTCTCGTGTCTCTTTTTCAGGAGGGTCCTGCTGAGTTTCAGAGTAGTGAGCAAATAATTATTATGTATACGTACTCCAAATTGAGTAATTTGCTGGGTAACCTTGACAATTTTTTAAAGTTGCGCCATAGAAGCCAAGCAAATAAAAATCATATAAAAACAAAGGGAAATAAAATACAGGATATCAACGCAGCAAATGTAGGTGTTGCGCAAATGAAGTATACGTCTCGAGTAATGCCAGGTCAACTCCACCTCGGGAGTTCACAATCCAGTGGATACCTGAGCCAGTTCCACAACTGGAGCAAATGGAGGAGGGTTGGGCAAAATGGTGCCGATACTTCGGCCGTGGAGAAAAAAGACGAAAGGAATCCAATGCAAAATGTATTGCTCTAGATGTATACTGCATCTAAACTGGACCCAAAGGGTGACCGACGTAGAAGTAGAAAAACGGTTGCTCAGAAGAATACCTGATGCAGGCAGTGATAAGAAGGAAACTGCCACTATTTGGACACGTATAGGATGAACAACAGGAAGATTGAAAGTGTGTTGTTCGGAAAAATGGAAGGAACCGGAAAGAGAGGAAGACCTAACAGAGAACGGCTTGATGAAAACAATACGTGCACCACTTGAGCAGATTGGCACAAAACGAAGAGGAAAGTGGAAACAAATGGACACCTACTGGGCGATCTGCCCATGGATCGTGATGATGATGATGATGAATGCCTGGTCAAATGGCCTCCAGGTAGGAAGCAGGAACGTGCCCTCTTTGGCCGCACTTCTCCGCCATCACCCACCCGGCATCGGCGCCACCGCTCAGCACCAGGACCTGATCGCCCTCCACCACACTCAATGTCCCTGGTTCCTGCATTCAAGAGGGAGGGCGTGGGCATGTATACGTTATTACTCTGGGGCCATGGTTCCCAGTAGGAAACAAACACAGACCATGGAACAGTGTTTCCCCTTTGGTCAATGAGAATGGGTGGTGTAGTCCATTTGGCCATTGTTTTGTCATTTTTTCAGCATCATGAGACAAAGTGTCCATTAAGACACGCACAGCAGTGCAGCTCTCGCTGTTGGAGAATGGCCCACTGAAGCAAATATCACAGACCTACCTCTGAACTGCGAGGTGACCCGTGGATTGCAGACATGGTGATAATTTTTGTAGATTAATTAATTAGTACTAATCACATACCTGCATTTCCCATAAATATGCTAAATTCCTCTTGATATGCAAATTCTTTTGTCAAGGCGCCCTTCCCCCCTTCCAACCCAACCCAGCTTAAATATACGCTCCAAGCGTGGTGGTGTTTCATTCAGACGCTGTCTCCCCGACAGACCTGGTCTTCACCTGAGGACGGCTGCTTGCGTTGTGGCCGAAACGTCGTGAGAATTATTTTATTATGTTTTATTTTTATTATTTTATTACTTCCTTTCTACGTGACTTTACCGAAAGAACCAAAAAGATGAATCCCTGCAGTCACGAAAGCTTTAAATCGAAATTTAGATTATTATAATTATGATTAAAATTCGTATTTAGCCTTTAAAAGCAATGAAATCTCAATAATGTGCATGCACATGTCCATTCCTCTTGTCAATACACTGCTGGATGAGGGCCTCCCAATGCTCTGCGTGTCATGGGGCTTATTTGAACATACTTCACCATGCTGCTCAATGTGGATTGCTGAAAGAGGTGAGCATATGTGCGATAGCATAGAAATATAACACTGATGCCCACAACATTGGCAATAAAACCTGCTTTACGAGTGATAGTCAACCAACCAAACACTATACTTTTTTTAAAATTAAATATGGAACGCTTCACGAATTTGCGTGTCATCCTTGCGGAGGGGCCATGCTAATCTTCTCTGTATCGTTCCAATTTTAGTAATGTACTGCCGGAGCAAGTACCAAGCACTATCCATGTACACGCGGGGTGATTTGATCGTAGGCAACTCAACAATAACAGTTAATTCTTATAATTTTATCATAATTGTAGGTGGTGGCGTTATTCTCGTGCACCTGTGCCATGGGGAAGAAGATGACAACTTTCTCGCGGTCCTGTACGTATGTTGAACCTTCGTTCGCACCGTACGTAGCCTCCCGTGCTAATCGTGTGAAAGCACGAGTTCCATCTTCGTTCGGCGACTGAACAATGAATCACGACGGCAACAAAAACAACCTCACTGCCGGCTGTTGAGCCAATACCCAAGGTTGCCTTATGAGCCGAGATCAATGGTAGCATGGTTTGTGAAACACACACCTAGCATCACTGCAGAGATCGTCGCTAACTACGCAATGATGTCCTTTTCAAGACCAGGGGCTTGGAAACCTTTCAAAGAAGAGGAGCCATTTTTGGGGGTTTCTGCCTTTGACCAAAATAGTTCGAGAGCCGCATCACACGCAGAGCTACTCGTACACAAACACAGCAGCAGGTATACAGCAGATGACGACACATTCTGACTTAAACAAAATAGGTGATGGAATAAATTGTGTCTATTTAGTATTTTGTCCCCCTTAGTTCTCCTTTAACAATACCGTACATTTTGTTGTCACAAAGACATACCATACTGACCCGTTCCCTCTCATATGTAATAAATTGCTTATTATCTTTGCGTTAAATTACGTTTAACATTGAAGGTTTTGGTATTATTATTTTTTCTTCCAAAAACGGTTGCCCGTAAGGGGGCAGCCAAAGAGCCGCAAAGGGGAAGCCCTTGCAGCCCTTGCAGGTTTCCCACAATGCCCAGAATACCCCTTTTTTCCCGAAATCTTCTGCACAAGTGTTCGCCACCATCGACTCCTCGTGCGAGTAGATCACGAGCGTATTCACCTGCCCCGCGAATGTGTAGAGAACACGGTGGACTTGGGCATCCGGCTCGCATCTCCCGGCTATGTCAGTTATGGAGCTGTACACCACGTGCTCTGTGTGTGAAGTCACAAAAACCGGCGTCACTTCCATTACCGATCGGTCACGTGGTGGGAGAAGTACTGCTCTCCACTATCACGGGACATGGTAGAAGCTGGCTCGATGTAAGTACACCCTCAGAGGCAAGGGCAGGCGATGCTTATATATATATCACGGTGTACAGCCTGAAGAACACAGCCTAGGTCTGCACAATTGGGCCCATATCTTAGTCACGACTCGGCTCAGGCTTAGCTCTGACTCAAGTTAGCCGGCTCAAAGCCGCGCTTAAATGTCAGCCGGATCTGAGCATGGTCCCAGCCATGTTTGATGATTTCCATCAGTGAGCCTCAACCAAGCCGTGGCTGAGCCGCTCACACGTCTTTGGAAGAAACTGAGCGGCGCAAGCCAGAGCCGAGCCTTCAAACTCGGCGTGCCAATAACATTTGGATAAATTTCTGCTTGGAAAATTAAGGCGTCGTGTTTGGTTGTCATGTGGCAGTCACGGATCTGAGTTGATAAATGCATTACAATATCACAATGATAATTAATTACATTTTAATATTGTTACGACACTTTTGACGGATAGTGTTGAAATGCAAAGCCATCTAAATAATGTATGTATGTAGAACTTCTCTCGCACCGTACGTAGCCGGCCACGCTGATCGGAGGTGCGGGGGAAGGAACATGCACCCATCGAGCCCATTTGTCAATAGAGTGCTGAACGAGGGCCTCCCAATGCTGTGTGTGAGAAAGGCCACCCTTGAATGTATTACAGTTTTTGAAATGCCACTCGGAGGGTTTTTCAGAAGGTCCTCTCACAGCTGTACTCGGGCACACAGGATTGCACTGCTCGGCGAGAATTCTGAATGGCTTCTATGTCTCATGACGTGATGATGTCGATGGCACACTCAATGGGAAAAGAGATCAAGAGTATATTGTATGCAGGAAGTTAATGAATAGCCACGAACGGTTTCTCCACCTAAAAGAAAAATGTGTCTGCCAATGGGCCTTCAAGCAATGTTTTCTAGCAGCATTTGTTGAATCAGGAAAACAATGCGTCAATTCACAGTTTTTTTTTGTCATTATCCACCAAGCCGGTATAAATGATTTGTGCGAAATTTGCACTACAGTGCAACATCACCTATTCAACTAAATGGCGCCCAGAGGTATAACCGGATATGTGAAAAGTTTTAATACGTGAATGTCTATAAGAAATGCCAGTTACAACCATCATGCACAAATATGTCAGTGGACAACACCAGAGTGCAAGCTCCTTTAAACATAGGAAGGTGCGTTACTGCCCTTTAGAAGTAAATGAATGTACGCAAGATTAATATACATTCCGTGACAACGTCAGCATTGTGAACACGTGTAGAAAACAAAAGTTACTCCATGCACAAATACTGCACTTGGTGTAGGCGGTTAATTGGTTATGGCGGATAGGTGATTCGATATTCGAAGTTGTACTTCATTTCCTGTTTGGGCTTCATCGTTTTAAGTGAAGGGAGAGAGAGAGGGAAGCTCAGTCGCTACCTTTATGGAGCGTACTCTTGTGTTTTTCTTTCGGAGAGTTCATGGCAATAGGAGAGTTCCTGGCAAATCCGTCAAACAGTGGCGGAAACATAGCAGCACACAAACACATCAGCGTCAATCGGCAGTAGCACTCACTGGGATAATGTAACAATAACAATATTGTCCTTAATTTACCCAAGAAAGCCCGAGTCTCAGAATTCACTTCAGCCAACAAAAATTAATTTTTGCTGTGATTTTCCCACATGATGATGATTGCTTGTGTTGCGCCCGAAACGTCGTGATTTATTTTATTTTCTACCTACGTGATTTTACCGAAATAACCAAAGAGTATGGATTCCTGCAGTCACGAAAGCTTCAAATCTAGATTGTACCGCAGGGTGTTCAGCATGATGTGCTTTGTTTAGCGCGTGCTGGGGAGCCTCTTTAGTAGAAGCCTCCCAACAAGTTGAAATGAGCTCAGTTCAGAAGGGTGACTACTAACGGGAAACACAACGGGGAGCTATGCAACAGAACTTACACAGCATTTCTCAGAACCATTTTCAGCAGGGTCCTGCATAGGGAAGTTGGACTGATGACATTGCTGAGTGTTTCGCATCTAGGAGGAAACCACAGTGACCAGAGAAACCCCAAGCGTAGGATGGAGTCGCACCCAAAGCCACGCAAATATCGTTTCATGGTTCTGAACGACGGTCACCTGACCACTTTGGAGCCTAAGCTTCCAACAGCTGGTATTCCTGGGCAGTCTCCCATCGAAGTGCCAACAGGGCTTCAATTCTGCTTAGCTTCTAAGGGGCCGTTCATAAATGACGTCACGCGATTTTTGACGATTTTTGACCCCCCCCGCCTCGTCACACGGCGTCACAAAAAGTCAGACCCCCCCCCTCAAATATGACGTCACAAAGCTCTGCCCCCCCCCCCCCCCCCACAAAACCATATTTCCATTTTGAAAATTAAACATGCTTCATATCGCTTAAAACTATTGTCATTGTAGTGCATATTTAATGTGGCGGTGCACTCTGGTGTTGTAGGAGTGTTGTTATAACAATTAGTGTTGTTATAACAATGATATATTTATTTAAAGTTGCACATTTTTACGTGACGTCACATTTCTCACCCCCCCCCCCCCCGTCACACATCGTCACAAATGTCTTCCCCCCCCCACAGGTGCGTGACGTCATTTATGGACGGCCCCTAAGGTCCGTCACCGGGCACGGTGATTTGGTCACATGCCGTCAGAGGTCGCAACCGGGTACTCGATACCCGTACCCTACCCGATACCCGGCTACCCGTACCCAGCCGGGTACGGGTACCCGTTTGCGACCCTGGTGCGGCCGGGTACGGGTATGGGTAGACCGTGAGTCACTGGTGAGTAACTGTTTGTCACTCATCTCCCAACGTCTTGTCTCTTCTCACAATTCAAGTTCCTAGAATCAACCCACCCGCGCCGGGTACGGGTAAGGAATCAAAACCCGTTTGCGACGTCTGCATGCCGTACTGGGCCACGTCCCAATCTGTTCACTCCGTGTCACTCGTGCCAATGTCACAATGACACTGAGTGCTCATATTACAAAAGGTCAGTCAGTGCCTCTGTCGCATTATTCCAATAACTACACGCCATACGTGGATTGAAGCGATCACTCTGTGAAGCCAGGATAACACTTTTGGCATGAGAGTAGAGAGGCAGCAGAGTGCGTGGACGGGAGTAGAATAAGAACTGATTTGAAGCTTTCGTGACTGCAGGAATCCATACTCTTTGGTTCTTTCGGTAAAGTCACGTAGGTAGAAAATAAATCACGACGTTTCGGGCGCAACACACACCTGATGACGGACGCTTGTGTTGCGCCCGAAACGTCGTGATTTATTTTATTTTATACCTACGTGACTTTACCGAAAGAACCACAGAGTATAGAATAAGAACTACTAGACATCTGTGAGAAAGAGCTTCATAGCTCATAAGATTTCTCCAGGATAAATAAAGATTCTGAAGATGAAAAGGGAGCGGTAGGCGAGCGCCTGGCAGGGGGGCAGAGTGAGGAGAGAAGGCAGAGTTAGACAACGATGAGTTGAGTCTTTGTAATAAGTAAAAAAAAAATTTAAACACGCTTTTATGAAATGTACTAGTAATGGAAGAACTCCACGACTCCAGGAAGTGGCCCCGAAGCTTGCCATAACGTAAGGGACCGTGGCCAATTAATTACAGCCAACGTCAGTTTATTGTGGACAATTAGACCCAAGCCAAAACATAACATATGAAAATTTTTTTTACGAATATTTAATTTTTTATTTTATGATATAATATAGTATTGTCATCAGTATGACATAAATATACCAAGTTTGCAGTCGATACGACATTGGGAAGTGGGTTAAAATTGAGTTGCAAGATTTGAGGATACATAAACGACAACAGACAGAGTGAGTTAAATGAAAGCGTGTACAAACAGCTGATCCATACTCCTGATGACGGATGCTTGTGTTGCGCCCGAAACGTCATGATTTAAGTTTAGTTATTTTCACTTTATTCAAAAAAAATTTATTTTTATAAAAAAAAACATTTATTTTCACCTACGTGACTTTACCGAAAGAACCAAAGAGTATGTATCCTTGCAGTCACGAAAACTTCAAATCTAGAACAGCTGATCGGTGGACGCGCACAAAACACAAACAAACGTCCGGCGATTGCCTGCGACGCGAACGCCGGCGGTGAAGCTGACCTGCGTTTCGCGTTGGGGGTGCCTTGACTGCACGTGTCCAGAGCGAACATGCTGTTATCCCTGATCTTCATGTAATAGTTCTCATACACGATGGGAGCTGCGCACACACAAAGACAAAGATACTCCATGTAGCCTTAACAGACTGTGGGGGCAAGTGCTGTTAGCGAGCACCTATTGAAGCAAGCACGGCACACAAGGTGGGTGGGTGGCCAGCACCACGCCCGGCCGTCTTTGTCTCCCCTGTGGAAATGCTTACACACCGCACCAAGTACTCATTTGAGGCTGAGTAGACCTAGGGGAGGCCCAGGACCGGTTCAGATAATAGTCACTGGGGTTGGCCGTGAACTGGAATCGCACTGGGGTCCCTGGATTCGTAGCGCAGTCGCTAACTGCAAAGCTACCGGTCCCCACACACACACATATACGCGCACACTCATACAGCACGGTCCACTCAGGGATGTGCTACCCCTATACTACCACACACTCTGTACTGTCTGCCTAACGAATAATACAATTCATAACGCGCGCAATGTTGCGGACCGAAGACGCATTGCTGAGGCATGGAGCAGATCTCAGCGTCAGGGAGACTTGGTGATTAAATGTCGAGTTGAAGAAATGCGCCTCTTCGATGGTTTGTGAACGGAGAAAACGATTGATCGTTACCGACGTGAAGGGGGATGACGTTCCAGATGACGGGGGGAGGGGGGCTGCGACGAGAAGCAAACGAAAGTCCTTGTCCTGGGAGCTTCAAGGAGGTTCTGCGACGCACTTCGAATGTGTCTACGGTCAACTGAAGGCGTCAGCAGGGAACTTCGCTACGGTGGGTAGCCGGATTTTAGGGCGCGGTAGCAGAGGCAAGCGATCTTGAAGGTAATTCTGGTCGTAATGGGCAGCCAAGGAAGGGCACATTGATGTATATACCTCTAGGGTCAATGCATTGTTCAAGACCTCGAGGGTTGAAAACTTTCGGGGTTTGGCCTGGAGGGTGCGGGAATTGGCATCCGTGCTCTTAGTTCTTTTGGCAAAGTCACGTAGGTAAAACATTTAATTACAATTAATAAAAACAAAACAATAAAATCACGACGTTTCGGAGGCAACACAAGTCTCCGTCATCAGGTGGGACCGTCACAGCCAGATTTGCTGAAAATCAGCCAGATTAGCTGAAAATCTGGCTGTGACGGTCCCACCTGATGACGGAGACTTGTGTTTCCTTCGAAACGTTGTGATTTTATTGTTTTATTTTTTACCTACGTGACTTTACCGAAAGAACTAAGAGTATGAATCCTTGCAGTCACGAAAGCTTCAAATCTAGAATTGGCATCCGTGGTTGGGGGTTGGCAGGAATTGATTTTCGTACGGTATCGTGTTGAACGTTATTGCACTGCACAGTTTTGATGGACCCAGCGCTAACTGAGGAATGCGTCCGTGTTTGGTTTTCAGTGGGAAAAGATTGGCGAGCCGACGCATCTCCGTTGCGGTGTCTTAACATGTGCTCGCCATGAGACACTCTTTCAATCCAATTGTACACGGAGAAAAATGCGAGCATAAAAGTGAATAATCCAGTCCGTATATGACCATTTATAGAGCACAAAGAACGTATACTGGTAGGAGCCTCCTGGTTACACGAGCCCATAGGAGATTATTGTGTCCGTCCGTCGTGCAGGGAGGGGCTGGGTGGGTAGGGAGGGGCTGGGTGGGGAGGGGAGGGTGGGGAGGGGAGGGTGGGGAGGGGCTGGGTGGGGAGGGTGGGGCTGGGTGGGGAGGGGCTGGGTGGGGAGGGTGGGGAGGGGCTGGGTGAGGAGGGTGGGGAGGGGCTGGGTGGGGAGGGTGGGGCTGGGTGGGGGGTGGGAGGGGTGGGGCTGGGCTGGGTGGGGAGGGGCTGGTCACCCCGTGGTGCCCTTATAAAACTCAACGTTTAACCTACTCACGCCGGCTTGTGCCCGCTCTCACAGTCGGGCATATTTGCGGAATACACCACGCCGCCATTGACCCTGGCCATTGACCGAGCAACCCAACGTTCTTACCAGCTCCCTCTGCAGGAATGTGTTAATCATTGAATTTATTGCGCGCCGTATGTAGCCAATCGTGCTAATCGGACATGTACACGTGGCCTTTTTGAGAGAAACCAGTGGGGGTCGCTATAATTATTCGCAGCAGCATGTCTGAACTTTGTCGAGATCCAAACTGCAGTAACTGTACCAAGTTTATTTGAGTCCCAATTGTATTTTTAGTTTCTAGTCTATTTTGGTTTTCTGACGTCTTATTAATACGCACTCGTGCTGTTAAAGTATACACACAGCGGTGTGTTAAACATGTTTCATAGTGTACAATGTTAGCGCTGGAGCCAAGGAGCTGGGACACTCGGGATAATTTGTAACTTTTTATCTACTATTTTAAACTATCAATATTTACTCTAAATTTACTATTTTTATATTTAAAATGTTTGCTCTTTATTTCCTATTTTTTTACTTTCAATGTTTAATCTTCATTTACTATTTTTATTTTTAAATGTTGACTTTTTTTTTTCAATGTTTACTCTCCTATTCTTAGGTTTTTCGGTAAAGTCACGTAGGTAAAAAAAAAATCTAAATTAATAAAAGTAAAATAAAGTAAAAATCACGACGTTTCGGAGGGAACACAAGCTTCCGTTTTCAGGTGGAACCGTCACAGCCCGACAGCTGTATCAAGTAAATGCGAGATTACAGGAGATACCACTCCGTATATATAATGGTTGAGGGGGGGAAAGGGCCAGGAATGGCCCACTTTTTATTATTATAGTAAGGTGCGGCTTGAGACTATGAATAGAAACGTCGTGATTTTAATTTAACTTAACTTTTATTAATTTAGATTTTTTATCTACGTGACTTTACCGAAAAACCTAAAAATATGAATCCTTGCAGTCACGAAAGCTTCAAATCTAGAATGTTTACTCTCCATTGATTGTTTTTTTTACTTTAAAAACCAGGGGACTGAATAAATATAAGAACCGTGGTCACTGCAAGTGACCGACATCGCACCGGACCACGTTTTAAGAGCCTCACTATTCAGTGTCAACACCAAAGGTTCCAACAGCCGAGAAAAAGGAACTCATCGATGATCCCCAAGAGTAGAGGGAGAGATATTCTGTGGTTCTTTCGGTAAAGTGAGGTCGATAGAAAATAATAAAAAATAGAGTCAATAAAAATAATTAAAACAAAAAAAACACGAATGTAGACCTAAGCCTGTTTCATAATCGGAGTGAGTGTACTGACAGTCTATAATGTAAACTGTAGCCCGGTTATTCAGTTTTGTGAGTGTACTGGCAGTCTGTAATGTAGACTGTAGCCTGGTTCTTAATCTCGGTGAGCGTACTGACAGTCTATAATGTAGACTGTAACCTGGTTAACCAGGCTACAGTTTACATTATATGCTCACCGATGTTAAGAACCAGGCTACAGTCTACATTATAGACTGCCAGTACGCTCACCGATGTTAAGAACCAGGCTACAGTCTACATTATATACTACCAGTACGCTCACCAATGTTAAGAACCAGGCTACAGTCTACATTATAGACTACCAGTACGCTCACCGATGTTAAGAACCAGGCTAAAGTCTACATTATAGACTACCAGTACGCTCACCGAGATTAAGAACCAGGCTACAGTCTACATTATAGACTACCAGTACGCTCACCGATGTTAAGAACCAGGCTAAAGTCTACATTATATACTACCAGTACGCTCACCGATGTTAAGAACCAGGCTACAGTCTACATTATAGACTACCAGTACGCTCACCGATGTTAAGAACCAGGCTACAGTCTACATTATAGACTACCAGTACGCTCACCGATGTTAAGAACCAGGCTAAAGTCTACATTATAGACTACCAGTACGCTCACCGAGATTAAGAACCAGGCTACAGTCTACATTATAGACTACCAGTACGCTCACCGAGATTAAGAACCAGGCGACAGTCTACATTATAGACTACCAGTACGCTCACCGCTGTTAAGAACCAGGCTACAGTCTACATTATAGACTACCAGTACGCTCACCGATGTTAAGATCCCAGGCTACAGTCTACATTATAGACTGCCAGTACACTCACTCCGATTAAGAACCAGGCGACAGTCGAAATTAGTGTTTATTTGGTTTTTATTATTATTTTATTTCTTTAATTCAAATTTTTTTCTATCTACGTGACTTTGCCGAAAGAATAAAAGAATATGAATTCCAGCAGTCACGAAAGTTTTAAGTCAAAATTTTGAAACTTTCACAAGCCACATCCTGCACGCCTCCCTTGCGTGTATTTTTTTTGTTAAAACCCACTGAGAAGCGAACTGCCTCATCTCTATTTTGCCCCCCCCACCCAGTCCCCACCCCCCCACCCAGCCCCCACCCCCCCACCCAGGCCCCCCACCCAGCCCCCACCCAGCCCCCACCAACCCCCACACCCCCCCCCCAAAATCCCATCCTTGTCAAACTGTGACATCACCCATTATGCCTGTGACCTAACAAAGGCCCCCCTCCCACTCTCTCAAGTCAACGGAGGGTCGAGACCACCAGGTCAACCGAGGGTGTCCATAGTCAGCTGTGAAGGGTGCTCGCTAACAGCACTTGCCCCTACAGTCTGTTAAGGCTATACGGGGGATCTTTATCTGGTGGGGAGCGGTGGTGTAGCGGTTAGCGCGCTGCGCTATGAACCCGGCGACTCGGGTTCGATTTCCGCTCATGGCCAACACTAGTGGCGATTATCTGAACCGGTCCTGGGCCTCCCATAGGTCGACTCAGCCTCAAATGTGTAAACATCGCCACTGGGGAGACGAAGGCGGCCGGGCGTGGTGTTGGACACTCACCCCCTCGTGTGCCATGCTGGCCTTTAAAGGTGCTCGCTAACAGGTGTGCGTGTGTGTGCGTGCGTGTGTGCGTGCGTGTGTGTGCGTGCGTGTGTGTATGCGCGCGTGTGTGTATGCGCGTGTGTGTGCGCGTGTGTGTGCGCGCGTGTGTGTATGCGCGCGTGTGTGCGCGTGTGTGCGTGTGTGTGCGCGTGTGTGTGCGTGCGTGTGCATGTGAGCATGGTAGGGCTACCCGGGCGATCGGAGCCCGTCTGCTTGAGCTGGACAAAATAGTCGATCTCAGCCTGGAGGTCACACTGCTCCAGGACTTTTCTCACGCCTTCGTAAATCTGCGAGAGAGAGAGAGAGAAACAACTATTTGAGAGCTATTGCCACTGCGCTAATTAGTCAGACACGAGACGATCCACCTCTCACGATTCACGATAATTAGGTGTAACTAGTGTGGGGGCAGGGGTGCCTTAAGCCCCCCACCCCACACCCCCTGTGGCCAAAGCTACGAGTTGGGGCCCCCTTGACAACCACCGTGGCTGCATTTTGCGTAGACGGAGCGCCCCCCCCCGACAGCGTTAAATGTTCGAGACCGTGAGCATAACGACGATGTTATTGGACAAGAGGATACAGTAAAGGAAAAAAAGTATTTGATCCCCTGCTGATTTTGTACGTTTGCCCACTGACAAAGAAATGATCAGTCGATAATTTTAATGGTAGGTTTATTTGAACAGTGAGAGACAGAATAACAACAACAAAAAATCCAGAAAAACGCAGTCACTACACCACTGATAATGTAGTTACTACGTCACTGATGACACAGCTACTACGTCACTGATAATGTAGCTACTACGTCACTGATGATGCAGCTACTACGTCACTGATAATGTAGCTACTACGTCACTGACGACGCAGCTACTACGTCACTGACGAGGGCTCACGCCAACTCACCTCGTCGTCCTGCACGCACTGCTGGGACAGCTGGTTGGTGTGGATCCACATGGAGTTGCGCAGGACATTGACCCTCTGAAACTCCTGCTGCTCAAAGCCCTGCGGATGCAGCAGCAGCGGCAGCAGTAGTAGAGTCGGCATTAGAGAGCTGCTGATGTGAGTGGCTGTGTGCGCAACTGTAAACGACTGCAGTGAGTGACTGCAATGACTGTGAATGGCTGGAGTGACTGTGTGAGTGATGCGAGTGAATGGCTGGAGAGGCGGAATTGTTCTTGAGAGTGAGTGGCGCGAGAGACGGGAGTTCCCGTGCGAGTGGTTGCAGCGAGCGATTGGTCTAAATTGACCGTCGATCGGTGTTCTTCACTCTTTTTCAGAGGCGGGGCGAGGGAGGGGCAGAGGTCGCAACCGGGTACCCGATACCCGGTACCCGTTTGCGACCCTGGTGCGGCCGGGTACGGGTAGACCGTGAGTCACTGGTGAGTAACTGTCACTCATTTCCCAACGTCTTGTCTCTTCTCACAATTCAAGTTCCTAGAATCAACCCACCCACGCCTGCAACATGGCTTCATCCCAGAGGTCGCAATCAGGTATCCGATACCCGTACGCTACCCGTACCCGGCCGGGTACGGGTAGGGTACCGGTACGGTCGGGTACGGGTACCCGTTTTCGACCCTGGTGCGGCCGGGTACGGGTACGGGTAAGGAATCAAAACCCGTTTGCGACCTCTGGGGAGGGGACACTTTTGCCGATAAGACATCGTCGGTGTGAGGGCTGCCACACCATTTGAAACCAATGGGGGTTTGACAGCAGCACGATGGTGATGATGATGGGGGAGTGTTTTCACATCTGCTGTGTATTGTCAGGGGCCGAACTAACGGCCACCAAGGGGCCGTTAGTGGCCCGCGTGCCTTGCAATAAAGATCACTGCCATGAGTGGGGGCCTTGCCCACTCACCTCGCATGCGTTCACGTGCTCACTCTCCCAGTCTCTCCGCAAGGCCTCCAGGTTGTCCACAAGCTGCTGGTACTGCCTGTCTGTGGTACAGCATTAGCATTGTTATCTACAAACGCAATCGGATGCGATGAGGGTTCTGCATCGGACGGGTCAAGGATCCTGTAATATAATAATAATCATACATTATTTACCCGTGCAAGTCAAACTCCAAAGGCTCTCTGTCAGGTGGATCCTGGATATTTGGGCCAACACCAATTACCCATGAAGCAAGCAGAGCCGGATTAAGCTAGTGCGGGGCTTGTCGCATATGTTATAAAGGGGCCCTAAATTGAATAAAAACATAAATATGAAAACACACATTTTTAACATGCATAGAAAAGTAATTGTATTTTTTTATTTGCTATACAGCCAGATAATACGACAAATCGCTCACCTTAAACACCCAGTCGTTCATAAAAGCTGAAGGCAGTATAGTACTATTGTAATAGAGCAAGTGCAGAATCACTGAACCGGAATTGATAGCTTGAAAGCATTTAGCGCGGGGCCCTTGAAAGTGCGGGGCCTGTAGCTACATATGTAGCTACTTTTGCTACGAAGATAATCCGGCATTGGAAGCACGGCTTCTGTAATGGATAAGACGAGAGTTCTGGTTTGGATCAAACAAAGAAAGTTTTTTTTTCCACATGAGACAAGGGTTCCGTATTAGATGAGATGAAAATTCTGCATCGGATGAGATCAGTGATGGGACAAGATGAGGGCTCTGTGTCAGAAGAGTCAAGGGTCACCTCTTGAATTCGACAAGCGCTGTGTATTGGATGAGACAAAGCGTTTTGCATATCGGATTAGGCGAAAGTTCTGTGCCAGGTGAGACTCGCTGCTGCTACATGCAGCACTAGGCATTCGTTTTGGTGGATGCCAACTGATTGGTGTGAAGTCGAAAGCGGACCGCTCGCGGATTGAACAACTTGGGCGCCATCTCTGGGCATTACCAGCCTCGTGCGCTGCCTCCCGCGTCTGAAGACCCTTCGCCTTCACCTGAAACCACAAATCACACGCAGAGTCACAAAGGCACTTGGCATAACACACACAACCGTGAGGATCAACGTTGACACTCATTGGCCGACACAACATCTTAATCCAGTGGTTTTTGACCTTTACTGCAGCCTCGCCAATTATCTACTACTGAAGTAGTAGATAATTGGCGCGTTTTGATCAAGTGTCGGCTGGTGGTGGTTTAGCGACACGTTAATATTATTTACGTGATATAACCCACCAAGAAAATAATATACATTTGGCGACGTTTCGGGGCTGACCCTCACAGCTTCAATGCGCAATTGAAAGGGCGGGGGGAGGAGCGGGGGTTGCCAAAACATGACATTCTTCACAAAGAGCCCCCAAAGAGCCACCGTCACCACCACGGGTCACCCAATACCGCCGGATACCGTGGCACTGGGAATTCCGGCTGCCCTGGTGTCCCCAGAACCAGGGGCGGTTTCTTCATTAGGGCGATTGGGCGACGCACCACCAATGTCATTCAACCACAGAGTCACGCTAGCCGTCACTGTGCCTCTGGATATAGTCCAATCAGCGTCATGTCACGTTCTGTGGAGTACCGCCTCTTTTTGGGCGATTTCACTCCGGCTGAGAATCGCCCCGAGTGGCCCCATAGACTTACATTCAAAGATGTTTTTTTTCGAACGGGGGGCGCTGCAATGCATTCTCTATGGCTTCCGGGAGGGCTCGCACTAACGTGCTTACGTCATCATACGTAAGCACGTTTCATCCAACAATATAATTTGTGGCCACCTAGTGGAATCTTTAATTAAAGAAACTTGAGTGGATTGTATTAATAGTGAGTATAGAAACATACAAGATGTATTGTAAGAGTCACTTTATTTTTCATTAATATTAAAGAAGTGAAGTTGCCTTTACATGCTTAAGCTGTTAATTTATCCATTGCATGGGTGGACCTTATCCTTATCAATCATCCAGACATTTGCCCCCCCTGAGAGATTTTGCAGGAGCCGCCACTGCCCAGAACCATCTTATAGTGTGAGTGTCTGAGTATGTGTGAGAGTGAGAGAGTGTGTGAGTATCTGAGTGTGTGTGTTAAAGTGTCTGAGTGAGAGTGTGAGAGAGTGAGAGTGTGTGTGAGAGTGTGAGTGTCTGAGTGAGTGTGAGAGTGTCTGCGTGAGTGTGAGTGTGTGTGAGTGTGAGAGTGTGTGTGAGAGTGTGAGTGTCTGAGTGTGAGTGTGTCTGAGTGAGTGTGAGAGTGTCTGAGTGTGTGTGTGAGAGTGTCTGTCTGAGTGAGGGAGCGGTAGTGTAGTGGTTAGTGCGCTGCGCTATGAACCTGGCGACCCGGGTTCGATTCCCGCTCACGGCTAACACCAGTGACGATTATCTGAACCGGTCCTGGGCCTCCCCTAGGTCGACTCAGCCTTAAATGAGTACCTGGTGCGGTGTGTAAACATCGCCACTAGGGAGACAAAGGCGGTCGGGCGTGGTGCTGGCCACCCACCCCCTCGTGTACCGTTCCGGCCTTCATAGGTGCTCGCTAACAGTACTTGCCCCTACAGTCTGTTCAGGCTATATGGGGGATCTTTGTCTATCTTTGTCTGAGTGAGTGTGTGAGAGTGTCTGAGTGAGTGAGTGTATGTGAGTGAGTGTCTGAGTGAGTGTCTGAGTGAGTGTCTGAGTGAGTGAGAGTGTCTGAGTGTCTGAGTGTCTGAGTGAGTGTGAGTGAGAGTGTCTGAGTGAGTGTGAGTGAGAGTGTCTGAGTGAGTGTGAGTGAGTCTCAGTGTGTCTGAGTGAGTGAGAGTGTCTGAGTGAGTGAGAGTGTCTGAGTGAGTGTGAGTGTGTGTGAGAGTGTCTGAGTGAGTGAGTGTGAGTGTGGGGGTCACCTTCTCCTGCTGCCGCGGGGTCGCGCAGGCGGCGTTCTTGTTGTGCGCGGCGCTCTCCGCCTCGTCCGCTTCGCGGCACCGCTGCTCGTAGCCGCGCTTCGCCTGCGGGGTCCGCGCGGGAGACGGCGACGATCACCACCGCGACTTCCAACTGTTGTTCGGTTAAATTTCGATTTAAAGCTTTCGTGACCGCAGGGATTCATCTTCTTGGTTCTTTCGGTAAAGTCACGTAGAATGGAAATAATAAAATAATAAAATAAAACATAATAAAATAATTCTCACGACGTTTCGGCCACAACGCAAGCAGCCGTCCTCAGGTGGAGAACAGGTCTGTCGAGGAGACAGAGTCTGAATGACAAGCCCCAGGCTTGGAGCGACTATTTAAGCTGGGATGGAGGGGGCGAAGAGCGCCTTGGCAAAATAATCTGCATATGAAGAGGAATTTAGCATTTCCCATACCGAACGAAACCATTGTGAGGTCGCACTCATCACACACAAAGTGCTCGCCACAAATGAACCACAGTACCTCGCTGATCTCGTCAAAGAACATCAACCCATCACGCGACACTCCGCCCATCCTCACAGCAGCGGTGGCGTTTGGCTGCGAGCCATCGAACAAAGACGGCTGTCACCGCATCGCCCGGCGCTTTCAGATCTGCTTCTGCGGCCGTCTGGAACGCTCTTTCTATCCGATATTCGGAAGCCACTGGAGCTATGCACGATGAGATTTAGATTCAAAACCCATTTATTTAGAACTGCTTCTTATGTCTAGTTTGTTGTCCTTCCCCCGCACCTCCCATTCGCACAGTTGGCTACGTACGGTGCGAAAGACGTTCAGCATACGTATATACAACTGTGCTGATGATACACTGAATGTCAAAGCCGGTGTTAAACCAATGCTGATTGAAATGATGCGCTCCCAGAACGCCGTGGTGGCTGTTGGCATGTAAAACAATGACGATGTTCTATGCGGAGGGACAGATTATTGGGAGGGAAGGCGAATTGCCTGCTTCGTCATTTCGAGAATTTCAATATCGGTGCGACCGCCCTTTGTGACGAACGCTATCCACGTCCCTCGGGCCGTTCTTAAACCACGGAGAGTTCCGCAGTTGAGCCCTGAGCCCCCGAATGGATGATTAGTCTTGTGACGTGACGCCGGTAGCACAACCTGGATGGCAATTTGGAGAAGTAGAAACAATAAAACCTGCTAAAAATATATATATATATTTTGGGGTTCGTCTGCGTGGTTTTATAATCGGCGCTCCTTACATCCAGGGTCTTCTTGTGCAGCGTGGCCCGTTGCTTGTGCAGTTTGTCCATCGCAGACTCCACCTGCAGGAGAACCGTCAGGTGGGAATGGGAGCACAGATCGTCGTCCATCGCGACGCACTCAGTGCCGACAAAGGTGTTGGACCAGATGACGCCAAAAGGCGCACGTCATTTGGTCCAACACCATGTGAGACTAGGCTCTAAGGAAAGCTGTCTCGGGTGTGGACCAATCAACTTCAAGGACAGTACATACATTATCAGAGTTATGTTTTTTGTTTGCATTATGACTGCAGGTATTGTGGTTTATGCAAACATAACTCCTTGTAAAAAAAAAAGTGTCAGTTTTGTTACCAGATTAAAGGGTAAAAAAACAATTATCATATTTTTCTACTGGCAAATGAGGTTCCAATGGTGTAAAGGGGGAGCCCTTTTCGAGTTCCCTCGGTGACTTTGTGTGGCCAAGTTTTCTGTACAGGACAGACAGACCCAGGTGTTATGGGTTGACTGAGACGACTGGCAGATGCCACTACCTGTGCTTCCCACTGCGCCGACGTGCTACGTTTTAGCCACCCGGTGCACCGCTCGTTGTTGTGAGCTTCGCTCCTCCGACCTCTTTTGTCGTTGGAAGGCCACAACAATGATGGCACCAGTTATCCGCTCCACATCCTCCTGTACCACGTTGACCCGTTTCCTCTTTAGCGCCCGTTTAGCCCCCTCTATCTTGCCAAACAGAAGCTGCTTGGACATGTGGTGACTGGGCATGCGGTCTACGTGACCCAGCCAACAGAGCCTCACTCTCACTCCAACGCACACACCCAGATACTCTCACTCCAACACACACACTCAGATACAAGTACAAAGATCCCCCGTATAGCCTTGACAGACAATTGGGGCAAGTGCTGTTAGCGAGCACCTATGAAAACCGGCACGGCACACGAAGAGGTGGGTGGCCAGCACCACGCCCGGCCGCCTTTATCTCCCCAGTGGCGATGTTTACACACACCGCACCAGGTACTCATTTGAGGCTGAGTCGACCTAGGGGAGGCCCAGCACCGGTTCAGCTAATCGTCACTGGGTGTTCGCGTGAGCGGGAATTGAACTCGGGTCGCCGAGTTCGTAGCGCGACGTAGCGCCAACCACTACGCTACCGCTCCACTACACCCACACGCGCGCGCGCCACCTGTACCCAGGCGCGCCACCTGTACCCAGGTGCGTCACCTGTGCCCAGGTGCGCTACCTGTGCCCAGGTGCGCTACCTTCTTGCGCTGCTCGCGTTGCTTCTCGCGGAACTCCTCCAGCCTGCGCGCCTCGTCGCGCAGACTGGTCGCCAGCTGCATGTGCGCTGAGCCCAGCCACTCCAGCTCTGCCAAACACGTGGTGGGGAGGGTGGTGGTGGAGGTGGGGAGGGAGGGTGGTGGTGGGGAGGGTGGTGGTGGGGAGGATGGTGGTGGGGAGGGGGGAGGTGGGGAGGGTGGAGGTGGTGGTGGGGCGGGTGGAGGTGGGGAGGGTGAAGGTGGGAGGGTGGAGGTGGGGAGGGTGGTGGTGGGGAGGGTGGAGGTGGGGGAGGGTGGAGGTGGGGAGGGTGGTGGTGGGGAGGGTGGAGGTGGTGGTGGGGCGGGTGGAGGTGGGGAGGGTGAGGTGGGAGGGTGGAGGTGGGGAGGGTGGAGGTGGGGAGGGTGGAGGTGGGGGAGGGTGGAGGTGGGGAGGGTGGAGGTGGGAAGGAGGGTGGAGGTGGGAAGGAGGGTGGAGGTCATGGTGAGGGCGACAGATTTTGGCAAGAAGGGGGCAGGAGGGCAAGTTGATATTTATTTATTTAACACCTTTGCTGAGCAGCACAAGCACAGCTAAAGTAATTGTATATTTTCATTTGCTATACAGCCACAGATAATACGACAAATCGCTAACCTTAAACACCCAGTCGTTCATAAAAGTTGATGGCAGTATAGTACTATAGTAATAGAGCAAGTGCAGAATCACTGCACCGGAATAGATAGCTTGAAAGCATTCAGCGCGGGGCCCTTGAAAGTGCGAGGCCCGTAGCTACACGTGTAACTGGGATAAATCCGGCACTGCAACCTCCTCATCCCGATAACGTGTGCGGCGCGTTCCTGCTATATTCTACGACGACCTCCCGAGTTCCTTCCACAAAACTCCGACCATCATCGACGCACGCGACCGGCAGTCTAAGTGCTGACGACTTCCTTCTAGCGTAGTTCCTTTTCATTTTTTTTTTTGGACGAAAGCCTCAACTCTTTGCCCCGTTACAGTGTGGCACGAACGGCTTGCTGCTGCATTGTCTCAACCCCAACTTTGCTGGGCGACCACTTCCCGAAAGTGTGCACACCACCGCATTGGCAACACACACACACGGGAGGAGCAAATGTGCCGTGCCGTAGAGGACCACAGCGTCTCGATTGAAAGCTTTCGTGACTGCAGGGATTCATCTTCTTGGTTCTTTCGGTAAAGTCACGTAGAAGGGAAGTAATAAAATAATAAAAATAAAACATAATAAAATAATTCTCACGACGTCTCGGCCACAACGCAAGCAGCCGTCCTCAGGTGAAGACCAGGTCTGTCGGGAAGAGACAGCGTCTGAAACATTCAGACGCTGTCTCCCCGACAGACCTGGTCTTCACCTGAGGATGGCTGCTTGCGTTGTGGCCGAAACGTCGTGAGAATTATTTTATTATGTTTTATTTTTATTATTTTATTACTTGCCTTCTACGTGACTTTACCGAAAGAACCAAAAAGATGAACCACAGCGTCTGTTCAGCGGATAGTGGCCGGAGAGCGAACGCGCTTTCGCAACGCAATCTCCCTCCCCCGCCGCCCTCTACCCCTTCCAGGAACTTGATTTCGCCAAACAACGTGGGCGCAAGCGACCCTCTCGGGTTCCTCAACAGGAAAAGGGTCACTTCTGCAAATCCTCGTCGAGGCTGTCGTGTTTGACCGGCTCTTCTTTTTATTTTCTGTTCATAAGAAGCGGCGGCAGGCCACAAGGTTTGCTGACTCAAGACCGCCGGCATTTCATTGGCAAGGACACTGACCAATAAATTAACCCGTAAAAACAAAGTTTTTCACTATAAATCCTTTACTATGCGTGGTGGCTAGAGTCCTCTCGTCCTCTGGCTTGAGATGGATGCCACCTATGGGTCAGATGATTGCCTGCCACCATTAAGCAATTGGTAATTAAATATAATTTAAAAAAATTCCTAAAAAGTGTAAAGTTATGGAAAAAAATTTTCACGAAAATAAACTGTCACGCACAACGAGTCTGTGTGCAAAATGTCAGCTCGATTGGATCACGGCAAGTGGGTTAAAAAACGACCGAAAGATTTGCACGGTCGTAAGCGCGCAAGCAAGCAAGCAAGTGAACTTAATATAAAGGATTTAAAAAGGGTGACGTTTGCTCAATTCGACTCGCCAAACGCGCTTGTATGTATGCTGAACTTCTTTCGCACCGTACGTAGTCAACCGTGATAATCGGAGGTATACGGGGGGAAGGACAACAAACTAAACACAGCAAGCAGCTCTAAAGAAACGAGTTTTCGATCCAGATTTAAAAGTGGAAAGTTCAATTGGCGTCCTGATATCGGCACTTGCTCACTCGCCGCTCACTCACTCAATCACTCAGCCACTCACTTGCTGTTCACTCACTAACTTACCCACTCACACTTAACCATTTGCTCACTCACTAACAGAGGTCGCAACCGGGTACCCGATACCCGTACCCTACCCGATACCCGGCTACCCGTACCCGGCCGGGTACGGGTACCCGTTTGCGACCCTGGTGCGGCCGGGTACGGGTAGGCCGTGAGTCACTGGTGAGTAACCGTTTGTCACTCATTTTCCAACGTCTTGTCTCTTCTCACAATTCAAGTTCCTAGAATCAACCCACCCGCGCCTGCAACATGGCTTCATCCCAGAGGTCGCAATCGGGTACCCATACCCTACCCGATACCCGGCCGGGTACGGGTAGCCGGGTATCGGGTAGGGTACGGGTACCCGATTGCGACCCTGGTGCAGCCGGGTAGGGGTACGGGTAAGGAATCAAAACCCGTTTGCGACCTCTGCTCACTAACCCACTGACTCAACGATTTACTCATTCACTCACTCGATCACACTCATCTACGCACTCACTGACCTGCTCACTCACTCGCTCATTCACTCATGCACTCACCTGCATAATCACTCCCTTGATGAACCACTTACTTAACAGCATGTTTGCTTGATCACTCAACCACATGCTCAGTCAAGTCGCTCTCACACTCATTCACTCACTTGCTCATTCACATACTCACCCAACACTACACTCATACTCACGTTGTTTCATGGTGTCAAAGGACTTTCGCAGAGCACTGTGATACGGAAAAGACACGGCAAACACACAAAACATAATCAGCATTAACTCACCCTACATTTCCATAGCATCGCCGACCTACTAAATTTCCCACCAAATTCATTGCTGCTGCAATAACTACGCACACATACACACAGCAGTCTACTAAATGAGTATATAAACCCCGCATTAAATGGCTGAAAACATCTTAATGTACAGAGGGCCGCAGAACTTGGGCAAACGTTGACACACGGCTCGCCGCCTGGCTGCTTTCTAGCGAGTTTGCTGTTCCTCGGCGATTCTGAGATGCAATTTACGTGCACGACGCTCTGATGAAAACGAAAAGAGTAAAACGGCACGCAACGTGCGTATTTCGTCCCAGGAGGTCACTCACTTAAGCTCTGTGTGCCCACCAGCTTTCCGGGCCAGATGAATGAGATCCTTTCCGTAGCGATCCTCCAGGTTTGCTCTGGCGGGCAGTCGATGGGCGCACACACAAGGGAGACAACTCATCAGCCGGCGTCTCAACGAGGCCTCCTTCCCGGTGTACAGAGAGGTTCTTGTTTTCCACCAGAAGTGATTCTTAGGTAAATGCATTTGGATAAAAAAAAACTGCTGCAAGCAAGCCCAATGGAGAAATGGGTAATTTGCGTACGTTTTGCTGTTGTGGAAATCTCACAAATATGATAGGACTAAAGAATATTTGAGAATTGTTGACTTGTACGAATGCATGTTGAACTTTTTTCGCACCGTACGTAGCCAACCGCGCTAATCGTAGTTGCGGGGGGAAAGACAACACACTAAACACAAAAAGCGGTTTTAAAGAAATGAGTTTTCAAACTAGATTAAAGGGTGCATAACCCCAGTGGCTTCCTAATGAAGAAAGGAAGAGCGTTCCAGACGGCCGCAGAAGCGGATCTGAAAGCGCGCGATGCGGTAACCACCGTCTTTGTTCGATGGCGAGCCAAAATCCGCTGCGAGGATGATCGGAGTTCGCGTGAGATGGTTTATGTTCCTTGAGATGAACAAGGTGTTGTGGTTCATTTGTGGCAAGCACTTTTTGTGATGAGTTCGACCTTATGTATTCTGTCGGCAACCGGATTTGCGACCAAATGCAAATGAATTGGAATTTAAGTTTACAAAATTGATGGAAACGGGTTTCCCAACGTAAACAACCACACGTTTTGATGACCACATGTGCATAACGGTTAATTTACTGACAGATTTTTGTACTTTTTTTCGCGACATTAATTCGATTTGTGCTGCTGACATCACGTCATGCGATGAAGGTTTCCTTTCGGAATGCGGAATGCTCGCAGAGCTGCGCATTGCCCTGGGCGCGAGAACGGCCCGTGAGAAAGACATCACAGAACTACTACTGAGATCCCTTTAAATAACTTCTTTAAAACACCAAGGGAATGCTGCACTCTCCCTCATTTTGATGATCAAACATTCTGGGCTGAGGACCGTTAGCTCACTAAACCTGAGCAGTTGAATCACGGGAGGCTAAAACCCACGTTCCACTCAGCGATGTGGCCATCGAGTGTGCAGGCGGTACAACTGCATCAGACTTCAGAGACCACAAAGGCGCAGCTTGGCTCTGGTCTATGACATACGTGGAAATTGGACAGGAGGCCACATTTATTTTGAGAATCCGAATCTTTATTAACCGTGGAGAAACCCGATGATCTGTGAAGCTCTTTCTCACAGGGTTCCAGTCGGGGCGGGTGAGAACGTGACAACAACTTTGCTCACAACAATACAACAAAACGATAGGGAGTGCAAGGTACAATAAAGGTATGCAACTCACTACAATTAAATAAAGAGTCAACTTTTGTTTTATTTTACCGGGCAAAGCCCACTGCGCTATTCTATTTCAGAAGCGACCTGGCCACAAGCGATACCTCAACGAAGTGGCTCATCGTGTGGAAATTCTTAGCAGCCAAATACTCTGAACTCATGTCGATCAAAAATGTAGAGGGAAAAGCCGGAGGACCCGGAACAAAATCCACGCCACCACGTTGAGAGAGACATGCACACTTTAAACATACAGGCGCCAGGGTTGGGATCGACACCACGATTTCCTGTATACCAGGCGATGTGGTTAACATCTCGCCATTCACAGCAGCCAAATATCTTCTTAGTTCTTTCGGTAAAGTCACGTAGAAGGGAAGTAATAAAATAATAAAAATAAAACATAATAAAATAAAATAATTCTCACGACGTTTCGGCTACAACGCAAGCAGCCGTCTTCAGGTGAAGAATGAGACAATGCCAAGCTAGGAGCTTATATATAAGCTGCGTTGGAGGTGGAGGAAAGAGCGCCTTAACAAAAGAATGTGCATGTGAAGAGGAATTTAGCATATTCATGGCAAATGCGTAGGAGGTGGGCGGGGGGGTTTCAAAGTCATATTATGCCCATGCATTATGCAGGATCAACAGCACCAAGGGGGGGTGCAGGGATTAGCAGTAACAAAGGAAACACGTACGCCAAGCTCTTAAGGTTAATGGTTACTCCGACTACACAATCCGCAAAGCCATCACTCCAACCATCAAGAAGGATCCTGTTGAGGAGCCTTTCAAGACCATCACCTTACCCTACATTGCTGGGGTCACAAAAAAGATCTCCAAAATCCTGATTAAACACAAGATCCAGGTCCGATTCAACACAGTACATAAAATCCGTGATCTGGTACCGTCTGTAAAAGATGTGGTTCCAGACATACAGTACCCTGGCGTCTACAAACTAAGTTTCCTCTGTGGTAGCAGTTACATTGGGGAAACCAAACGACATGTCTCGGACCGCATCCGTGAACATAAAGCTGACCTGAAACACGGTAGGACAAACACCTCAGCCGTGGCAGATCACTGTTACAACTCAGTGGGCTCACATGATATTGACTTCTCCAAGACAGAGGTTCTCTGCAAGCCATCTGGCTATCATGAGAGATTCGTTCATGAGGCGATCCACATATACAAACACAGAGACAATTTTAACCGAGAAGATGGATTCTGGCTTAGCAATCATTTGAAGGAAGGACGTAATAAACCATTTCGACACACATTAGGGTGGGTAGAATAATACATAGTGTTATATTAAATGTATAAGATATAGGTTGGTTTACAGCAATACAGTATATAATTTAATGTTGGCAGTATATAGTACGGTATATGCTCGTGTGATGCAATAGAATAAAGTTTAGATGGAAGCATATTATATAATTTTTACGACGTAGAATTGTAATGTATTACTTGCTGTTAGTAACTCAGCTTAGTGTAGAGTATAGTAAGTATACTGATGGTGCTATGCTATTTATACTTTAGTTTTTTTTTATGTAGTTTATACTTTAGTTTTCTACGTGGTGGTTGAGTAACTGCAGCTACATATCATTAACATTCCTTTCCTTTGTTACTGCTAATCCCTGCACCCCCCCTTGGTGCTGTTGATCCTGCATAATGCATGGGCATAATATGACTTTGAAACCCCCCCGCCCACCTCCTACGCATTTGCCATGAATATGCTAAATTCCTCTTCACATGCACATTCTTTTGTTAAGGCGCTCTTTCCTCCACCTCCAACGCAGCTTATATATAAGCTCCTAGCTTGGCATTGTCTCATTCTTCACCTGAAGACGGCTGCTTGCGTTGTAGCCGAAACGTCGTGAGAATTATTTTATTTTATTATGTTTTATTTTTATTATTTTATTACTTCCCTTCTACGTGACTTTACCGAAAGAACTAAGAAGATGAATCCCTGCAGTCACGAAAGCTTTAAATCGAAATTACAGCAGCCAAATAATTGCATTTTTTGCACGAGTGCCCACACTTCCCACCACCGATTCGAACCGGGAACTCGGTAGCCCACCCGATTCAAGAGCCGAATGGCTCACAGGGCTATACCTAATAAATAAACTGAAAGATAAATAAATAAACGGCCACCTCTCTGCGTCACCTGCTTTTGATGAGATCCTCCACGTCTTTGCACATTTTGCGGCCATCCGTGAGTCGGGCGACGAGGACATCATAACCCACGGTGCTCGTGAAGTCGGCGCACTGCGTCAGGCACCATCATCAGCAGCAGCAGCACAGGCAGCGATAGTGTCATGACAGGAGAGTCAAACCTATGGTGCGAGTGGACTAGTGGCCACGGGAGGTAATGACAGAGGAGTCAGCCTGCAGTGAGTGGACTAGTGGCCACGGGAGGTAATGACAGGGGAGTCAGCCTACGGTGTGAGTGGACTAGTGGCCACGGAAGGTAATGACAGGGGAGTCAGCCTACGGTGTGAGTAGTCTAATGGCCACGGGAGGTAATGACAGGGGAGTCAGTCTACGGTGTGAGTGGACTAGTGGCCACGGGAGGTAATGACAGGGGAGTCAGCCTACGGTGTGAGTAGTCTAGTGGCCACAGGAGGTAATGACAGGGGAGTCAGACTGCGGTGCTAGTGGACTAGTGGCCACGGGAGGTAATGACAGGGGAGTTAGCCTACGGTGTGAGTGAACTAGTGGCCACGGGAGGTAATGACAGGGGAGTCAGCCTGCGGTGTGAGTGGACTAGTGGCCACGGGAGGTAACGACAGGGGAGTCAGCCTACGGTGTGAGTGGACTAGTGGCCACGGGAGGTAACGACAGGGGAGTCAGCCTGCGGTGTGAGTGGACTAGTGGCCACGGGAGGTAATGCCAGGGGAGTCAGCCTACGGTGTAAGTGGACGAGTGGCAACGGGAGGTAATGACAGGGGAGTCAGCCTGCGGTGTGAGTGGACTAGTGGCCACGGGAGGTAATGACAGGGGAGTCAGCCAACGGTGTAAGTGGACGAGTGGCAACGGGAGGTAATGACAGGGGAGTCAGCCTGCGGTGTGAGTGGACGAGTGGCAACGGGAGGTAATGACAGGGGAGTCAGCCTGCAGTGTGAGTGGACTAGTGGCCACGGGAGGTAATGACCTGGGGAGTCAGCCTACGGTGTGAGTGGACGAGTGGCAACGGGAGGTAATGACAGAGGAGTCAGCTTGCAGTGAGAATGGACTAGTGGCCACGGGAGGTAATGACAGGGGAGTCAGCCTATGGTGTGAGTGGACTAGTGGCCATGGGAGGTAATGACTGGGGAGTCAACCTACGGTGTGAGTGGACTAGTGGCCACGGGAGGTAATGACAGGGGAGTCAGCCTACGGTGTGAGTAGTCTAGTGGCCACGGGAGGTAATGACAGGGGAGTCAGCCTACGGTGTGAGTGGACTAGTGGCCTCGGGAGGTAATGACAGGGGAGTGAGCCTGCGGTGCTAGTGGACTAGTGGCCACGGGAAGTAATGACAGGGGAGGCAGCCTACGGTGTGAGTGGACTAGTGGCCACGGGAGGTAATGACAGGGGAGTCAGCCTACGGTGTGAGTGGACTAGTGGCCACGGGAGGTAATGACAGGGGAGTCAGCCTGCGGTGTGAGTGGACTAGTGGCCACGGGAGGTAATGACAGGGGAGTCAGCCTACGGTGTGAGTGGACTAGTGGCCACGGGAGGTAATGACAGGGGAGTCAGCCTGCAGTACGAATGGACTGGTGGCTACGGGAATGGTCGAGAATAGGAGCGTGGCCAGGTGACGGAAGAGGACGGTGGAGTCTGCTGGTGGAGCAAGCGTCTAGAACCAGCGAAAAGGTTCGGGAATGGGGGCGTGGCCTCGTGTCGGTATACAAGGGGGAGATGCGCGGGAGACTCGGAGCTGTTGCAGTGGGGCTCTCCGCCTGTTCAAGTGAACGTGTCTTCAATAAAATAAACCATCTCAAGAAAGTGTGTCAAGTCGTCATTGCAATAGTATGAGTACTCCCAGCAACAGCGGAACCAGGTTTACGACCTCAAGTACAACCAGCACTACGGATGCCAGCACCAAGCATTGCAACCACCCAAAAGACAAAGATCCCCCGTATAGCCTGAACAGACTGTTGGGGCAAGTGCTGTTAGCGAGCACCTATGAAAGCCGGCACGGCACACGAGCGGGTGGCTGGCCAACACCACGCCCGGCCGCCTTTGTTTCCCCAGTGGCGATGTGTACACATCGCACCAGGTACTCATTCGCAGCTGAGTCGACCTAGGGGAGGCCCAGGACCAATTTAGATAATCGTCACTGGTGTTAGCCATGAGCGGTAATCGAACTCGGGTCGCCTGGTTCGTAGCGCAGCGTGCGAACCACTACCCTGCCATCGCCACGAGCACCAATATTACAACCAGTGCAGTGCTGCATATATATTCTCTAAGACTGCTCTAATATACGTATGTTCGTAGCGGTGAGTGCAGCAAGTGCGGCAATTACACTGCAACACGTCAGTATTTTAGGAACACGAGTCAAGTATATAAGCGAAGTTCCTCTTGTGTTTACATTATATATCTGTAAATACTGGGGTCTCACTTGAAGCAGGTATATAACGTGGGCTGTCATTACTAATGAAGACTTGGACAGCATAAAATTGCAGTATTTCATCTTAAATACACCTGAACAAAATTCCTAAAAACACAAAACAGTATAAAAACGGAGATTAAAAACGATGTAGCTATAAATGCGGGTCGGAGCTTCATCTAGCAGGGGATTGACAACTGTAAATTATAGCAGTACTGTAACTCCATAAGTTCTGCTATAAGGAAGGTGATTGAAATATATTAAGCAAGCCATGAGGGATTGATGTAAATTATAAATGTTCGCAAGAGAGTTGAAAGTATCTGCATATGTAGTCAGGTCTAGGTTTACAAAACTGGTAATGAAAAAACATTTCGAGGGCCTGATGGGGGTCAAACCATTTTAAAACGACTGTTTCAGTTTTTAAACCAACGCCTAGGAAGGTTTGCAGTGGGAGAGTTTAAAGCATGCTGAATCCCAAAGTGACATCTGTGGAAATACTGAACATCTGTGAAAAAAAGCTTCATAGCTCATCGGATTCCTCCAGTATAAACACATATTCTGATTCTGTCATTTCAACAACCCATTTTTTTCTGGAACTTTTTGGAAATGTCCGTCACTAAAGCCAATATTTAACACATAGTATTAGGAGGTGGCTTTCGCGACCAATATTATCCATAAGAGGGATTATTTTGGGTGACATCGCGTAAATATAAGACCGAAAATATGAGGATGTCTCCCCAATTCTGGCTGCCGCCTGATGATGCTGGTTGTCGTAATTACCGGTGAAACGTCACGGAAACTCGAATTGTAAATGTTGTGGGTTTAATCTCCAACACTCCGGAGTGCTGATCTAGTAACTAACTGGCACGTTTTAGTTACGCGACAAACCTTACTAATTGGCTGTATCAGGTGGTGGCGGGTTTAACGACACATTTATAGTTACGCGATCTTACCCAAAAAAAACCCTCTTATGGATAAAACCAAAAATGATGCTGGCAAAACCCACAAACAGCAACAGCCATGATCGATCCACTGCTGAATGAAAAGCTTCCCAAGCCGTCGCCATCTCTCACGGTCCTACGATGTCACAATCCGCAAACACCGGCGGCGAAGGGCACGGGGAGGCCTTCATCCAGCAGTGGACAGAACACGGCTAATACTGATAATGAAACATAAGCTAAGGGTTTAATGTAGGCCAACCGCTTATGACAAGATGCGGGCTGAGAGACACTTACCTCTAAATTATCTTTGCATGGGTTCACGGGAAATGTCTCAATTTTTATCCGTAACAATTTTTTTAATGCCCGAGAGATGTTTTTTTTGCTCTTTGACAAACTGATGGCAAGTGTCAGTGAAGGGGGGGTCTGTGTCGACACTCACCCAGAAAGAGTCCTTGAACCTCATTGGCATCATGCTGGCAGCACGAGAGGACACCCGGGCACTGAGAGAGCCTTGGTAACCACGAGGGGTTTTGTTTTTTTGCATTGCAAGTAGCCGGTGACAAAGGGGAAGTAACGAATCGTTGCGCTGGGATAGGCTGCCGTTCCCGTTTCAATGAATCGACAGCCGTGACACGTTGGCAATTCCTAAATATGATTATGTTTTATATAACATACTTTATTATCTTCTTGGTTCTTTCGGTAAAGTCACGTAGAAGGGAAGTAATAAAATAATAAAAATAAAACACAATAAAATAATTCTCACGACGTTTCGGCCACAACGCAAGCAGCCGTCCTCAGGTGAAAACCAGGTCCGTCGAGGCGACAGACTTCCCTTCTACGTGACTTTACCGAAAGAACCAAGAAGATGAATCCCTGCAGTCATGAAAGCTTTAAATCGAAATACTTTATTATGTAATTGATAACGTAGTTGCGGAGTGCAGAGGGTGATGATTTTATATTCCTGGCCAAGGCAAAGATCAGCTGAGAGCGATGTCTGCACTAGTCCTGGGGATTGCCCCTTCAACAACTTGCACCAGTGTGGTGAAGTATAGTCGAGCAGCACTCCCACATCACTGACAAGGCTTGGAGATGCCTCCATCCAGTGGTGGCTTGGCAGAGGCCTCTAAAATATTCATATCGACCAAGGCTGAAATACATTTGGAAAACCGTACCCAGGCGGAGGATGCAGTTTATGAACCTCTTCGCTGTACCCAATAGGACAGGAAGGTGGAAGCAACACGTAGGGATCGAGGAGTTGATGAGACGTAAATTATTTACTTTTCCATGACATGTTTTGTTGGGTTGGATCGCGTGAATGTGTCGTTAAACCCGCCACAACAAATTCGTAGGGGTTGTCACGTAAACAAAACGTGGCAATTCGTTATTAGTTCAGCACACCGGTGTGTTGGAGAATAAACCCACAATTACATTTTGCCATGACGTTTCGCCGGCAATCACAACCAGCCTCACCAAGCGACGGCCAGAATTGGTCACGAAAGCCGACGTGTTACACTATTTACTTCGATAAAACCCCAAGCGGTCTGTCTCCCCATGACTTTCCCCATCTGGAGGCATTTGTTATCTTGGCCGTCACCGATTGTCACTCGGTTGTCCCACAAGGCTGTAGAATGTCTCACCCAGCTCAAGCCAAGACACCCCGAGTGTCTTGGCTTGCTCGGCAATCCAGCGGTTCCAGGTTCCCCTTGCCCCACGTTTCCGTCTTCGCTGTTGTAACATGACCCAAGACTGAAAATACTGTCAACACTAAATAATCAACGGCGGCATAATCAATCTAGTGCAGCATTAAGGTCTTCCAACATCATTCCCAACATGGGCTGTGTGGTCTTGATGTGAAGCTTTTGTGACTGCAGGAATCCATACTCTCTGGTTCTACGTGACTTTACCGAAAGAACCAGAGTATGGGCTGTGTGATCATACTCTAAGTTTTTACGGTAAAGTCACGTAGGTAAAAAATGAAATTAATAAAAATAAAATAATAAAAATCACGTTTCGGAGGCAACACAAGTCTCCGTCATCAGGTGGGATCGTCACAGCCAGATTTGCTGTATCAAGTGAGGCAGGAATTCCAAGATACACGTTCTTAAATACATGTTAAGGGGGTGTGATGATACTTCCCCACGCTGGCCAGTGTGATGTGTTGATGGCCCAGAACTGGTTCAGATATCATTCGAGGGTAATGTCATGCGTAGCCAATGATTATAGTAGTTTGCTAACCACCCCACCCCACCCAGTGTAATGATTATTATTGTTGTCACGCCACTGCTACCCTTTATCCTTTTCTTAAAATACGCACGAGGGCCCTTTTTGAGGCTGAAGTGGCCTCAGTGTAAGAGATGAGTGTGCATTGAACGCGGCCAAGGGTTTTTTTTTAATGTGCGCCGCGAGCTGGCTCGATGCGACGGATACCGCCGTCGTCAAGAGCGTTGGGGGTTATGCAAACTGTGGGGCCCGTTGGCAGATGAACGGCAAAACTGTAAACTCCTCGTGCTGCGGTGGAGCACGATCCTGTGGATGAGGTGGAGACGGACAGACCGGCCCCGATTGGCGGCGCGAGTTGACAAAAGGAACTGGGCAGGAGACACGAACGAAGAAACAGAAAAGAGCATCACGTGCGCACACGCAGCCTTCGGATCAATCATTTTATGCTTTAATCCAATGACGTCGCCCACTTTTGCAAAAACATCACAGTACAGGACATCACCTCCAGTGAGACATTTAAGAGTGCATTCTTGAACACGCAGCCTTTTCAAATTCCACGGGGAGGAAGTTGGGAGGCGAACTAAATCAAAAGGTCATTTTGCACGCGTACGCGTGAAAACTATATGGTTTGGGAGGTGGGGGGGGGCTAATCTGGCGTCTAGGTTGGAACACGTAGGGAAAGGCAGTGGTGAGAATGGGCCACCCGAATCCACCCCGCCCCCCCCCCACAATCGAGCCTTTGGCCACGTCAGGATGCTTTAGCGATGCTAAATTGTCGCTCAATTTGCATGCGGACAACTCCACCCCCGTGCGTACACAGCAAGCGGGACAATGCAAAACAGCCCCAGGTTAGGCCTTCAAAAACCAATTCCCTTGGTCCTGGGCCACAAGGCGTGCGCAGTGGATGCTGTATCCCAGCCGAGTGTCTGAACGTGCACGCGCTTGTTCCGCCAAACGGCTGTGCACGCGCTTTGTTGAAATTTAAGATTTGCACTCACTTCGATCGCTGCCGAGATTTTTGCAAAGTTGCGACATTCATGGCTACAAGTCGCCCACGCATTATAACGGTCCACCATGTAACTCTATCTCGTGCCTCACGCAATGTAAACGACCATGGACCTAATGGGGGGGAAAAAAGACAACAAAAAGAAAAACACACCTAATGATAGAGTTGCAACCCATTAACATCCCTCAATTTGGAAAATAACTTAGGCATTCTAAAATTGCTTTCCCCCACCGGCAGCGAGTCCGACGGAAAAACATCGGGGCAAAAACTCTCAAGCAGAAACCAAGAGCACAGTGGACCGGCAGCATTAACAGCACGGGAGATGAAACACGGAGCATGCCGTCCAAAGACGTACACGCACGCCATAAGCCTCGTTTCCACAAGACCACCTTCTCTGGAATGGCTTCCCATGTGCAGGATTCACTTGTGAACAGAGGAGGAAGTGACATCATGCGGGGGGGCCCCACCTCCCACTCTACTCTCTGGAAAAACCACGAAGCCGAGGAGGGCCAAAATATTACACCGACGGCAAGAAGTCATTTGACAACCGGGCAACAACATTTTATTCTTGACGCAGAACAATCGATCCGCCTGTCACGACACGGCTGTTGGGGACGCGGCTTGGCGACGCGATGACATGTTTCGGCGTGAGCCGTGCCCTGCAGGGTGGCTTCATGCTACCGCGATGTTTAAAGCGCACAGGAGGCAGTGGTGTCGTGTCCAAAGACCCGGCAGCGCAATGCACCCCCCCCCCCAACCACTGCACCAACACGAGTGAGCACCCGTCCCTGGTATCAATGGAATTGGGCGACTTTCGTAGCACGGGCTGGGTGAAATATAAATTCACTAAAGTACAATAGTAATTTTTACTCTCTTACCGACATATTTAATAACCTTAAACACGTATATGTGTGTGTGCCTATACATACATAAAATCAATTACTTGACTTTAACACTATTTACTTTCGTGGATCGGTTGTGGTTCAGATACGAGTGAGCAGCTCTAAATTTAAATTAGTTGTATTGGGTCCTGTCCTTTAAAAAAAAAGGGCTTTCCTTGTTTCGGTTTTGCACGAGACTCGTTAATACCGCTACGGTTCATCTGAAACAAGGCAGGAATGACATCGTTCATGAGTTCTTGCTTCTTTTCTCGTCTCCGTGCCTTCATCACGAATGGCTCTGAGTTTGGGACGCCATGAATTCCTACAGCCACATCAACCTTAGTGTGTTTACAGTTTTTAGTAGCTTCAAAACAGTATAAATAATTGCAATAAGGAACAAACTACCGCTGTAATCATACCAACAAGCGTGGACAGTGCACTGCGAGATGGGTACAGGTAGCCAGAGGTCAAGAGAGTACATTTGAAATTGTAAATCCATTACAGAATGCTAATAACACCAAAACCAGTTAACAATGACTAAATACACTGGAGACTAGGGCGTCGATCACCAATCATTAATCGTGATGCAACCAGAGTAATCTGCTACGCAATCCATTAACACTGCTGCAGACAAGCAAGGTAGTGAATTGCAGTACGCAAATTACATTCCGGGTTACATTCTATGACTTCGCGAACGTCATCGTTTCCTCTCCCCCCCACCCCCCCTCCCAATTGCTGATCACTTGCACCGCCGTTCTGGCCGGGGTGACCACGCGAAACAAACTCTTCGGGACACACGCGTCCCATACACAAGAGAATGTTAAAAACAACCTCTAAAATACGCGTACATATTTACGTAATCAAAACAGGAGAGAGAAACAAACAAACAAACAAAAACACTTCAAATAGTGAGAAAGCAATCACAGAATAATTCCCTAAAATACGCAAGCAGCTTCTAATCAGAAGGCCGGGGCTGTGACTCGGAGTTTTACGGAAAACCGAGAGGGCTTGAGGTTGCCGGCCTCCATGCGACGCGGCTTCGCCAATGCAGCGGGCGCTGTGTATGGATCACGCTACGCACGCACGGACGCAGGCACTCGCGCTCCATTGCACGTGTTTACAGATCGACACAAAACATTAAAACGCAGAATCAGTTGCTACTGCTGCTGCGGCCAACTTCGCGGGGGGAATTGGTGTAATAGGAAGACGATGACAGGAAGAAAAACAAAAACAACACAACATGCAGAAAACAAATATCGCATTGCCACGTCTTGTTCACTCAACCCCAAGTCTGGACGCAGTTTGCACAACAACCGTACGCTTGCCCTCATGTTCCCTTTGTTGAAACACAAGAGAATTTTTTTTACCTCGGCAGACTTTAGAAGACCTGGCTGCCACCTGCTGACAGGCCACCCACACTGCTTTCTTGAGCTGTTAAGTGATGCACAGCTGAGTGATGCAAGGAACCCCACAGTCACTAAAAGTTGACAATTTTTGGAATGTGGGTGACCTGACGGTCTAACCTTGCTCAGGATTAACGCTTTCCCATTCAGAGACATCTGCACCACTGAATCTCGGAACGTGCAAGCGGTCAGCGTTCATTTCAATTAGAGAGGCGTAGCGCCGCTGTTTTTAAAGACAATATAACTCACCGCAGAGAACTGTAGCGGCACAACCGCACGGACAGCTGGCGCCAAACTGTGCCACAACGCCCTCCCGCGTTGGCCTTTTACTTCCGAATCCGGTCCGATGACGTGCTCGTCGCCAACGTCATCGGAACGGAGTCGGCAAAAGAACTGATGTCGTACATGCACGTCATCAGTACATGCACGTCATCGGAATGGGAAAGGGTTAAGAAGAGACAATGACAAAAACAAGAATTGGGAGTGACCACCGTAAATGTAAATTTACACCAATATTCATCGTACCTGGTTCCGTCCATGTGTTACAAATGCTGCTCGACAGCGTTTGCTTTGTGGTCTGGTAACACTCAAAAGCGTATTCATTTCGCAGAAGTGCTTGCAACATTGTGTACTTATTTGAGGCTGAACAGACATAGGAGAGGTCCAAACTGATAATTTCAAGTCCTATCAATGTGGGATAGGATTCAAGTTGGGATTTCCGGGATAAAAAGGCGCAATAAGTGCCATGCCACCCCTGCATCGAATTTACGGGGATTTTAAAGGGCTTCAATGTGGCTGCAGGTTGTTAGCAAGAGGCAATGAAGGCATTCAAACCAAGACATTATGCCAAAGAAAGACGCTATACAGGGGGCATCGGCAAAGAATGTGCAGGGAATCGTGCACCAAGTATCGGAAATCACGTGGCATTTGTGCATCACCGGTATCCTCCCACAATCCCCTGCATGACCACGTTCGGGAAATAACTGGGTGGTATTTACACCCGCGCTCTAAAACCGCACGACGCAGCATTATAAACCGGTGAAAAACTTGTCCACCGCGAAGCGTCGGAAGAGAGGGGGGTAGTTGTAAAGGAGTACAGCGCGGGGCAGGCGGGGGGGGGGGTGGCATGGGCTGCATGGCTGTGTGATGGGTGGACTGACGAACGGGACAGATAGACGGACAGGCATTGAGAGGCGCCTGCAAGGTGCCCGTTCAGTTAGGGGTGAACGTGTTCCTTGCCGCGCTGGTAGCCGCCGTCGCGGCCGCGTTCTGCACCGTTCGGTTGGACATGACGCCCGTAGCGAATTCCTGCTGCGCCTTCTCGAAGCTGGCGCCCGTCTGTCGGTACAGCGAGTGCACCTGCGGCACGGGCGACAGGGGCGGGGGGGCAGGGCACACAGACACCGTCAGAGGGCAAAATGCCAAAGCCGAAAGAAGAAAAAATTAAGCGTGGACTATTCGCGAACAATAACGGTAATGCTCGCGGGCAAAGTGCGCAGCGTGCGTGTAATATCGTTTGTTTGCTACGCATGTGTCAATCGTCACCACGAACACCTTGGCAAACGAGATGTTCCATCTCAGGGGATTAAAGAGCAGCCCATGGTAGAGACGTCGGGAATTGGACAGCAGCTCTGTTGAGGTCGACGCATTTTGGCCAGCCAGGCTCGGGACAACAAGGTGGGGGGGGTCCCTACGACCACGGATTGGGTTTTATAAATTTTGGGTCGAAATTACCAATACCATATTTTATCCTAAAGTTTTGTTTCCCAGATCATCTTTTCAAGAGTTATCATGCACCGCCCCTCCCCCCCAGCTCCTAATACAGACAGGCAGCCAAAGCTGAAGCATAAATGCATTCGATCATAGTGGAAAAGAGTTCAACAAAGAGTAGTAAAGGCTGGGGGACATGCATGGCGAGTCATGGTCAGGGGTAAGGCTCGTGCCAGATGGATAGTTGATAAGCAGAGGAGTTGGGCTCGACACTCACAACAGCTTTCCCCTTCACCACTTTATGCTCAATTTCACGTTTGGCTTTTACAGCGGGTCCCATCCATATGACCGCTCAAGACATGGGCTAAATCTCAGCCAATACATGCCTTTCGCAACTGGGGCCAGAACCTGGGCCAAGATCATAATCCTGTCCTGCAGTGAAATAAACGTTTAGCTTAGATTGCCAAAGTGCTCATTTAAATCAAGAGAATAATTTGGTTAATATTCACAAAAACGTAATCCGTTTTCAGGACTATATTCTCGCCAAATATTTTAGGGGAGCTCATCGCCACTGCCTTCAGCTTTTTTGGACACTGCAGACAGTAACGTGTGACAAACAATTAAAGCCAATCGCAAGCCACCAGATGGACAGGCTGGCAGACCAAACATCAAATATGTATGTTAAGTTATTATTATTATGAGCCTGAAATTAAATCACCCTGACAGCCTGACAATTATAGATGCCCACTATGTCTGTACCATCGTCTTAAGATGCAGATGAAATGAGCCGACACATAAATACACGTGGTACTATATTGTCAAGGAATTGGTCAAATATCCAATTGTATGACTCTCCTGGAAGTCTTCTGACTGGGTGAAGCTTTCATCTGGAAATATAGGGAATATTTATGATAATTTATGATTATCCCTACAAGCCATAGGGCTGTCTGCACGGGCGCCCACCTTCTTGAGCATGACCACGGAGAGCACAGCCGACCCGGTGAAGAACGCGGCCAGCAACATGAGGATGATGCCGACAGCGATGCTGTGGTTCAGCGCCTCCAGAGACGCGATCCAACCGCTGTGAATGACACGGCGACGTGCAACAGTGTGTGGGCGTGAGCCCAACGGTGTGTGCGTGGTACCCTCTAAGTTACAACCACAGCACGGGTTAACACAGCAGTCGCATATGAACCACATGGGCCATATGAGAGGCGCGTCACAAGTGCGTCATATGGAAAATCATGATGACCACGTTGCAGTATTTTATCATTTTTACAGCTCCTGTCAATCCACTGGTGTATGAAGGCCACCCAATGCCACCATCGGGAGTTGCTTGACCACACTACTTCACCATGCTGGTCAGCATGGGTTCGTAAAAGGGGTTCAGCTCAGGGATGGATTCATATATAATTCGCCACTGATGTTTGTAGCGGCCAGGAATCTAATTCAGGTTACTGGGGTCATCACATCGCATACGAACCGCTGCACCAAACAATCCATGTTTAAAGATAACATGCGCGGGTTGGTTAAGGCGGTCACCTGGCCCAGGACCGGTTCCGATATTCACTCACCACTGATGTTCAATGTGGCCAGAGATTGAGCTCAGGTCGTTGAGTTCACAGTGCAGTGAGCAAACAACTGCATTACCGCTCAACCGTTCTTTGTCATTAATTAAGATGAAAGCCTGCGTCAGTCAATGTGGGAAACGGAGCCTTAAATTGCAATAGCAAAATAGGAGTAATTTTTTTTAAATGTACGTCCTCCTTTCGTATGAATTTTAACAGCAGACGCTGAACTTTGGGATTCACCAGGAAGTTCAATCATCCGGCGTTAGGCGGCGCAACACCACAATTTGGCAGGCGCTGGGAACAGGGAGAAAGCCACACAGGCACGTACCAGTTTCCCCAGCCCGGGATGCCGATGGACTGCATCACGTGCACCACAAACTGGCAGAAGAAGATGAAGAAGAAAAGGAAGAAATTGAAGGAGCTGTCACTCCTGGAAGGGGAGGAGAAAACAAACAAAACATTAAATATTGATTTAAAGCTTTCGTGACTGCAGGGATTCATATTCTTGGTTCTTTCGGTAAAGTCATGCAGAAGGGAAATAATAAAATAATATAAAACAATAAAAATTCTCACAACGTTTCGACTGCAACACAAGCAATCATCATCAGGTGTGAAATCCACAGATGATTGCTTGTGTTGCAGTCGAAACGTCGTGAGAATTGTAATTGTTTCATATTATTTTATTATCTCCCTTCTACGTGACTTTACCGAAAGAACCAAGAATATGAAACAAAACATTGTTAAAATCGTCGACTGGACCACTTCTCAGCACGTACAATGTGTTCCTTATTGATCATGAAGCATAAGCCAAATCATTTGCCAGGTGACTTGTCAGACTCGAATAAATGTGTTCACAAAGGAACAAATGCCCAGCAGCAAGAATGAGAGTTAGGGTCATGCAACTCGTAGGCTTGTCGTAGCTATTATGATTTGCTGGATTTTATTCCGACATTCTTATATTTATGCTCAAGTGGCTTGGCATAATTTCAAGCAAACCCAAGATATTGGTTGATAAAATGGTCGTGATTATTATTCAACATACGGTGAGCTGAAGAAAAATTGGTAATTGGCGTGTTTAAACACTTGTACACGTGACAATTTCATATATTTGGTTATATCAGGTGAAAGAGAGTCTTGAGACACCAATTAGGTCAGATAATCACATTTAGAAACATCACTGAAACAACCACTTTTATAAACATGCGTTTAGAGTTTTTGGCTGCAATAAAGTTACACTTGATAAGCCACTTCGTTGAGCTACCATTTGTGGACAGGTTACTTCTGAAAAAGAGCTACATAGCTCAGTGAGCCTTACCTAGTAAAATAAAAAATTAACCCGTAAAAACAAAGTTTTTCACTATAAATTCTTTATATGCGTGGCGGCTAGAGTCCTCTCGTCCTCTGGCTTGAGATGCCTGCCACCTATGGGTCAGATGATTGTCTGGCAGCATTAAGCAATTGGTAAATAAATATAAAAAAATTTCCCTAAACAGTGTAAAATTTTGGAAATTTTTTTTCACGAAAATGCATTGTGACGCACAACGAGTCTGTGTGCAAAATGTCAGCTCGATTGGATCACGGGAAGTGGGTTAAAAAACGACCGAAAGATTTGCACGGTCGTAAGCAAGCAAGCAAGCAAGTGAACTTAATATAAAGGATTTAAAAAGTTACGTGACCCTCACTAAAAAAGATATTCTGAATTAAACGAAACAATAATATTAAAAAAATGAGAATCTGGAGACCCTTAAGGAAGGCTTACCACCCCCCAAAAAACGTGGTGCAGGTACCGACCTGAATGCCTTGTAGACCGGCCGGAACCAGCACACAAAGGAGCACGGCGTGAAGAGCAGGAACCAGAGGATGGCCATGCCAAAGTCGATGCCACGCGCCGTGTTCACGCAGAACCACGCCAAGCAGCCCAGCAGGTTCAGGAACAGCGTGACTGCGTGGACTTCAGAACCAGAATCACAATATGTATTCAAACTGCAGGAATCCAATGAGCTAATAAAGCTATTTTTCGTAGATGTCCAGCAGAGGCGGGTAAGAACCACACAATAACTTTGCCCACGATATGCAAGCTCGCGCACAATACGTTTGCGTTGTTTGTGGGTTCTTTAATGAGTAGCCCAAATAACTCATTAGCTAGCGATGATAATCGCACTGCAGCGAGCGTATTCGGCGCGTAATATTGTGCCTCCCGCAGCAATTTCATGAATTGTCACCCTTCTGGCCAGTGATTATTTGCAATAATCAATTCCTTGTCTCATATTGACCATCTTCAATGGAATTGCTTCTCGTTTATAAATTTAAGAAAATATCACTGAAAATAAATGTTCATGAATTGTAAATACCTAATATCAAACAGACAGAAATCAATTTGCGGATTGAGTGCGCGAATCAATTCTATAATTGGTAACCTGACATGTCGTTACATGCCTAGTCCAACTGTCCTCAAATAACAATGATCTCAATTGTAAGTATGAACCACGAGTGATTATTCCACATTTCTATGATGGGGAACACTCTCTATATCTTGATGATACCAATGAGCAGTGCAGCTTCAGAAAGTGGCAATCATTTTAAGCAACCCCAGAGTAATGATGACGATAATTACGAATGGATTTAAAAATTTTGGATATATTTTAATAGTTTGTAGCTTAAATTTCGATTTAAAGCTTTCGTGACTGCAGGGATTCATATTCTTGGTTCTTTCGGTAAAGTCACGTAGAAGGGAAATAATAAAATATAAAACAATAAAAATTCTCACGACGTTATTGTTTAATATTTTTATTATTTTATTATTTCCCTTCTACGTGACTTTACCGAAAGAACCAAGAATAGTTTGTAGCTTAGTTTAATTTATAAGCAGTTTGCATATTCACTGGTGAAGGATTCCTTTCTTATGGGGGTTGTTTTACCATACTTCACCACAATGACCAGTGCGTGTCAAAGAAGAGGGTATATCCAGGATAAATTCAGATATCACTTGCAACCAGTGACAGCTATGGCAGGGAATCAAACTCGGGTCAACGGATTCATCGGACAGTGCACCAACAACTACGCCTCCACTTCACCCCAATTTGTTAATGACCAACCACTACTTACACGGAAGCTTAAATATTCAATTACTAAAAAAATAAAACGGTACTTTGGGTAAACTGTCACTGGTTACTTACGACAATGGTGCTCATGCAGCTGAAGACTGGCAGCCAATTACTTTAAGGATACAGAAATCCCTGAAATGGAGTTTATTTGCTCCACTTCACTGATTAATATTGACCGCAGGTAGGATTTGGTTCTCCCTTGTAGGGAGATGGACTCGAAAGAAAACTGCCGTGTGTCCAATGACCATGTCGTTCACAAAACGCCTATCCACGCACTGCTGTGGTCTAAACATGCTGACATTTGGAATTAAACAAAAGATTTGGTGATACTGCGTTGGCAATGGTGCACAAGCACAAATAAAAAAAACGCCTCACATCCGTCCATAACACTGCCTTAAAAAGACAAAAAATATATAATCGGTTATGTATAATAGGTGACGTTTCAGGCAATAGCCCTTCTTCGCGAGCCTATGTGCCAGAAATGTCACCTATTATCCACCTTTATCCTTTTAACGCCACAGTGTTACAGACAAATATCTTGTTTTAATAAACGTTAAATGTGTAGCTTTTGGGGCTTTCGGTCCAAGTGATCCATAATAAACGTTTTTGGGTTAAATCGCGTATATATGTGTCGTGAAACCCACCACCACCCGACAGTCAATTAGTGTGGTTTGTCACGTTCTGTTGACGTGACAAACGTTTCGATGACAACCTTAATAATTGTCTGTGTCCAGTGGTGGTGGGTTTAACGACACATTTACGCGATTTAACCCAACAAAAAAACCTTTATTATGGATATTGCTTGTGAAAGTCTACGTATTAAACGGTCCCAGTGACGCCAAAGGCTGCAGGTTTGACATTTCCCCATGCATGGTAATCTCCTTTGGATTAATATTAGAAGCGTAACAATTCACCTCTCACCCCAACCCACAATTTAATTGTCAGGATGGGGGGGGGGGGCTTCGGGCCACCGATTCAAGAATCAATTATATTTTTTAACAATTCGTCTGTTGTGCCTGCTGGGTTCATGTGAACTAACCAATAATTATTGATTCTTACATGCAGAATTCAGGTTATCGTACGAATCACTTTTTATTGCGGAATCGACGCGTTGTTAAATGGAAAATAGAGCTGGCAAGTAAGCATGTCACGATTCATCCCTCCCTACCTTGTCAAGATTTGATTTTAAAATTTAGAATTTTTTCATCATTTGTCCTGAATCAATGGTATTGTCAGTCACGTTTGACCTACATTGTTCTATTTGTGTAAAAAAAAATCACCTTTTCATTAAGCTTTAGGATCAAGTCAGACTACGTAGGCATGGAATGAATAGAAATGCATTAATATATCGATTAAAATGTATTCTTTCAATCACAAGACAATCTTTGACTCGTGCATGTCAGAATACATTATTTATGATACAAATAATATACTAATGCTACTTTCGGTTAATAGACAGAATGTGATAAAAAAAATAAGACAACAGCAAGGACACAGTAAAAACTAAACAAATTATTGTTACCTGAATCCATCTTGAGACCCTAAAACTCAACACATTCATCAATAACACTGTGGCCTTAAAAGTAAAAATATATAATAACCAATGTTCCAGGCATTGGCCCTTCTTCATAGCACACAAGAGTGTCCCGAGAGGTAGGAGACCCTAAATCTGGACAAATCACTTAATTTCTAGAGAGTAAAACAATACATAGCCGTGCACGTCACTATAAAATGTGTTCTTTGGGTCACATCTTCCTTCAAGGAGGGTGTGCGAGCGAGTGAATGCCGGTGCGGAAACCTACACATCCACATGTAGTAGAGCATCCGCACGGTCTTCTGGAACTCCACCGGGATCTCGACGGGAATGTCCTGGTAGAAGCACGGCCCCACAGGACACTGCGTCGGCAGCGGGGGCCAGTTGTTCTTCTTTACTGTGGAACACGGCACAGAGCGGGGCAGCCAGCTCACAACGCTTCAAGGTTCACGGGCAGGCTGAGGCACTCGGGTTATTGCCAGAGGCGAGCGGGGAGGTGTCAATACCAGGAGATGCTACTGTTGCGTTATCCCAGGGGGTCGGCAACCAAAATAACAAGAAGAGCCATCGTGTTAGAATTCGGTGAAAAAAACCCCTCAATATTTCAATAGCCGCAATGCATGTGGGTACGAGACGGTGGTGGTCCTGAATCAAAAGGGTCACGAGCCAGTTCCTTAAAGAGCGGCATGAAGCTCCGGAACCGCAGGTTGCCGACTCGTGTGTTATCCCCTTGCACGTGTGACTCTCACCGGGTCCTCTAGTTTCTTTCAACACAGCAAACATCCAATGCAGGACCCTCCTACATTGGGGTATATATATATACACAGTGTCCATTGTGTTGGCGTGTGCAGCAGCAACCGCGTCCAAGCCGTCGTTCAATTTTTTGGCCCCGCCCCCCCCCCTCCCGATGAGTTGTACTAACATTCTGATGAGCTCCCCCCCCCCCCTCTCCTCCCCCCTTCAACTTGCTTATAAGGGATTACATCTTGAATCATTGCCTCACTTGATGCAGCTAATTCGGCTGTGACGGTCCCACCTGATGACGGAGACTTGTGTTGCCTCCGAAACGTCGTGATTTTTTGTTTTATTTTATTTTCATTAATTTTGATGTTTTACCTACGTGATTTTACCGAAATAAAACTAAGAATATGATTCCTTGCAGTCACGAAAGCTTCAAATCTAGAATTAATACACAGTGTTGTCTACATCACGAGGGACGTTTAGAAATCATTAAGTGTATGGAGCACATCATGATTTTTAATTGACTAGTAAACATGTGGACTGTAGCAGATTTCATGGACGGGAGTTTGAGAAACCCTGGGATAGAACGCATTTGGTGAGGGGTATATGGGTGAATGCATTTGGTTTCAAGATCAGAGGGTTAAGATTGGTGTCAAAGTAATGGGATCTGGATTCCTGTGTATCCACACAGGAGTGTGAGTGTATGTGTCAGGGGAACTCTTGTTCAGTGACTGTCACTGCATGCCAATGTATCAGTACGACTGTATCCGTGCAACAACGAGAGCACAGCTGTGTGCCAGTGCAGTTATATTTAAACTAAACTATTTAAATTTCGATTTAAAGCTTTTATGACTGAAGGGATTCATATTCTTGGTTCTTTCGGTAAAGTCACGTATAAGGGAAATAATAAAATAAGAAAAAATTAACAATGATTATAAATTAATGGGATCTGGATACCTGCAGAAAAGACAGTGCTGTGTTGATATGGGAGTGTGAAAGTGCGTGTCAGTGGAACTCTTTTTAAAAAAAAATACAATGATTATTGTTTTATTTTGATTATTCTATTATTTCCTTTCTACGTGACTTTACCGAAAAAACCAAGAATATAAACGATTTTAACTATTTTTTATTTTACCAGGTAAGGCCCATTGAGCTATAACAGCTCTTTTACAGAAGCGACCTCGCCGCAAATGATATCTCAATAAAAGTGGATTATCACGTGAAAATGTATAGCAGCCAAATACTCTAAATGCATGTTTCTAAATGTAGAGGGAAAAATCAGAAGACCCGGAGAAAAATCCACCCCACCACGAGGAGAACATGGCAAGCTCAAAATATACAGCAGACGTCAGGGTCGGGATCAAACCCACGACCTCCTATATACCAAGCGAGGCAGTAAACATCTCGCCACCGTGGCGCCCCTTTAGAGTGGCTGCACTAGCTGCCAGGAAGGGGGCTGCTGGGACGGGCAGCTCACCGGCTCCTGGCTGTGTCTGCATCTCACGCTCGCGTCGATCCAACTCCGCCGCCTTCTTCTCCAGCTCCTCCTGCCTCCGCAGCAGATCCGCCTGTGCCGCCGCCGATACCGAAGGTCCCTGTGGCATCAAAGTACCGGCACAGTCACCGCACCGTACCACTACTGACACTCTCTCCTCTAAATCATGAATCAGTCATTACAAGTCGACTGATGAAGAGGCTGAACAAACTTCTTTCACTCCTTGCTTTCTGTGGCCACGGCGATCGCTTCCTGTAAGTGTACCACCACTACACAGGGCACTAATGTTTACGCAGGGCAGCTGAGTAACGTTAACGATGACAGCGGCCAGCTCTTACCTTGACTGCAACTCTTGATTATTATTTTTCTTCATTAAAGCAGCCTCAACTGTTCGTCAGATACGAACTCACGACCAACTTACATAATAGGTAAATGCTAACCCTGTCGGATAAATAAAAGCATTTGAACAATGTGGCTACAACTACTGCCTCTTGAGTTGGTGGCCCAAAACAAGGCTGTGTGCATTATAGGTGCACTACGATTAAGTGATGTCCAAGGCACCATGGGAGGATCAATCGACAAATTCAAAGAGAAACACATGCATGAAACAGTTACAGAATCAACGAATAGACAAGATTTCCCTTCCTTGTTACATTTAACATCCAGGTCATACAGTGTTGTCACATCTTTTTTCATTCAGACGCTGTCTCCCCGACAGACCTGGTCTTCACCTGAGGACGGCTGCTTGCGTTGTGGCCGAAACGTCGTGAGAATTATTTTATTATGTTTTATTTTTATTATTTTATTACTTCCCTTCTACGTGACTTTACCAAAAGAACCAAGAAGATGGATCGCTCTTCTTATTTTGGTTGCCAACCCCCTGGGATAACGCAACAGTAGCATCTCCTGGCCATATGACACCTCCCCGCTCGCCTCTGGCAATAACCCGAGTGCCTCAGCCTGCCCATGAACCTTGAAGCGTTGTGAGCTGGCTGCCCCGCTCTGTGCCGTGTTCCACAGTAAAGAAGAACAACTGGCCCCCGCTGCCGACGCAGTGTCCTGTGGGACCGTGCTTCTACCAGGACATTCCCGTCGAGATCCCGGTGGAGTTCCAGAAGACCGTGCGGATGCTCTACTACATGTGGATGTGTAGGTTTCCGCACCGGCATTCACTCGCTCGCACACCCTCCTTGAAGGAAGATGCGACCCAAAGAACACATTTTATTATTTTATTATTTCCATTCTACGTGATGACTTTAGCGAAAGAACCAAGATGTTGTCATACCTGTGTGCCGTAACCTCCAGAGCCCTGAGCTGTGTAGGGTGGCGGCTCCTCCGTGGGCTGCATGACGGCCGGTTGGGAGGTGGGCAGCACTGCAGGCGTGGCTCCAACCAAGGCGCCCTGCAAATGGACCGTGCCACAATCACGTTTCCAACAGGTGGTGGCGCAGCAAACCCTGCTCAAACGGACAGATTGTGCGAGGTTATTTTGTTGTTGTTGATTAATGAATTAGTGAAGCATGCAGTCTGTTTAAAGTGAAGTTAAAGACCCTGTTGAGAACAATCACAGTGACTGGCCTTTTTGTACTGGCATGCAAATATATGCATTTTTAGTTATTGACATAAAATATTAATATTACAGCATAAAAGTAATAACAATAATACAACCATAAAAATGCAGTCTAATAGTATTATAATAAACCGAATACAGTGATTAAGAGAACATTCTAATAATTTATAAAAGTGCTGCAAAATGCATACATTAAATGACATATATAACCAAGATTGTAATAAACACAAAATATTGTTTGATAAATACGAGTTTTACAATATGCATACCCAGGCAGTAAAGTCATAACGCAAAACCATTACAATATCAATGAACAATAACATCCTCACCTGCTCTTTCGCATCCTCATACATCACTCTTAACACTGCCTGCTTACCCATCAAAACAATGCCTAAACTCTCAAACATTGAACAGAGCTCCCAATCCACTTCTACTACCGCCGCCATCATCAGCTTCATTAACATTGCATTGGTATTGTATTTCTCAGCAGGCTGCTGATCTCAAAGGGTGTCAAGAACTCACGCACCGGCTTCGAGCCATCGCCAAACGGGTTGTAGTCGTTGAGGGCGGGCTGGGTCTGCCTCGTCACCTGTGTCACGGCGGGGTCCTGGGGTCAAATGACACACGTACACATATTTAAGGGGTGGATGCATGCGATAGGTGGATCTTATTAGCCAGGTTTTTCCAAAAGAAATAACTCTGCTTGGTCACCAGCAGATGAACGCTAATGAAAGGATGCTGCTACCACTTTCAGGGATCCCCGCAGATAAGCGGATAATTTTAGAGCCTGCAGAGACTACTTTAGATTGTGGAAAATGGGAACAGGTTGAATTTGTCACGCGACTCCACAAATTGGCAAAACTAAATGTGACCAATATAATCGACTTAGCATCAGTGGAGACCTCTTCTGGATGCATCTCCTTCCACGAATAGGGTAACTCCACTGATCTGTGAAAACACTGTTAATAAGAGGTTCGGCAATTTTATTAATAAAACTAAATTATGTTAAGAATCATTTTAGGTTTCAATGAGTTTTTTTTAAAGATTGTATTGTTTTCTTCCACTGAAATGTTTGTCAAAAAATATTATTAATTTTGGTAATTAAGTTCTAATATTCATGTATGTACGTACATATTTTCAAGTTCCAAAAGATAACGATTTTATCAGCCTGATTAGCATGCCTCAATGCACGAAAGTATTAACAATTGGCTCATCTGGTACGCATTGTAAAGATGCTGTCAGCAGATAAACAATTATACCTCTGCAGTCTCCACAATTCCTACAGCATTCAACTACTGTACATAGTCGGTTACTCTTTGGTTCTTTCGGTAAAGTCACGTAGAAAGAGACAATAATAAATTAAATAATAGCATACGACGTTTCGATTGCAACACAAGCAATCATCATCAGGTACAAATGAAAAAGAAAACAAACCTAGTAAACTTAGAAATATAATGCAATACAACACAGATAATCAGCTACCATAACAGTCAACACCCTACCCTACCCAACACCCTACCTGGTGGTGACTGTTATGGTAGCCGACTATCTGTGTTGTATTGCATTATATTTCTAAGTTTACGAGGTTTCATCTTCTTGGTTCTTTCGGTAAAGTCACGTAGAATTACCGAAAGAACCAAGAAGATTAATCCCTGCAGTCACGAAAGCTTTAAATCGAAATTTACTAGGTTTGTTTTCTCTTTCATTTGTACCTGATGATGATTGCTTGTGTTGCAATCGAAACGTCGTATGCTAGTATTTAATTTATTATTTTCTCTTTCTACGTGACTTTACCGAAAGAACCAAAGAGTAATTCCTGCAGTCACGAAAGCACCAAATCAAGTTTTTTTTACATAGTCAGTTCACTGATGTTGGTACTGATAATAAATGTAAGGTTGCCAGATTAAATGTCAGCTGGGGGGTCGACATTATCGTAATAATCATTCATCCCTCTGGAGGACGACAAAACGGACACCACTAGTGGGAAGCCAAAAGTGGTCAGTTTATTAAGAGGCTGCCTCAAACTTCGAGGAAGGGTAATTTCCACCACTGGCTCATCAGAGCTGCCAACATCGATGGCAACCATCCATCCCATTGCTTGTTTGAGTGCCAACACAGTGGTGAAAATTAAAGTATTTATATTAATAAAGCAGTTGAGTTTTATAGTTTAGTTTTTCATGAGGTTTATGCAATGGGACTTTTGGCAAATTCTGTTGATGAGCAATTGTTATGTGGGAGTAAACTGGAGTCCCCACGCATGTGGCTAACACACCAGACTCCGCACAGAAAGATTAAGACAAACTAAAACCAATCCTACAGCAACTAGAACTGAAAAAGACCCCCGTATAGCCTTAACAGACTGTTGGGGAAATTGCTGTTAGCGAGTACCTATGAAGGTCCGAACGGCACACGAGGGGGTGGGTGGCCAGCAGCACGCCCGAGCGCCTTTGTCTCCCGAGTGGCGATGTTTTTAAATCCTTTATATTAAGTTCACTTGCTGCTTGCGCGCTTACAACCGTGCAAATCTTTCGGTCGTTTTTTAACCCACTTCCCGTGATCCAATCGAGCTGACATTTCGCACACAGTCTCGTTGTGCGTGACAATTTATTTTCGTGAAATTTTTTTCCAAAATTTTCTACTTTTTAGGAAAAAAATTTTATACGACTTTCCTTATATTTAATTTAAAATACCAATGTGATAAAAATGAAACTCTTACTCAAGAAAAACAGAAATGAATAATAAAATAAAACCGATGCCACGCATATCAAGGATTTATAGTGAAAAACTTTGTTTTTATGGGTTAATTTTTACGCACCGCATCAGTTACTCATTTGAGGCTTAGTCGACATAGGGAAGGTCCAGGACCGGTTCAGATAATCGTCACTGTTGGCCTTGAGAGTGAATCGTACTCGGGGCGTCAGGTTCGTAGTGCAGTGCTAACTGCTACACTACCTCTCCCCCACAACTAGTACACACTGATGGTTACACGCACTAACCAGGCTAAATACCGCTTAGCTTCCAAAATCTGGTGAGATCAAACGCATTCCCGGTGATTCAATCAGCAATTAAAACAATACACATACAGGAATTATCATCCATGATCTAACTACTGCTTGATGATAGCCTCTCCAAAGTCATCAGTATCTCTAAAATAAAACGGTTAACGTTATACTTTACTAGATTTACTACCCGGCTTCGTCCGGGACTTGGATTCTTGCCTTGGATTAATTTCACATTCCCTTATATTTCACTGAAAAACCCTGAAAAAAATTCATGCTTGCAAGAAAGAAAAAAGCCGAAACAAATCAATTGAACTAAATCGGATGTTTTTCACCAAAGGAAGTTCAAGCTTAACCCACTTATACGCAAAAGGTCGATTTAGGCAACTCGGGAAGGCAATGACGTGGCGAGCTGAAAATAGTCGCGTTCCATTACAAATCCCAGACAGAATCAGCTGTCCAAATTTCATGACGTCAGAGCTCAGCGTTCGAGAGTTTGTGCTGCTTCACACAAACAGATATATTTTCGGCTTTATATTTAAGAGCGAGCTGAAAATAGTCACGTTGACTTCGAAAATCGAGACAGCTGTGCCGCGCATTTGTGCGGAATACACGGCCTACGCTGAGGGTGGGGGGGGATGTCAGCAGGCACACTGCGTAACGCTGCCGCATGCGGGTGACATCAAAGATGTGACGTCACCGCTCACTTGCCGTGCAATATATTATATTCATTATTGTGCCGCCCCCCCCCCCAAACACAAAAGTCTATTTTTATAATTTTTGCATTGTGTACAGTCTGGAAGCTACCCACATGCCAAATTTCAAGCGTGTTGCATGTCGGGAAGTATGCTAACATTTCAAACACACAAACATTCACAAATTTCCCTTTTATATATATAGAAAGAAAACAGCAACACTGAGAGCTACTGGGCCAGTTTAATTGAGCGCTTGAGTTCGACTGCCAGTGACTGCGCTATTCAGCACAGATCCTGTAATTTGAAGACCCAGATTGCTATAAATGCATAATTCCCAGGCTGTTCATGACTTCCGTGATAGAATTCAGAAGAACTGAGCACTGTGCAGCTCTGTCAGTACTAATCCAAGGTGAAGAAAGAAACAATATTATCAAAGTGCTTCACCTGTTCTAAAGTTGATGTTAATGAGTCACGAGAGAAAACATGTCAGTGTGTACCAGGGTCAGGGTAATCCCAAATCGTCAGCTGCATAATAGAGTACACCTCAAGGAAGTAATTTTATAAAGGAATGTAAGTTAACATATCAATGACCAAAAGGTTGCAAAGTGAACTCAAACCGTACCAGCGAGTAAAATACAAGAATACAAGGCGTTCATCCGGTCCTATTGTCACTCTTGAGCTGACGGGGAAGGAAAATAATTTAAACATTTTATGCAAGCGGCCATAGGAGAGCATGGGTGCCTCTGTGATGTTAGTCCACAATTTGGACATGGCTCTCTGCAAGTGCCACTACAGATTCCCAGACATTTTGCAGCAAAATTTCGATTTAAAGCTTTCGTGACTGCAGGGATTCATCTTCTTGGTTCTTTCGGTAAAGTCACGTAGAAGAGAAATAATAAAATAAAAACATAATAAATTTAAATTCTCAAAATTAGTGAGAATTTTATTTTATTATGTTTTATTTTTCTCCAAATTACTGAGAATTGTATTTTATTATGTCTTATTTTTATTATTTTATTATTTCCCTTCTACGTGACTTTACCGAAAGAACCAAGAATATTTTGCAGCTACTGTTACCTGCCGGCCGCGTCACCCTTAAAACAGAACTGTAGAGCTCAATGGACTTGACTCAGTTGATACGCTGTCAAACTGACATCTGTCAAACATCAATGACTGTTACACCATTCACTAGAGAAGATCAGACAATGTGTACCTGTCAATACGATTCTACATAGACATCGATGACTCGATGGCATTGTGCACAGCAGCAGATCGTTCTGCTAACGTGATCACGAATCGAGATGAGCATCACTTCCTGCATTCCACGGTTCTAAGATTTAACAACCAGTCGTTCACCTGCATCCCTTTAAATCCCAGGTTTCAATAAATAACGCCGCTGATATCATTCGCAAGAGGAGACCACATGCTGTGCGTGGCTTAAACTAAACTCCTAAAGCTCGGTTTACACGAGGCAATAATATATGTGCCGGTGCGACAACTCGCATCAAATGCCAACTAGTTCACAAGAGACTTCAGTACGTGCATGTGTCGGTATATCTACTATATAAACACCACTTACTCCGTGGCACAGCAGTTCACAGTATGAATCCAACGCGAACATCATTGTTATCGTGACCGTTAACGACAAGCCACTGTGTTAGTTGTGGACCTGTGATGGCCGTGGGATTTAAACATTCACAGACTCCACGGCACACAGCTTGAAAGAGACCACTTTAGCATCCGTATCAGTATACAACACGTAAGCCACACTTGATGTATAAACACCACGACTATTAGCGAAGCACAGCAACGCGTTCCGGCATAAATCCCAAATAAACACCGACTGCGTGACACAGAACCCAAACACACACACCTACGTCTATCACTACGCGTACCGAATTTCACGATCCTCACAGCTCAACTAAAACCACTCAAGGCGGTTACCCGTGTACTGTAATCACCTCTAGCGCACCTAATTAGTTCAATAATTAAGTCATTAAGCGTCATCTCGCTCGCCGCCCGTTGTGTAACTACCCCGGGGAAACGGGCCCTCTGGCCTAGTTGTCCATGCCGGCTGAGAAGTCTCAAACCCGGCAGGGCTACTAGGCAAGACCGTTGACCCCCCCCCCCCACCATCGCCCGCCGTAGCCTCCGGTCAAACCACGAACAAAACAGCGCGTGAACGCACCCGAAACGGACTGTTGACCTCTGGGTCGGCGAAGGGGTTACTGTCGAAGTCCGACATGGTTCGTGTCCTCGCGAGCCGCCTTCGGGGAAGAAGAAGAAGAGGCCAAAGCGACGGGACGGATCGCAACTGCCCCGTCCAGGAGCCGTCGCTGAGAAGATGTCGGACGCGTCGTGACGTCACCGCGGGTGACGTCGCCGATGGGGGGTGACGTCACGTGAGGGGGGGGGGCTCGTGAAGTGGCGCGGGGGGAGGGGAGGGGGCGCTTGCTTAGGATTCTTGGGTTTCAATGGGCACGTGGGTTCTTAGGTTTCAACGGGCGTGTGGGTAGATTTCAACTGGCATGTGGGTTCTTAGGTTTCAACGGGCGTGTGGGTAGATTTCAACGGGCGTGTGGGTTCTTAGGTTTCAACTGGCATGTGGGTTCTTAGGTTTCAACTGGCATGTGGGTTCTTAGGTTTCAACTGGCATGTGGGTTCTTAAGTTTCAACGGGCATGTGGGTTCTTAGGTTTCAACTGGCATGTGGGTTCTTAGGTTTCAATGGGCATGAGGATTCTTAGGTTTCAACTGGCATGTGGGTTCTTAGGTTTCAAGGGGCATGTGGGTTCTTAGGTTTCAATGGGCATGTGGGTTCTTAGGTTTCAACTGGCATGTGGGTTCTTAGGTTTCAATGGGCATGTGGGTTCTTAGGTTTCAACTGGCATGTGGGTTCTTAGGTTTCAACTGGCATGTGGGTTCTTATGTTTCAATGGGCATGTGGGTTCTTAGGTTTCAATGGGCATGTGGGTTCTTAGGTTTCAATGGGCGTGAGGGTTCTTAGGTTTCAATGGGCATGTGGGTTCTTAGGTTTCAATGGGCATGTGGGTTCTTAGGTTTCGATGGGCATGTGGGTTCTTAGGTTTCAATGGGCATGTGGGTTCTTAGGTTTCAACTGGCATGTGGGTTCTTAGGTTTCAACTGGCATGTGGGTTCTTAGGTTTCAACTGGCATGTGGGTTCTTAAGTTTCAACGGGCATGTGGGTTCTTAGGTTTCAACTGGCATGTGGGTTCTTAGGTTTCAATGGGCATGAGGATTCTTAGGTTTCAACTGGCATGTGGGTTCTTAGGTTTCAAGGGGCATGTGGGTTCTTAGGTTTCAATGGGCATGTGGGTTCTTAGGTTTCAACTGGCATGTGGGTTCTTAGGTTTCAATGGGCATGTGGGTTCTTAGGTTTCAACTGGCATGTGGGTTCTTAGGTTTCAACTGGCATGTGGGTTCTTAGGTTTCAATGGGCATGTGGGTTCTTAGGTTTCAATGGGCATGTGTGTTCTTAGGTTTCAATGGGCGTGAGGGTTCTTAGGTTTCAATGGGCATGTGGGTTCTTAGGTTTCAATGGGCATGTGGGTTCTTAGGTTTCGATGGGCATGTGGGTTCTTAGGTTTCAATGGGCATGTGGGTTCCTAGGTTTCAATGGGCATGTGGGTTCTTAGGTTTCAATGGGCATGTGGGTTCTTAGGTTTCAATGGGCATATGGGTTCTTATGTTTCAATGGGCATGTGGGTTCTTGGGTTTCAATGGGCATGTGGGTTCTTAGGTTTCAATGGGCATGTGGGTTCTTAGGTTTCAATGGGCATGTGGGTTCTTAGGTTTCAACGGGCATGTGGGTTCTTAGGTTTCAATGGGCTTGTGGGTTCTTAGGTTTCAATGGGCATGTGGGTTCTTAGGTTTCAATGGGCATGTGGGTTCTTAGGTTTCAATGGACATGTGGGTTCTTAGGCTTCAATGGGCTTGTGGGTTCTTAGGTGTCAATGGCCATGTGGGTTCTTAGGCTTCAATGGGCTTGTGGGTTCTTAGGCTTCAACTGGCATGTGGGTTCTTGGGTTTCAACGGGCATGTGGGTTCTTAGGTTTCAATGGGCGTGTGGGTTCTTAGGTTTCAATGGGCATGTGGGTTCTTAGGTTTCAATGGGCGTGTGGGTTCTTAGGTTTCAACGGGCATGTGGGTTCTTAGGTTTCAATGGGCATGTGGGTTCTTAGGTTTCAATGGGCATGTGGGTTCTTAGGTTTCAATGGGCATGTGGGTACTTAGGTTTCAATGGGCATGTGGGTTCTTAGGTTTCAATGGGCATGTGGGTTCTTAGGTTTCAATGACACGTGGGTTCTTAGGTTTAAACGGGCATGAGGGTTATTAGGTTTCAATGGGCATGTGGGTTCTTAGGTTTCAATGGGCATGTGGGTTCTTAGGTTTCAACAGGCCTGTGGATTCTTAGGTTTCAATGGGCATGTGGGTACTTAGGTTTCAATTGGCATGTGGGTTCTTAGGCTTCAATGGGCTTGTGGGTTCTTAGGTTTCAATGGGCATGTGGGTACTTAGGTTTCAATTGGCTTGTGTGTTCTTAGATTTCAACTGGCATGTGGGTTCTTAGGCTTCAATGGGCTTGTGGGTTCTTAGGTTTCAATGGGCATGTGGGTTCTTGGGGTGTAATGGGCATGTGGGTTCTTGGGGTGTAATGGGCATGTGTTGTCAATCCCAATGGAGCAATTACCTAGGAATCGCTCAAAAAAGATTATGCACAGCAACATCGCCACCTACTGTGAACGCTTGGTGGGGCGCCACTAAAAAAATGCTCGGGACTCAACGAGGCTCTCCTGGATATGCACACACGCGTTCTTCGTTTTCAATTTGGGACTGTCACATTTTCCCGTGACACATACGGCCGAAGCAGTGCATTGATGACAAACTGTAAAGATAACCCTAAACCCTTAGCTGTACATAAAATTAATTTAGAAGCAGTTGCCCTTAATATTGAATCAACTAAAGCCCGGGAAGGTCTATGATTGGGTGAAAATCTGGTCTGTGATTGTTTTGACACTATGTGCACAATAGGGTCGGAGAGATGTATTTTCATACATGTGGGGGACAGCAGTCACTTTTGACTTTCATTTAGACCTTGGCTTACGCATGCGGTCAAACCAAGGCAGGCAGACAAACCCAGCCATGCATCAAGGGGAAGCCCAGCAAATATGGAACGTTGGACCAAAGCTGTGCTAACGTTGATCCAAAAATTTCAGCCACGTACTAACGTCCACTCAACGTTGGCATGTTTTCTGGGAGGGTGATGGGGATAATCACCTCCCTTTGAGACCACCAATCCGCACCACCCCTTCGATGCGTGAAGATCCACTACCGGACAAACCTGCAACTTGGGTCCTGGGCCAAGCATAGTATACCCAATTCTATGAATCATGAAAATATTTGTACAAAAACAGAAACCAAAAATATATACCATGACTTCAGTGGCGGCTCCTGCAAAATCTCTCAGGGGGGGCAAATGTCTGGATGATTGATAAGGATAAGGTCCACCCATGTAATGGATAAATTAACAGCTTAAGCATGTAAAGGCAACTTCACTTCTTTAATATTAATGAAAAATAAAGTGACTCTTACAATACATCTTGTTTGTTTATATACTCACTATTAAAACAAACCACTCAAGTTTATTTTATTAAAGATTCCACTAGGTAGCGATAAATTATATTGTTGGATGAAACGTGCTTACGTATGATGACGTAAGCACGTATGATGACGTAAGCACGTTAGGGTGAGCCCTCCCAGAAGCCATAGAGAATGCATTGGAGCGCCCCCGTTCGAAAAAAAACATCTTTCAATGTAAGTCTATGGGGCCACTCGGGGCGATTCTCAGCCGGAGTGAAATCGCCCCAAAAGAGGCGGTACTCCACAGAACGTGACATGACGCTGATTGGACTATATCCAGAGGCTGACAGTGACGGCTAGCGTGACTCTGTGGTTGAATGACATTGGTGGTGCGTCGCCCAATCGCCATAATGAAGAAACCGCCCCTGCATGACTTCCCTATAACTCCTGCTCGTTCATTTCCCAAAGCTTAGCAAAGCCACTCAATTGTCCCATGAGGTTTCTGACCGAGTTGTCAGTGGAGCGTGCAATGCTGCTGCTGGGTAGTAACAGGAAGTGACCCTCATTTAAGTATTTCACTTCATCATCAACCGTTTTCTATCCACTGTTGAACGCCTCTCCACATCATCGTCATGCATCAAGGACGTGTGATGAACCAGCCTGCCTTATCATCACCAGCCATGGTCAATCCACTGCTGGATGAATGCATTTCAAATCCACTGCCATCTCACAATCTTGTGACATAATAACCCATCTACCACCTGCACGATTTCATAACTCCATCTCCTCGGAATACATATGCGTTCTATTCCTTTACTGCCATTCGTATCATATAATTCCAGAGCCAACTTACTCTTTCTTAACGGGTTCAATATCATTATCCAGTGTGTGCGTACTTGTCTCGATGTAATTCCAAGCAAGTCTCTCCATGCTTTTTGTGAACTTTTCAGTTCCAATCCATTTCGTTCACCATATTCATACTTCTCCTTATTGCCAATCACAAAGGTTATCCAATGTGTAATCACTGTTTTAAATAGAAAATTCTGCTCCCAGTTGCGATTTTTTCAGTTTATGTAATGTTGAAGGTGGAGGTGCCCCAGTTCTGGTTCAGATATCACTCACCACTGATGGTAGCTGTGGCCAGGAATCAAACTCGGGTCGTTGGGTTCATTGTGCAGTGTGTGAACCATTGTGTTACCGCTCCAACCAAGGGTGCCCTTTGTTAAAACACCTGTGATGAGATCTATAGCTCCAATCACAACCAGGGGAGGGGTATCTCCTTCACCACCACACCATCATCTCAAGGGTGTGTAAACTGGTATCCACCTGAAGCTGCACCACTTTGTAGCGAATTAGAAGTCGTCCTTCAACCAAAATCACCCTGAATGAGCCCAATCTCGTTGGATCTTGGAGGCTAGAGGATCGAGCCGGGTAAGTGCTTGGATGACCACCAGTGCATACGAGGTGTTGTAGGCATTCCATGTTGAGGTCTGCGAGGTGTCAGGAGATAGACAGCCGTACAGCACATATATATTGGGTTCAATACCCGATTAAAAATGCTATTTGAATCGTATGTACATTGTTAGTATTTGTATGGAAAACTTCCTCGAAATATCAGGTATTATAGTTGGGGATGTGAGGTGGCCAGTAGGTGAGTATAACGAGGGATTCTTAAATATATCTGTGCAGAGCTTTCAGTGTTACCCATTGGTATGTGTGGGTTGTTTTCAGGTACTCCAGTTCCCCCTTCATGCCAAACGCTCTTTGGTGGAATTGGTCAAACAAAGCAAGAATGTGGGATCCTGCTGAAAAAGTCCAAGACTCAGTGAGGCTCTCTCCAGGTTAAGTTGACATTATTCTATTATTGACTTGAAACTTTCGTGACTGCAGCAATTCATATTCTTGGTTCTTTTGGTGAAGTCACGTAGATAGAAAATAAAAATAATGAAATTAAAATTAATCAATTGAAAATAATGAAAGCAAAAAACCCACGACGTTTCGATCGCAACACAAACGGTCTTCATCAGGCGGATGATGAAGACCGATTTGTGTTGCGATCGAAACGTCGTGTTTTTTTTGCTTTAATTATATTCAATGTATTATTTTTAATTTATTTTCTATCTAAGTAACTTTACCGAAAGAACCAAGAATATTATTATATTATTAAACTGGAAATTGTCATAGGAATGTGGAACTTCCAGAGCCAACTAACACTGTTTACACCAAAACATTGAAAACAAATCATAGGACAGGACTACTGTAATGTGTTCACTTTATTTAAAAAATAGAATCAGTTACGCAATGCATGCTCATCTAATATTGTACATAGCTCTAAGTCATTGGTCAACGCAAACTGATGATTGCAAGTGCAATTCTGCATAAGTTTAAGAACACATGATATAGACCACACATGGCTTGTACCGTTCCAGTTTAGGCCATCTTCATTCAAAAATGGTAAAGCAATCAGTGTAAGACAACTCTGTGCACATTTTACACATATCCTTGGACATATACATAAAGTAACCCGGTAAACATGGAACGTTAGGCCAACGTTGCATGAACGTTGGTCCAATGGTTCTAACCGCATGCGAACGTAGGCCCAACGTTGCCCATGGTATACTTCGGGTATATCAACAGAAAAATTGTTAACTCCAACTACACCCATCCAGGTCACCTTTGGAAAAAAAAACTAAATCCTAAATTCTAGATTTGAAGTTTTCGTGACTGCAAGGATCCATACTCATGGTTTTTTCGGTAAAGTATCGTAGGTAAAGAAAATAATAAATAAAAGATAAAAATAAATAAAAATTAAATCACGACGTTTCGATTGCAACACAATCAATCGTCATCAGGTGTGAACACCACAGCAAAAAAATTAATACTAAAGTGGGAGTGATTTTTATCGATTATTTCTTTACCTATGTGACTTTACAGAAAGAACCAAGAGTATATAAATACAAAATGTATTATCAGCTGGTTAAAGGACCCAATGTATAATAACCCCATTCAAGTTCGGGGAACACTGCTTTTACCCCCAGCTTCATGGTGAAAATGTAGAAATGTAACATTTCCATGCCCAATAACAGTGTGAGAATCACTAGGGCCATGTGTATTGGCCATTATATCGAGATGGGAATATGACCTTACGCATATACATGGTTAATATTTTTTTAGAATGACATCTGCAATGTGTTTAATATAAAATAGAAGAGAATAATTATGCCAGGGATTATTACATAGATTAGTTTAGTTTTAGTTAATCGTGTGACCGCCACAGTGGTTATCGCCCTGCAATATGAAGTTGGAGACTGCATCAGATGCCCAGCCTGAGCTAAGCCGAGTGGCAAGTAATATCTGAACTGGTCCTGGGCTTCCCTTTTCATAAACCCGCAATGACCGGCATGGTGAAGTAAACTCAAACAACCCCATGACTAACATCTGGAGGCCTTCATCCAGCAGCAGAATAACAAATAGCTGTAAATTATTACCTGCATGAGTCTATGGTACATTTAATATTTTCAACACATCCGGAAAACCGCAAACACATGCATAAACATAGTGAAAAAAATACACACTTTGTAAATTGTCCAGCATGTGCTAAATGAGACACAAACAACCAAACGTACACTGCAGTACCTACATTATATGCATATGCCAATCCAAAAAAAAACGATTAAAAGTGGTCACAAATAAACTAAGAACACCTATTCTACATACGTACAATTCATAAAATATAAAATAAACTGTAAAACGCAACCCAGCAGTAAGTGAGCCCATGTGGTTCCACAACTATGACTTGGTCCTTACAGCTGCTGGTAGGACAACAGCAACCATGAATGACGCACCTGTAAATATAAGCAATGGGGCGACATGAGCAGCCGCTCAAATACCTGCCCAAGTGTTCAGGTGCAGCCCTGAAATTGCTTGCTCAGGCCACCATTGGCGGAGGGGTTCTCTCCACTCGGGCGAACGCGAGAGGGCATTTTGGTCTGCTTTTCTACACTGACCAGATGGATTGAAAAGAGGTGGGCGTACCCACACTTCATCTCACTGCACGCGACTTGCCGATCTTCTCAATGTCGTGGGTGGACAGAGGCGGGGAAATTTGATGGAAAAAAAACCTGCCCGTGCGGCTGGACACCGCCATCTTGGACAGTACAGCGATGGGCGGGTTCGGAGCCGGCCATTTCCGACGGGCCGCGTGCTGTGGAGGGTGCGGCAGCTGCTGCTGCTGCCGTACTGGGCAGTGCCGATCGCAGCCATCGACTTCCTCATGTTAAAGACTTCATTGCGGCTGGTGGCGACTGGAGCGCCTTCACCTGGCGTTTCGAGGCGGCGTTCCAATCGGTCCACTGGACGGAGGAGGAGGAGGCGCTGGTCGCTCTACCGACCGTGTTAGATGACGACGCTCTGGCGGTCTTCAGGTCTATTCCTCCGGAAAAGAGAGCAACGTTGCAAAGTGCGTATGCCGAGATGGCGGAAGCCTATGAGCCACCTTCAGACACACGGAGGAAGTTTATGCAGCGTAAGCGAGGTAGTTCAGAATCTCCCCTTGCCTACCATAGTGATTTGATGGCGTTGGCCATGGCTGCCTACCCCGATGTGAAACAAGAGGCCCTCGACCTGCTTGTAATGGACCGTATGCTAGCGCTGGCAAGGGACATGGGAGTAGTTCTATCTGCGTGCAGCCACGAGATGCAATCGTCCCGATGGGCTGCTAAATGCCTTCATGCACACGAGAATCTGCAGTGGTGGTCGCAGATGGCGGCGTGTACGGGTGACCCTAGTCATGACGGGGAACCACAGGGCTGGTCACCGGCCAAGGTTGTCGGCATTCCGCCTGGGGACGAGTCTCCCGACGGCGATCTAGCAGCTGCGGCTTATCGATGGGATCAGAAACGGGGTGATGCTGCTCGTCGCCGGGGGTCCGTAGGACCACGTCCCCGTGATGATCGGGGGTCACAAAGGCCGGCCGTCACCTGCTACCGATGCGGCCGGCTGGGTCACTTCGCGAGGGAATGCCGGAGTCGTCCTCGTTCTCCATCTTCAGCTGCGGCTCCTGCTGCCCCTCTGATGGCTCATCCTCCAAACCCGCAGGCGAGTCGGTACACATCAGACACACGGCCCATTTTGCAACCTCATGCATCTCAGGTCATGGTGCCGTTCGCTCACAGCTAGATTCGATTGTTAATTCCGGCCATTCGGGTTCGGTTACACGGAATTGGCCCAATTCGCTCACACAATGGAAGAAATTGGGCGTTGGGTGGTCGCGGCGGCGGCTGCGGGATCCTCGACGGTACCCGGTTCGATACAGGGAGCATCTTGGTGGACACGGATGTAATTTTTCAATTGTTGTCAATTCCCGTTACTCAAATCGTTGATGCTTGTGTTGCGGCTAATGGGGGCAGCATGGGCATCATTGGCCAGTTGGATGCCCTCATTGTTATTGGTGATGTTGCCGTATCAGGACCGGTTTTGATCTCTAGGTTGTTATCTGTGCCCTGTTTGTTGGGTACTGATTTCCTTCGACATATGCCCGTTAAGATCCTGGTCGATCAGGGTTGCTTGGAGATGCCTTCGGGTCGCAAATTGCTTTTTTGCCGTCCCCATTGCTGCGCTTGCCACCGGGCGCTGCAGTTCAGGCCCTCGTTGATATCAAGGTAGAGATTCCGCTGGGTTCCCAGATGCTTGTGCCATTGTGCTATCGTAAGGGGATTTGGGTGTGTTGATCCGAAGGCTGGGATCCTTTTGACCCCGTCTAATACCGCAACTCGAGGTCTGGCGTTTTCTGGTGCACAGACAATAATTCGCTCCGAGCAGGTCCCGTTCTTGCAGGTACTCAACGGGGGGCCGGACGTTATGATAGTTCCCGCTGGTACGGTGTTGGCTCATGCCACCACCGTGTTTTCAGACCATGACGAGGTTGAGCCACGGCGGTTGGTGGGAGCGGCTCAGCCCTGCCATGTGCCGGATGAGTGATTGGTTGCCGCGTTGTGTGGGGAGAATGCGTCCTTGTCCTCTGACCAACGGGGTAGATTGCGTGCTCTACTATGCGAATTTTCGGACATTTTTAGTTAGGGACGAAATAATGATATGGGTGAGTCCAGCCCTATTCGACAAACTCACACCGGTTGAGCCCGGTGGAGAAGGAACGCGTACAACGGTCAACGACATGCTGGCCGCCGATATTATCTCCCCGTCTAATAGTCCCTGGGGCGCGCCCGTTGTGCTTGTCCAAAAAGGTGGTAGGCTCAGATTTTGCGTCGATTTCCGCAAGCTGAATAAAGTTTCGGTAGCCGACGCATATCCACTTCCGCGTATGGATGACTCTCTAAATGCCTTGTCCGGCGCACGGTATTTTTCCACTCTTGATCTGTCTTAGGGCCTTGGCAGCTACCCCTGGACGACTCATCAAAACCCAAAACTGCGTTTAGCACACCTTTATGACAGGGAGTTTGTTGTCTCCACCGATCATGCAGCTCTTCAATACTACTTTGAAAATCGAGCAGCCAGCTGGCCAACTCTCTCGTTGGCTAGAAATTTTGCAGGAATTCTCTTTCAGCGTTGTTTACCGTAAAGGCTCTCGCCATTCCAACGCGGATGCTTTATTGCGACTGCCACAATTGCCTCGCTGCCCGTGTTTGTCTGGGACGAGTCGTTGTGGACCCCTTGCCTTACAGGCATGTACGGCAATGTCTGCTGTCGCCGCTTATAAGCCTCTAGACACGGGTGTGCCAGTTGACAGCGAGTTGCAGCTTCCTCACGCTGTATGGATGTGCGAGCAACTGCTTAACGACTCTTTAGGGGATCTTCGGCGTCGGGCAGGGCGCGCGCAGGTGACTTTCCCTGCTGGCGAGGGTGGTCGGTTGACTTTTCACGATGGCCTTTTGATGTGGAGGGAGGATACATTGGATCGTTGGCGGGTTGGTTCGTGTGCTGCATGGGGAGAAATTGTTATACCGTGGAGTTCAGAAGTCGCTGTTGACATTGCAACGGGATTACTATTGGCCGGGGATGACGGCCGATGTCTCCAAATGGATCCAATCTTGTACGGCTTGTGCTCAGAGGAAACTGCCGCAGCAGAAATGTCACCCGCCGCGTATCAACGAGTTGGTGGCACTCGATGTCTTAGGGCCCTTTCCGGTCACATCTAGAGGGAACAAATTATTTTTGGTGGGTGTCGAATATTTTTCTCGCTGGCTGATGGCTTGGCCGCTACCAGACCAGTCGGCGGCTTCCATTGCCAACGCGTTTTTGAACGGGTATGTTATGGATAAGGGTGCTCCCAAACAGCTGCTTACGGACCAGGGTCGTTGCCGTACCACCTGCGTGGCTAGAGAAGAGGGAGGGGGCGTGGCTAGAGGACAGGGAGGGGAGGACTCGTGGTCGGTGTGGGAAGCCTGGGTTCCGGACCGCATCGCTGCTCATCCTCTCCTCGCCACGGACCACGTGGCGGATCCTCCAACGAAGCTCTCCCCTCCTTCTGGCACGCCGTCAGTCAGCGGTGAGGCCGGGAGAGTGGAGTGAGCCGTGGGGGTAACTCGGAGAGGGACGCCTCGTCTACGATGTTGAGAAGAGCGAAATCACCCGGAGGGGGAGGGAGCGGAGCTGTGCCGTACTACCGTTAATTAAAGAAGCACAAGCATCGTCGTGGAAGTATTTTATTACGTATGTAAAAATATAATTTAAAAAATTACTTGCGTTGAATAGCGACTAAATATAAATGACCGACCCCACTGGTGAACTGGTAGGATCTGTTTGTGTACGCAAAGTTGCATGTCACGTAACACAACGTTCTGTTTAGCCAGTGTATGTTTCAAACACGACCCTCCTGAAAGGGAGCCTTTACAGACTCAGTAAGGCCCTCCTGGGTAAAAATTGTAAATGATTTAATATACATAGTGCTGCAAATGTAATAAGCTAAATTGCCGCTTTTGAAATGGTACACACAGGTTTGTTGGTTTTAGAAAAAATCCCATATCATCATCATTATTATATGTATTTGACATATGCATAATATCTTAATAGGCTCTCACCTATGCATATACAGATAGGCATGCAGTACTGATATGTATGATGCTCAGTACATTAGATCACTGATTACAACATGAATTTTGTTCAAGAGTAACTCTGAAAGCGATTACTTGAATTTATATTCAATGTTATGTGGTAAGGGCATGCAACTGTAGCCTATAGGAATGTGAAAATATGCTGTAATGGTCATCTCGGTAGTCTCACTAAATTCTCATCAATGGTAGCAGTGGGATATTTGTTAAAAATTACCTCTAAGAGTGATATCAATTTGGAGAGAGCAGTTATCAAATTCCCTAGAGCTAAATTTCTCCCTGCCTCCCAAAAAAGAGATTTCTGATGCCAATGGGCTGTTATAAATGTCATCTATGTACAGCGCTCGAGTCAAACCACAACTCTGTATAATGAAAGCACCGCGTGACACTGAATCTCCATCCGAGATAGCATCTTCAGCTGTTGAGAAGTCAATTACTGCTTTCTTGGCAAGGAACGATGAACCCAAGGAATTTTATGAATCGTCATGATTCTGGGTGCCTATACGATTAAAAAAACTTCATCACGTTCTTACCATCTTGTCTGAATTATTTCTTGGTTGTTCCATCTTTTTTGCACCATTTCCTTTGCTCCATTAGCCTCAATATAACAACGTATTACTCTCCTATGTGTTTTTTGGGTTGTTTTCCGTGTTGCTCGGCACCGATGTCTGAAGTTTCGCAGAACTGAAGTCAGTTCCCGAAAAATTCACTTCCATAAAAAAAAGTTCCCAGCATGTGAAGTGAAACGTCGGGATATCGTGCCGAACAAAACGCGGTAACGTGAAAACACATTGGAGAACTCCACAGCACAACCTCGAAGATCGATTGCATTGTTACAGCACATCGCGTGCGATTGGAAGTAATCCATTCTTGAATTAACAAAAAATCAATCGACGTATTGTAAGTGTAAAAATAGATTACAACCAACGAATCCATTCATCGTTACAAGCCGACTTCCTGCCTGCTTCGGATACATGTTAATCCCAATGGCCCAATCAAAATAAGGATTTGCAACTTGCGACAACAAAAATATTTTTTTGTATTCACCGTGAGCATTTACAGAGCCCTTCTTTATATTCTTAAATTTAGCAGTTGTACCAAAGCTTCCAACCCAAAAAATTGAAGAGGCCTCACCTTATACGGCTACTCGCAGAAACCATCCTCACAAAAGAGACATCCTAAGATGCCGGGGGTATCCCAGTCAGTAGTGTCCCTATGGAGGCTGCAGCCCTCGCTGGATCTTGCTCGGCTGAGGGATTGTGGGTAGGTGGGCTAGAACAGCTAGATGAGAGGGGGGGGGGGGCACTTGGTGCCTGCCTTACAGCTCTCTCTGCACATGTTCGTGGGCCCAACAGGAAATTCTAAATGTAAGACTTTAAAGAAGACTCCTGGTGGATGCTGACATGGAACAATTCAATGCCTCAGTGCTGCCACCTTTACTTATGTATGTTGAACTACTTTCACACCACATGTAACCAACAGTTGCAATCATAGGTACATCACAGCATTGCTTCTGAACCAGACACCATTTAAACTAAATATAATAACGCATTATTTTTGTGGTAGCCCTCATATTTAAATTAAACTCCTCGTATATATATGACCATCTTACCTGAAATTGGCTTATTCATAACACACTCCACACATATTAACGTCTCTAGGTTACAATGTAGTACTAAATTATGCGATATTTCTCTGAGACGACAATGGCCAAAATGGCAAACGATCCGGAATGTTTAACCAGCGACAAAATCTTGCCATAGAATATTAAAACTTTTCTCTTTACTATGGGTCTCCAGACACTGACCTGACAAGACTCTGCCAGACCACATGCTATTGCGACATCACCCACTACTACTAAATAAGTGCTTGGCCTCAATTCCACTTTGTCCATCACCGAGTCTCTAAATGGTGAAATGTTAAAACTGCTCGTCGCTTCAAAGCCACAGATTTGTTTAGCAAAGTCTCACTATGCTGATGAGACCCAGAAATTCCAAAACGGTCCCGAGTTTTTTGCTCTTCAACAAATGCTGCTGCATAATATTGGATTGGAAAGCCAATAGGCTGATGACTAAAATGCATGTTATTCGTATGCAAAAATATAAAACAGTTATGTTTATATTCTGTGTTTAATCGTCACTGACATAGTTTGAGAAGTACCTATTGTAGATATGTAATATTTTCCCTCACTCAACGATTTGATAAACCGTCAAGAATGAAGGCTTGCTCTTAAATTCCTAAGTCAATTAAATTTTTGTCCACTGTATTGCATGTAAAATCTACAGTGACAAAAAATCACACGCTGCTGAATCAATGCATGTGTAGTGACGTAAATGGAGTCACTATGGCGTATAGCGCCAGCTACTGTCACAAGAGTGGAACGGTGCATCTTGGGCCTCGCTCTGGCACCAGAGTGGGTACGACATCGAAGCGGGCCCTGGAGGGTAGGGTTCTGCTGACGGTCAGAGAGAGGGCAAGTAAAGACGTGACAGTCTGGGTGAACCCGAGAGGGCACGTGACCGGGACAGGGTAGCGAGGGGGCCCAAAAGGGTGGCTTGAGGGACACGTGATGCTCGGTCGAGAACCTTCTGGTAAGATCCAGAAGGGGTGTGGCCGAAGGCGGGGCGAGGCTACGCTCGGGAGCATAAAAGGGAAGTCCCGAGAGCAATCGCGGCTGTCTTCTGGAATCAACCCGTCGGTGCTACGTCTCTTTGATCCTCGGTCCTCGGTCTTAGGGCTTCGGTTTTTAAACTCGCCATCGTGGGTCAGGCAGTGTATTACTGACTGACCCGGTAATGTAGTTACCCCGTTGTGGTCTAGTTAACCAGTCTACGTTTATGTAGAAATCCTGTTGGGGTGTTATAATAAACGTGTTGCCTCCAAGTTAAAGTGTGTGCCTTTGTGGAAACCACTACACATGTATTGTAAGCGTAAATAGTGATTCCCAGAGCTTTCCAGGATGTTTTCGTGTTATACTGCGTGTTGTTGTTTGAATTTCAGAATTACATTTCCTAAATGCTCTAAGCAACATTGGAACAAAATTTCAGGCACCGTAGAAAATGGTACGCCGTACAATGCAGCGCAACTGTGAGAAACTACGGCAGTCGAACCGATCTCAATGACCTCCCGACACATTCATTAACGACAAATAAGCGACTCGTGAAATTGTTACATTCCTGGCCTAGAGATAGCGGCCGACATCATTGTGGGCAGCAATGGAGCGCTTAACTCTAATAAAGCTTTTAACTTGTGCAGAAAAAAATGACACTCAAATTCAAAAGCACGCTATGTCTGACACACACACACCAAGGCAGGGAATCTTGGACCACTTTATCTGGCCCCTTTATGAACGTGGCCCCACAGCTATTATTGCACCCATTAGATACACAGTGACCATCATTGTCCACTCACCTTCCAGGCACTCGATGAGAAAAACCAAAACAATTGTGCGATGACAACATCACAACGCCATCAGCTAAAATTAGAGAAATTTAAAAGTAATTTATACTTCAGAGCATGCAGCTCGTAAAACTGAAAGTTGTTAGTTCAAATCCTCATCGGGGATTGACTGGGCTAGTCATTCCTCTATGGTGGAATAAAGAAGTCAACAGTTGTTTTCTTATGGATTAACTCACCCCCATCATAAAAATGTGCAATTTCCACCACTGGCCTAGAGCTAGAGTGTAATGCCACCCCATGCTTATACGAGTGGGCAACCACTACAACTCGTGGCCACAACGGAATAAACAAATATGACCAGATATTGAAACAACATCTTAAGTGGTGGTTTCTGGCATACGCCTTCTTTTAAACAGCTTTTTTTACCCAGTCTTTAGTGCAATCACGACGGGACCTAGCAGAAGGTGGTGGAAGTGATGGCAATGGATGATGGCAGCACCAACCGCGTTAGCGGTGGACGGCCTCTTGACTTGCGTGGAATAAACGATGATGGCACCTTCAGCTCCGCTGTCACTCCTTAATAGAGAACTGCTCCTCTTCCTGCGGTTTGGGGATCCACTCTCCGTAGCCGAGCCGCTCCAGGCTCTCCCACAACCGCTGCTTGGCCATCTGGAAGTCGCCCGCAGCAATCTTGGCCTCGGCATAACTGCCGCCCCCTGGCAGCTCCCGGTGATTGAACTTGCGCCACGTGAGGGTGAAGGCCTTCGATAGCGCTCGCTTGGATAGGCGGGACACCACCAATGCGCCGGTCCTGGGAAAAGTAGGTCCCCACGATACGTTCACGGCGAATTACTTTTAAAAATAAATAATATCCGCAACATTGGAGGTGATTGGGTGACTGTAGAGGTCAGAGCGCTGAGCTGGCATGACTGGGACCCCGAGTTTCAATCCAGGCTGGTGTCCGTGATTAACCTGGTTCTCAAAGTGTCGTGAGTTGTCACCACTGATTGCACAAAAAACCGTGACACAAAATTTCGTTCTGCACTTAATTCGGCAGAATTGTGGCTCAAAAAATAAGAATATCATCTTCTTGGTTCTTTCGGTAAAGTCACGTAGAAGGGAAGTAATAAAATAATAAAAATAAAACACATATTATTATATTATTTTATTGTGTTTTATTTTTATTATTTTATTATTTCCCTTCTACGTGACTTTACCGAAAGAACCAAGAAGATGAATCCCTGCAATCACGCGATGTGCTGTAACAATGCAATCGATCTTCGAGGTTGTGCTGTGGAGTTCTCCAATGTGTTTTCACGTTACCGCGTTTTGTTCGGCACGATATCCCGACGTTTCACTTCACATGCTGGGAACTTTTTTTTATGGAAGTGAATTTTTCGGGAACTGACTTCAGTTCTGCGAAACTTCAGACATCGGTGCCGAGCAACATGCAGTACAACCGACAAACACATAGGAGAGTAATACATTGTTATATTGAGGCTAGTGGAGCAAAGGAGATCGTACAAAAAGATGGAACAACCAAGAAATATCTTCTTGGTTCTTTCTGTAAAGTCACATAGAAGGGAAATAATAAAATAATAAAAATAAAACATAATACCATTATAATAACATCATGTTTTATTTTAATTATTTTATTATTTCCCTTTTACGTGACTTTACCGAAAGAACCAAGAAGATGAATCCCTGCAATCACGAAAGCTTTACATCGAAAAATAAGAATATAAGTTTGATTGTAATGCGATGAACATGACTCTTGTGTGCAGAATGGGTGGGAAAGTGCTGCCCTCAATTGTGTGGACCAGAGGTCACTTCAAGGGATCACAGAAGTAGCTCTGTGAAGTCAACTTCCGTGGGCCATTTTACTTCCCCTGCACCTCCAATTAGCACGGTTGGGTACGTACGGTGCGGAAGAAGTTCAACATACACACATAATAGCTACGCAGAACTGAGCCTGTCTAGTGCCTGGATGGGCGAAAACCATCCACAAATAGGTTGTCATAGGCGGCTGCGGGGCTACGTGGCAGGCAAGAGGGTGGTGCAGCAAAATCCATTGCTGTACTGCAATTCTATGCTCCCCACCTTCACAAACCCACACTGATGGGCACGGTGAAGTATGGTCAAACAACCCCCACGACTCAAACGATGTGGGAAGGTCCTCGTTCAGGGGTGCATTTGAAAAACGGCTGCACATGCATCGAGCACCAGATCAGTCGGTGGGATAAATCCAATTGGTACATTCCATGTTCGTCACATTCTAATACCGCAAGGCTATCAGCGAGGCTCACATTTACATAGTCTTGCAGGAAGGGGCAATGTTCCTACATAGTTTTACCCAATTAGGTAATTCGGTATTTTGACAATTTGGACCGTGATCCTGGCACACAAAAACGGCTTACTCTCTTTCGAATAACGTCACGGAATCTTTATCGGCCGCTGTGAAACAGACGCCAGGGGTGGCAGTCGGTCGGTGGGTCTCGCGATTCCCAACTCTGCTCCTGACGGGCGGTCGGATGACTCGACGATGACGACCGACTGACCGACACACGACGCGACACCTTACTGGTCCAGAGCCTTGCCCTTGGTGCCATCCAGGATTTCCGGCCGCTCGTCCCCGAGGCTCCAGTTGGCGCTCGTCTCCTTCGTCTTGCCCACCTGCCTGGCCGAGTCGTACACGCTCACCCGCCCCACCTGCCGGTACACGCACGCGCGCGCACACACAGACGCGTGCGTCCATGCACGTATGCATGCAGGTGTCTCGCACAGTGCCAATCGTCGTTTATTCCACGCAAGTCAAGAGGCCGTCTACCGCTAACGCGGTTGGTGCTGCCATCATCCATTGCCATCACTTCCACCACCTTCTGCTAGATCCCGTCGTGATATTTGTTCATTCCATTGTGGCCACGAGTTGTCGTGGTTGCCCACTCGTATAAGCATGGGGCGGCACTACACTCTTGTTCACAGCTCTAGGCCAGTGGTGGAAATTGCACATTTTTATGATGGGGGTGAGTTAATCCATAAGAAAACAACTGTTGACTTCTTTATTCCACCAGAGAAATGACTAGCTCAGTCAACCCCTGTGCACGCATGGCTGGTTGGCAATTGGGCAGTCCTTTATGCCAGCAGTTCTCAACCTTTGTTTGGCCACTCTAACCCCTTGCTGAATATTGTTTCAACCAAGTACCCTCCTTGCCTGACCCCAACATGGTTTTGAAAAATAAATGCATGAATAATGAACGTAAACATTTAGACCAATTGTACATTTTGTGAGGTATCCTAACTAGCTAGTAACTGCAAGCGAATAAAAACGCATTCAATGAAACATCTGGATGCATGACATAATTTGTTCATGCTTGGTCGTTACTCTTAGGAAACCACATTGCCGCGTACCCCCGGTTGAGAACCACTGCTTTACGACTTCGAGTGGTGCGAGTAGGGAGATGTTCTTTGTACGGGCACGGCAATGCATTCTGACGTCTATCCGTACAGCGCTTTGAGTGTATTGTCAACAAATAATCGGAGATTCAGCTTGAATTTTACTCTGGCCTCTCTGTGTGTGCTGGGAAGAATGGCCATTGCCCGAAATATCGTCTGTGATGTGATGAGTGCGCTAAGTTTTGCCGTTCTTCCTGAAAAGGTCTTAAGAATCAATGAGACTTTCCTGGATGAATGAAGGGCATCATCGCTACGTTCATATCCAAGTCTCACTGAATCTCAATAACTATTTGCAGGAGCATTGTGCTGGGATGTTGAGCCAATTACATTTTTAAAGAAGCGTTTTGCATGCGGGTAGGAAGCTGATGCACAAAGCTGCACGCAGACTGGTCACTGTGTTGTTGTCAGCACCTGGCCACGTCACAGTCCAGGGCATTTGGGATCCTCTTGGCACACAATGTAAATCTGCATGATCCACCTACCCCCCCCCCCCCCCCGCAAAGCTCTGGAATAAAGAGAGAATTATCTTGACGTGTTTTTGTTCTCGGGTTCTTTCTCGCTAAAGGTGCTTCCTGTGCGCATTGTTTTTCGTTCCAGGGTGAGCCCTTTGTTCTCTCGTTGGGGAAATCCCAATTATTCAGACGCTTGTCAAAACAACGAACATCTGACAAAAAAGCAAGTGTCATCAAAATCCACAACGCTAAAGGAGTGGGTGGGGGAACACAAGTTTTGTAAAGGCAAGAACATTTGTATGGCAAGAGAGATATGAGATAAAGATGATGCGAGGGTTTACAGAATGCAACTGGGAGGTAGCCAATCATAAGCAACAGCGATGAGGTTGGTCTTGAGCAACAACTTAAACAGAGGGATAGATTAAGAATTAATTCATTAGTAGCAGGTCACTCCAAATCCGCAGCCCAGGGTAGTGGGAGGGATGGGCAGCGGGAGGGATGGGCAGTGGGAGGGATGGGCAGTGGGAGGGATGGGCAGTGGCGGGTGTGACGCGTTACCCGAGGGTGGTGCAGGGAGAAGCCTGCGGGTGCCACGCTGTTGAAGGTGGCAGCTTCCTTCTCCATGCGGCAGCACACGGCACGCGCCAGGTGTCCGTGGCTGTACAGGTAGCCTGCGCGACACACAACGGCGACCGCCCATCCGTGACCGTCAACCGATGAGAATTGGTGAGCATGTCCAACGGTGATTGGCCGTACTTTTGAACCCTGCCAGATGTAACCGGTCGACTGTCAAATTATAAACTCTTATGCCGAGCACAGATGTACGTATGTTGAACTTCTTTCGCACCATACGTAGCCAACCGTGCTAATCGAAGATGCGATATTGTAAGTTAATCATGACTCTTAATTTACACGCACCGATTCTCCTATTATCCATGATTTTCTGCCTATTGTTCCATCCCACATTGTAGAAGAGCTTCCTATTATCCGTAAATCGTTTGTGGATGTTGAGTGATGTGGAAAATGTTCATTTATCATCCGCGGGGTAAAACGTGATTTTATAAACATGTCTGCAGATGTGGGTAGATGCCTTGGCATCCTTATTAGCATTGGAATGGGCATTTGAACAGGCGCTGCTTGAACCATGCATGAAGCTGTGTCCATTCATGGACAAAGCTGTGTCCTTTTGATTGTCCATTCAAACACCCAATTGAAATGCTAATGAAACATTCCAGTAATTGACTTTTGTGTTGGAAAGCGAAATCTATCGCACTTCTCCCTGACGGAGTCCGAAACTGCCTATTGATTTATCGAATACAGTGGTGGGGAGATGTTATCTTTCTCGCCTGGTACGCAGGAGGTCGTGGGTTCAATCCCGACTCTGACGACACCTGTATATATGGAGTTTGCATGTTTTCTCCGTGGTAGTCACATGGATTATTCTCTTAGAAACATGCGCTTAGATTATTTGGCTGCTACTATAAATTCCTACATGTGATGATATCAGCCACTTCGATGAGCTGGCATTACGTGTGGCCAGGTCCCCTCTGAAAAAAAGCTCCGTGGGCTTGATCAGGTAAAATAAAAATTTGTCATTTAGTAGTAGAGTCCTAAAACTCGTCAATAACACTGTGACGACGTTTCACGCAAAGGCCCTTCTTTACAGCAGAGCCTCCCTGCCTCACCCAGAGTGACGGAGGAGAGGTAGATTGGGTGCAGGAAGTGGGAGAGCAGCGCGCCCTGCAGGCCCAGCGTGTTCCAGCGCAGAACCTTGTCGCTGCACGACATCGTGCGCAGACGCTCGCCGCGCTGCACCCCGTCCCATGTGGGCACAATGTCGCTCGACTCCACTGGGATGGTGCCCTCGCCTGTGCCAACAATGTTACCGCCCACCGTCGTTTTCATCATCACCACAACCACCACCACGACTGTCATCGCTGCCACGATCATCAACATCATCGCCACCATTATTACCAATTCTCCATTTCATTCTAATGATAATACAAACCCCAATTAGAATGTTACAATAAGCCCCAAAGTAAATGCTACTGCTTATAGGCCCTGTTTATTCCACTGCCAGCCATCCTGACTGCCCAGCTAGCCCTGCAGGTTTGTCCGTCCCACGGGTAGGACATGGGACCCGAAAACTTTAACAGAGGACAAAATCCCATGATGCACAAATGCTTCAGGGCACCAGGCCAGCCTTTCCGTTCTGGCCAAGCCTGAACTTTTGTTGGCTTCATCTTCAGGGCAAGATGTTAAGCGACTCAAGCAAGAGGTCACGACACTACAGGTTTAGTCGCTCACCGTTCTCGACCTTGGTCCGCAGCTTGCCCTGCTTGTTGTTGTCGAAGATGGGCGCGTGTATGTGTGGGTCCCCGGCCACCCCATCGCTGCACGTCTTGTCAAATATCGCGCCGTCCCCGCAAGGTGCAGTGCTGGAATATGAAGGGATGGGTGGGGAGACGGTGGGGGAGGAGAGGGGGGGGGGATGTGAGAGTCGCACATAGCCAGCCGGCCAATTCTAAACTATTTTTTATTTTTCAGGGTAAGGCCCACTGAGCTATTTAGCTCTTTTTCAGAAGCGAAGTGGCTTATCACGTGGACATTTTAAAGCAGCCAAATATTACACGCGTGTTGATTCTAAATGTTGAAGGAACAAAACGGGAAGATCCAGAGAAAAATGTACGTGGCCATGGGGAGACCATGCCCACTCCAAATATACAACAGGTGTCACGGTTGGGATCGAACCCACAACCTCCTGTATACCGGGTGAGGTAGTTAACATCTCGCCACCGTGGCGACCTCATAGGTTCCATCCCTTCAAGCCTGCTCTATTCTCTGCCACCGCAAAAGCTTAAATACACAATGCTATGAAACTTACATGTCAATCCGCTGCTAGATGACAAGTTATTATTGTTATCTGGAACTTGGGAAAAAAGATGATGAGTCAGCAGTACAAAGGGCAGAACAAGGCGACAAGGTGGAAGTGAAACACCATGTCCTGCAACATGGTACGGAATAGTGTAAGCAGTCAAACTGCCAGACCGCGTTCGTGCTACGTTATGGATAAAGCGAGCACGGTTTCCGAGCCACGCACAGTGCCCTGTGAATTGTTAGTTTGTTCAAAACACACACATACACACCTACAGAAGGGCAATGTTAAAATGTTCATGTTTTAATTGTTGCTCATCCGCTGGCGTGCTCTGCACCCATGCCGCCGTGGCGCGTGGCAGCCGGGCCCTACCTGATGTAGAGGTGGAAGCTAACGTCCGCCCGCACGCGCAGTTTCCCGTCTTCGCCCGGGACCAACACGCTGGGCTGTGCCCCCGCGGGGTCGTAGCTCAGCAGCTGGTGATACAGGAACCTTCCAGAGACAGGAAGGGGAAGAGGAGGAAGTGACGCGGTGCGTCGTGCGTCAAGATACAATCGGAAAAAGGAACCAGGTCGCATCTTGTCGGTACGTATTTAACTTGTAGCTATGCTGCTTGGCACAATTATGAAGCTTTGTTGAATTCAATAATTGCGTGAACAGCAATAATTAGGATAAAATTAGAGGCTATGTACCCCCTTCGAACAATATTTGGGTCGAAAAAATGTTTTTACTTGGATTCATAGAACACCGTAGCTACATAGCGAGGCATGAACTGTCGACCTTCTGCATGTGGCTCATGAGCCACGGTCTGTCCACCGCTTATGGACAAAAGGTCACGCAGTGGCTTTGTTTTCCTGCAGTTCTGGACCAACTGCTCGTGCACGGAAGCAGGGCCCCAGACAGGAGGGTGGGGATGATGGGGCAGTTTATCACGAACCTTCAATCCAGGGGTGGGGGCATTGGAAAAGGTCGAGAGAGGGGGGGGGGAGAGCCTCAGAGGGGGCCACATACAGGGACCATGCAAGGGGACCCACAGATCGGGCCACGTGCGGCATTTTGCCCTGGCTCTGCCAACACAAAAAAAAACTCTTGGCAGCGCAGCGCGATGGAAGTCTCACCGCATAAACCCGCGGCGCGTGATGACCTCGGCGTGGCTGTCGTTCACCGTCTCCCCGCTCAGGCTCAGCTCCTCGCCCTTCACGCAGCGGTTCCCTGGGGCGGTGGGGGGGGAGCAGTGGGAGTGGAGGGGGTGGTGCCACAGCAGAGGGGCGGTCAGAGTGATGGCGGCGCCAAAGCTTCTGCTCGGCTTTACCGCGCCGGCGCCCATTGCACTCGCGACATCGTACTGTCGTCGCGAGTCGCGAACCTCACCGCCGCTGGTGAAGGTTATGAGATTTATTGCATGGGAGGCATGGAATGAAGAGTAAATGATAACGATGATGATCAGCGTTAGCTAAATTATTCTTATTGTGTTACAACGAGAGACTGCACATTATAAATTGTGCGGAGTAAGAATGTAGTGGTTCACCACCCCCCCCCCCCCCCCATTCTTGAATAAAATTGAAGCCCTGAATCTCAATAAGCCATAAAATCACATTAACCACCAATAGCCCTGGTGGTTAATGTGAGGGTTAACATTCACCCCCAGGGCTATGAATAGTGTGAGCGTGAAGGTTAGCATTACAGTTGGAATTAGAATAAACAGAGTAAGACAGCCTATAAGTCGATAAAGGCAACAATGGTCGAGCGTTATCTATCCATCTCGTGTCATCGTTATAACGAAGGCTTGACGTCCACGACAAACGATTCCCACCTTTTGTGATCTTTGGCATCTGTCACTGAGAAAGCCATATATCTAAGTCACACTGGCCCACGAAATGATTCTGCTTTCCTTCCCTATCTCCTTCGCTACGCGTCACGCTGTTGAACTTCTTTCGCACCGTACGTAGCAAACCATGCTGATCGGAGGTGCGGGGAACAGACAAACTAAACACGAAAAAAAATCTCTAGGAATTAGTTTTCAAACTAGATTTCAATGTGCAAAGTTCGCAATAAATACGTTATTTATCTAAATTAAAAAGTACATAGCGCCAGTGGCATCTTAACATTAGAAGAGCTGAAGCGCATCTGAAAGCACAGTGATGCTAGCCAAAAAGCCGGTGTTCGCGTGATGGTCATTCTCCTTGATGAGATCAGCAAGATAGTGTGGTTCATTTGTGGCAAGAACTTGATACGATGACAATTTAACTCTCTGCGTGCTTCCTCAGCACAGCAAATCCCTGTTCAACGTGAAGCAGTTTTTTGCTCAACGCGTACCGCGCCCGCTATAACGCGAGGAGGTCAGCGCGTGACCGACTACTCTTCTGAGCGGCGTGGGCTGGTACCGTAGTAAATTTGGTAACGGTACTGTCGTAGTGGTACTGTAGTGCTGATGCGTGCTGTGATACACGGCGTGCCTCCCTCTTCCCCATTCTGTGTTTCGGTATCTTTGTTGGCGTGGTGTCATCTCACTCCCTTGTGCTTTTTCACTCGCCAAATCTCTCTCGCTCACACACTTTATATTGAAATAAATGGTTTGTCACGCAGAGAATATTTATAGAAACTGTAGAAATACCAAAAAATGTTAATTAAACAAGTAAAACAGTGTACTGTACCGTCAAATAAAAACAATGAAAAAATTACGGGCTGGAACGGCACCCCCACATTTACCATTATTCCTTATGGGAAAATTACTCTTCATGCTGTATGCGAATTTGCTTTGTGTGGCAATTTTCAGGAATGCAAACCCCTGCGTTAAGTGACCAATCTCTGTATATCACGGTGGCGAGATGTTAACTACCTCGCCTGATATACAGGAGGTCGTGGGTTCGATCCCAACCCTGACGTCCGCATATTTGGAGTTTGCATGTTCACCCTCCCTGTGGTTATGTGGATTTTTCTCCGGGTCATCCCTGTTTTTCCCTCCCACATTTCAAATCAACATCACGCAATTAGAGTATTTGGCTGCTAGAAATTCCCACGCAATAAGCCACTTCGTTAGGCTATCACTTGTGGCCAGGTCGCTTCTGAAAAAAGAGCTGTATAGCTCAGAGGGCCTGACCAGGTAAAAAAAAATTTGTAGAAAAAAACATTTGTAAAAAAAAATTGTAAAGAAAATTGTAAAAAAAAAAATCAGCAGGGTCCACCTGTGCCGAAACTGACGACTCTGCCGCGATCGTCGTTGCCTTCCTTCATCACAATCGCCGCCAAGATCTTGCGACCCGTGAGGAGGTGCTGGCATGCGCTTGTCATGCTGTTGAACGCCTGGTGGCTCAGTAGCGCGATTTCGTCTTCGAAGGTGCGCTTGCCGGAGTAGTTCTGCCATTCGCGCGCACGTTGATGACAGGATCACGCAATAAATGGCATCTTTCCCACAATGACAAAACAATGACAAGCTATCTCGGGATATGAATAGGCACGTAAACAATGAGTTATACTGGTAGGAACGAAGTGAACCAGCCTACAATAGATTATATCGTCCGTCCGTCCGTCCGATGTCCGATTAGGTGTAGCAACATCGCCCCCTACTGCAAACACTTGGCAGGACCCTACAAAAACCTTTAGACTCAGTGAGGCTTTCCTGGCTAAATAAGTGTAACATTCCTTTATAATTCCCTTAGATAGTTTTTAATTAAAACATTTAAATAAAAAATTAACTTACAGCGGCCTAAAGCCTACAGCTAGGCCTAAAGCCTAGTACTAGGCCTCAAACTCTCCCTTCGTATCGTACCCCCGCCATTTCATTTTATTATATCCATTCATTTGTTCGTTCCTACCAGCCCACCCCGCAGGGACCTGTTTTTGATTAATCCCTTAAAATGTATTCGAATGATGATGATACACGCATTCAGTTATGCGTGTAGAAACTGATTATTTGAACTTGGTTAAGACCACATAACAAATGTAACATCAGGCGAACGAAGGACAAATGAGACTGAACAAACAGGGCAAATAACGCAATGTAGCTGGCGCGATCCGCGCGTGGGGACAGACCAGTGCGGACGCCATTGGGTCAGAGAGGCCCAGGGAGGCCCCATCGGTCAGCAGAGACCTCAGCACCGCCTCGGCGACGTCCGTCTTCGCTTGTTTTTTGCTGTTGCTCGTCACGGGCGGGAAAACGCAGCCTCCAACTTTAGCCTGCATCACGAACCTGTGGCGCACGAAGACAAAGATTTCCCGTATAGCCTTAACAGACTGTTGGGGCAAGTGCTGTTAGCGAGTAGCACCTATGAAGGCTGGCATGGCACAGGAGGGGGTGGGTGGGTAACACCACGCCTGGCCGCCTTTGTCTCCCGAGTGGCGATTTTTACACACCTCACCAGGTACTCATTTGTTGAACTCGGTCACCGGGTTTGTAATACAGTGAGCTGACCACTACACCATCCCTCGCCACACACTAACCCATGCAAACGTATACAGCGCCATTAGAGATTAAATGACTCATTATGAACAAGCAAGGTGTTGTCATATTCTTGGTTCTTTCGGTAAAGTCACGTAGATAGAAAAGAAAATGAAGACCGCTTGTGTTTTGCGATCGAAACGTTGTGAGTTTTTTGCTTTAATTTTTTATTATACATTTATTTTATTATTTACATTTTTTATCTACGTGACTTTACCAAAAAAAACAAAAATATGAATTCCTGCAGTCAGGAAAGTTTAAAGTAAAAATTTAAGGTGTTGTCAATTGCACAATTAGACTGTAAGTGCAGCTCAATTAGAAATGTTATTTATTTTAGCCTCTGTAGAGGAGTGTGACAGTCAAACGATCACAAGAGGATTAAGAAGGTACTAATACAAAGATACTAATAAAAACATTTTACGTCCAATTTAATCATAATAAAAACACACGCGTGTGTGATTATACTTGTAAGGTACATGTAAACAAAAGCATCGTTAAAGTTTGCTTGTAAAATTCTGTCCGTTACCATGCCACCGAGATGAGATGGAACACGGCGTAGCGCAAAGCATTTTCCAATGACGCATGCATTCTCTTTTTACGAAAGCCAAAAAAATAACATTGAAGGAAAACAAAGCCAACGACAAAGCCGTTAAATAAACAGGCCCTGTCTGCCTTCACAGGTGACGCTGCCAAATCTCTACCGCAGTAATCCATGATCCTTGTCCGACCTCAACGCATTTAGAAAAGCCAGCTGTGATTGCGCGATGGATTGGCTGGTGCCAGTCACGCACATGGACATGTGCAGCCCTTTTGTCACACCGATGCTGGCCGTGGGTATCCCCTAATGCCGTGCGGTTCGTGATGGTTATTTGACAAGTTGGGCAAGCCCCCCTCCCCGACTTACGAATGGGTTTCTTTACTGAGACCCGTTCGCAAGTCGATTTGGTCGTATCTCGGAACTCACGAATGCATTGCATGTAATTGTACATAACAGTCAATGTTATCAAATGTGTTACGGTTCAACAAAAAAGGGAGGCATTGTTAAACTCTCAAACAAGACGAAATATTGTACATTTGCATGTCATACTGTAATACTGCACAGTAAATAAAATAAAATAGCAACACGAAAAGAACCCAAAAAAAATCCGTTTTATTTTCCCTTGAGACCTGATGCTGGATCAGCATAAGGCTAAGTGGCACAATACACCAATCCTGGTCCTCAAGCCATGCAATCAAACTTTTACAATTTCATTGATCACACCACTCCGTTGCAGTGTAATTATGGTCGACTTCATAGGCCCTTCGCATGTTCGACAATTCGAGCCTTGTCTTTTATTATCGTTTTTACGGTCGACCGTGTAAGGCCTAATGCACGTCCGATGCTCGTGGGAGTTTCGCCTTTCTCAGACCGCTTTATTACGTTCAGTTTCCTCCCCACAAGAGCTTGGGGACTGCCTGTGGTTCATCACGTTAGTAGTCGTGGGTTGGTGAAGGCGGAGAGCACAGACGTGTCAGGTGGGTAAGCAGTAGATCGAACAGCTCGCAAGCGGAAAGGTTCTGCGTTCAATCCTGGTTGGGGGGTTGACTCAGCCCATCATTCATTTGGGGTCGATAAACTGGATACCACTTTGTGGGGAGGTCAACAATAGTTTCCCTATGGATAGACTTATCCCTGCCAGCGGTAGGCAAGCACCACCCAGAAATGCTCATTTGACAGACCAGGTGGCACAAAAGTCGAATTCAGCATTGGATCTTTTTTTGTTACACGGCCCAGCGCCGAAAACAACCACAGCACAACCGCCCCAGCCGCCACCGCTGAACGCTACCACCCCGCATCGCAAACAGCACCTGGGGTCGTGCGGAGGTCCATACTGCGCCACCATGGTGAAGTCGCAGGCGAAGCCCTTGGCTTGGGCCAGCTCGAGGAGGGTGCTCACGGGGTTCTTGTTGGTCATGAGGAGGATGTCCCTCACCGATGCGCCCCCCGCCGCGTCGCTCGCGAACGTGGAGGAAGCGGCGTCGCCGGCAGGCAACGTGCACGCGGCATCATTGCTCACAGGGTATCGCAGCGTCGCCTCGGCCCCGCCGCACAAGTGGCGCTGCAAAAAAACACGCACGCGGACACACAGGGCATGCACACATGCACAGGAGGGCAGAGACGCACACATGACACCGCGAGGGGCACTTGGGGGGGGGGGGGTGGGGGGGCGCGCGCAGATGCGCGTAGTACGTAAAGAGGGATGCAGAGAGGTACAGGTGCACACAGGGGTGCACGCAAAGGTGCACACGGGCACACAGGTACGCATAGGTACAGTGATTCATAAAGACACACGGATGAGTCCAGAGATGCATGCGGACACTTATATGAATAAAAGGACATGAAATATCGATATAGTGCGATTTTTGTGTGCTATATCTTTAGTTATTTATTTATTATGCGTGCACAGCCATATCAACTCACGCGCCTTTGGTGGAGGGGATGGCCCATGCCAAGTCACACGCCTTCGGTGGGAGTGAGGGGGACATTTTCTTTCGCGTTAAAAATGCTATAAAAATACACTAAATACCGAGCTTTAATCTTCACTGTATGATGTCCCCCCTACATCGATGCGTGCAGTTACTACTATATACAGTCGCCAGATGCTACCACTATAGGCCGTAGATATTACTGCAGAGCGGCCGGGGAGATCGTGGCTGGGGGTGGGGGGGCCGGCTGGACAATCTAGGCGAAGCCGGAGGCTCTGCACGGGACTAGGCCTCACCACACCACTCTGTCAGGTGAGTACTTTGTGCTATGGAGTCGAAAAAAACTGCTATAGAGTCAGCATGTACTACTGTAGTGATAGCAGGTACCACCACAGTCGGTATGCACTGCTGTAATCATAGCAGGTACCACCACAGTCAGTATGCACTGCTGTAATCATAGCAGGTACCACCACAGTCGGTATGCACTGCTATAATCATAGCAGGTACCACCACAGTATGCACTGCTGTAATCATAACAGGTACCACCACAGTCAGTACGCACTACTGTTAGATTTTTAGGAGTAGTTTTGGAATATTTTTAAGACCCGGGCAATGCCGGGTACCTCCCGCTAGTATATGATATGTCTTTCCACCCACCTCTAAACGGCCGTACACTGGGTTAAACAGGGCTGCGGTTGAACAGAAAAGGGGTGGGTGGGGGGGTGCCGTGCAATCACCCCGGCCCTCACCTTGTCCTTGTGTAGGGCCTGCAGGGCGTTCAGGGCGGCAATCTGCTTCGCCTGCTTTTTGCTGGAGGCCTCAGCGGCACGGTACGAAACGTCTCCCAGCACCGCCTGCATGCGGAACCTGCGCCACAGAGAGACGAGCAGGCCCTCCTGTTGTCTGTCCACGAGCCCGCACGCACGCACGTGAGCACGAACACACGGGCGCACGGATGCCAGCGGGTACGCGAGAACATACGGAGTGAAGCCAGGCTGCAGGAGATGGGACTCTTGCCCGGGCTAGCCACTGAATTGGATGATGGAGGGCGAGAAAGAGACGGGCAGGGAGAGAGATCAAGGAGGACGGCCGAGATAGACAGGAACAGGGAGTGACGGAGTCAGGGCAGAGACAAAACTGTAAGAGTAGAAGACAGGGACTGAGACTAGGGTGACGGATAGAGATAGAAGGAATACTTACTGAGAGGGGAAGGCAGTTAAATGAAAGACAGAGATGGAGATGGAGAGAAATGCAGGAAAACAAAGAGATGGAACAGTCAAGGACAGGGATTGAAGTATTGGGAGAGAGGACAGTGGCAGGCAGTTATCCTGGCAGAGACAACTACTGGGAGATTGATAAACAAGGCAGCAACGACAGACTCAAGAGACTGGGTAGATTATAGAATGCACAACCGAGAGATGAGGCAGAGATACTGAGCGAAGACAAAGAATTACTGAATGACAAGACAGTGAGTCTGAGAGACGAAGCTGTAAAAGACAGCTGCAGGGAAACATCAGGGACAGGACGGAGATATACCACGGCATGCACGTGAGACTGGGAAACCAGGCAGAGAACCGGAGAGAAGAGAGAGCTAATTCACTAATTAGAAAGGGCAGACACACAAAAGGGAGTCAAAATCACAGAAATGAGTTGAGAGACAGGACAGTCAAACTGACACATGCAGATTTGGAAAAAAGGCATTCAAAGAGAGGGACAGAGATACTCAAAGACAGAATGGAAATTCTATCAGGGAATTTAGGTAACAAAAGGCTGATCGTCAGGCAGTGCAATACAAAGTAGGTCTACTGAGATTAGGTCCCCACATAGCGTACAGAGGCTGTTGTGGCAAGTGCTGTTTGCGAGCATTTATTAAGGCTGCTATTGGCACACGAGCGGGGTGGGTGGCCAGCACTACGTCCTGCCACCTTTGTCTCCCCAGCGCTAAAATTCACACACCACACAGCTACTCATATTAAGGCCGAGTCGACTGAGAGGTGGCCCAGGAACAATTTAAATATTCGCCGCTCTTCTTGGTCGTGAGCAGCAATCGACCTCGGGTCACCAGATTTATAGCACAGCGCATTGAACACAAGTGAGACACAACAAAAGACAAAGGTCCCCCGTATCGCCTTAACAGCCTGATGGGGCAAGTGCTTCGATTTAAAGCTTTCGTGACTGCAGGGATTCATCTTCTTGGTTCTTTCGGTAAAGTCACGTAGAAGGGAAGTAACAAAATAATAAAAATTAAACATAATAAAATAATTCTCACGACGTTTCGGCCACAACGCAAGCAGCCGTCCTCAGGTGAAAACCAGGTCCGTCGAGGCGACAGAGTCCTTCAGACTCTGTAGCCTCGACGGACCTGGTTGTATTTATTATTTTATTATGTTTAATTTTTATTTTTATTATTTAATTACTTCCCTTCTACGTGACTTTACCGAAAGAACCAAGAAGAAGGGGGCAAGTGCTGTTAGCGAGCACTTATGAAGGCCGGCATAGCACACGAGGTGGGTAGCCAGCACCACTACCGGTCCACACAAACAGAAACCCCGGGCGGTACCGTGGGTCGTGCGCCGGCCCCGAGCTGCTCAGTAGTTTGAATGTGCACAGCTGGCTTGTGGCGCTTGCCAGCTCCATGAGCTCGCTCACGGGCGTCTTCTCTGTCACCACGGAGTTCAGCGGGGCCAAGGCTCCCCATGGGGGGCCCGCCGGCACGGGCTGAGTCCCCACGCCCTGCACGCGACGCATACACACAGCCCCGTGTGTTCACTTGCGCGTAAGCTCCACCTCCCTATTGGCCGCAGCTCACGGAGTTGAAAGCTACATATGCATTAGCGACACATCCCCCCGTATACCCACAGTCACAAAATGCGTAAAACCCTCCCGAGGTTGTGGCTGCTGACATACTGCCTCCCAGGTCTTTCTGTCTGTCCCACCGTGCTCATAGATATTATATTCCAGAGCCATATTGCTCCAAGTGTTCACACTTACTTACGCATTATGCGCTCCTCACTATTGGCTGTGGCTAAATTCACAGCTACATATTCGCTAGCCGCAGAGTCCCCGTGTACTCGCGATCGCTTAAATACACGAGCCCCTTCTCACTATTGGTCCACCGCCCTGTGTTCACAGCTACATATTCATTAGCCGCACAGTCGCCGTGTACTTCTCGCTCGTGTATCATATTTCTTTTCACCCACCTCTAAACGGCCGTACACTGGGTTAAACAGGGCTGCGGCCGAACAGAAAAAGGGTGGGTGGGGGGGTGCCGTGCAATCACCCCGGCCCTCACCTTGTCCTTGTGTAGGGCCTGCAGGGCGTTTAGCGCGGCCATCTGCTTCACCTGCTTTTTGCTGGAGGCCTCAGCGACACCGAACGAAACGTCTCCCAGCACCGCCTGCATTCGGAACCTGCGCCACAGAGAGACGAGCAGGCCCTCCTGTTGTCCGTCCACGAGGCCGCACGCACACACGCGAGCACGAACACACGGGCGCACGGATGCCAGCGGGTACGCGAGTACATACGGAGTGAAGCCGGGCTGCAGGAGATGGGACTCTTGCCCGGGCTAGCCACTGAATTGGATGGAGGGCGAGAAAGAGACGGACAAGGAGAGAGATCAAGGAGGACGGCCGAGATAGACAGGAACAAGGAGTGACGGAGTCAGGGCAGAGACAAAACTGTAAGAGTAGAAGACACGGACTGAGACTAGGGTGAAGGATAGAGATAGAATGAATACTTACTGAGAGGGGAAGGCAGTTAAATGAAAGACAGCGATGGAGATGGAGAGAAATGCAAAAAACAAATAGACGGGACAGTCAAGGACAGGGATTGAAGTATTGGGAAAGAGGACAGTGACAGACAGTTATCCTGGCAGAAACAACTACTGGGAGATTGATAAACAAGGCAGCAACGCCAGACTCAAGAGACTGGGTAGATTATAGAATGCACGACCGAGAGATGAGCAGAGATACTGAGCGAAGACAAAGAGTTACTGAATGATAAAACAGTGAGTCTGAGAGACAAAGCTGTAAAAGACAGCTGCAGGGAAACATCAGGGACAGGTCGGATATATACCACGGCATGCACGTGAGACTGGGAAACCAGGCAGAGAACCGGAGAGAAGAGAGAGCTAATTAGAAAGGGCAGACACACAAAAGGGAGTCAAAATCACAGAAAGGAGTTGAGAGACAGGACAGTCAAACTGACACATGCAGACTTCAAAAAAGGCATTCAAAGAAAGGGACAAAGATACTCAAAGACAGCATGGAAATTCTAGCAGGGAATTTAGGTAACAAAAGGCTGATCGACAGGCGGTGCAATACAAAATAGGTCTACTGAGATTAGGTCCCCACATAGCGTACAGAGGCTGTTGTGGCAAGTGCTGTTTGCGAGCATCTATTAAGGCCGCTATTTGCACATGAAATGGGTGGGTGGCCAGCACCATGTCCTGCTACCTTTGTGGCCCCGGCGCTGAATTTCACGCACTGCACCAGCTACTCGTATTAAGGCCGAGTCGACTGAGAGGAGGCCCAGGAACAATTTAAATATTCGCCGCTCTTCATGGTCGTGAGCAGCAATCGACCTCGGGTCACCAGATTTATAGCACAGCGCATTGAACACAAGTGAAACGCAACAAAAAACAAAGGTCCCCCGTATAGCATTAATAGCCCGTTGGGGCAAGTGCTGTTAGCGAGCACTGATGAAGGCCGGCATGGCACACGAGGTGGGTAGCCAGGACTACTACCTCTCCACACAAACACGGTACCGTGGGTCGTGCGGCGGCCCCGAGCTGCTCAGCAGTTTGAAGCTGCATATCTGGCTCGTGGTGCTCGCCAGCTCCATGAGCTCGCTCACGGGCGTCTTCTCCGTCACCACGGAGCTCAGCGGGGTCCAGGCTCCCCATGGGGGGCCCACCGGCACGGGCTGAGTACCCACGCCCTGCACGCGACGCATCCACACAGCGCCGTGTGTTGGCTTGCGCGTAAAGCTCCACCTCCCTATTGGCCGCAGCTTACGGCGTTGACAGCTACATATGCATTAGCCACACATCCCCCCGTGTACTCACAGTCACAAAATGCGTAAAACCCTCCGGAGGTTGTGGCTGCTGACATACTGCCTCCCCAGTCTTTCTGTCTGTCCCATTGTGCTCATAGATATTATTTTTCTTAGCCATATAGCTCCAAGTGTTCACACTTACTTAGGCATTATGCGCTCCTCACTATTGGCTCTGGCTAAATTCACAGCTACACATTCATTAGCCGCACAGTCCCCGTGTACTCGCGATCGCTTAAATACACGAGCCCCTTCTCACTATTGATCCACAGCCCTGTGTTCACAGCAACATATTCATCAGCTGCACAGTCCCCGTGTGTTCAGACTCGCTTAAATACACGAGCCACTTCTCACTATTGGTCCACAGCCCTGTATTCACAGCAACATATTCATCAGCCGCACAGTCCCTGTGTGTTCAGACTCGCTTAAATACACGAGCCACTTCTCACTATTGGTCCACAGCCCTGTGTTCACAGCAACATATTCATTAGCCGCACAGCCCCGGTGTGCTCACACTCGGTTATGCCTTAAGCTTTCCTCGGGGCCCACAGTGTGTACAGTCGCACACTCATTAGCATATCTATTAGCTAAAGGGCCATCCATTTAATACGTACGCACGGCGTACGCTTGCGTATGGAGGGTCTACTGACAATGTATGTACGCATAGGAAACTGGGGGGGGGGGGGGGTGAAGCCTCGAAATTTGTCTACTTAGCCTTAAAATGAGCCACAGTTCGGTTTCTTCAGCTGTGAGACATGTACTGCCGGTAGAGGTAGGACTGTGGGAGAGGTGTTACTTGTGTGCCACCGTACCCGACTGCAGCTATCACGCAGCTCAGCAAACATCAGTGGCCAAGGTACGCAACTTAATTATTTAATGCAGCCGGCGGTGGACTATCTGTTTGCTTAAACACGTGAATATTATTAATCCTTGATCGTTTCTGCGTGGATTCAATATCGGCCGTTCTATATGATTGGGGAGGGGGGGTGCGTCAAGCGTACGTACGCGGGGGGGGGGGGGGGGGGGTAAAAAGTACGCGTGCGTACAGGGAGGGGGAGGGGTCAAGTTTTGACAGATTTTTGCATACTTACTAAATGGATGGCCCCTAAGTATTTCCGCTCACTCGTAGCGGCGACAATCTGGGGAATCGTTGCAGCCAAAATCATGACCCAAAAGTGACTCGAGCGTTCAGATCCTGGCACGGAGTGGTGCATTCAAGGCATCTCGTGCGTAAAGTATGTAAAATTTTGTCCTAATTTTGAACCATACTATCGAGCTTGTGCACTGTGCGTCCGATCTCTGCACTGTATCCACTGTGTACTTTGTCGTATGCAGGGTTTATAGTTTGCTCAGTAGTTTCGATTGCTCCATTACCCCAAATGTAACCTTAACCCTTTCCCATTCCGATGACACACGTAAGTGTACATCATCAGTTTTTATTCCGATTCTGTTCGGATGACGTACACGTGTAGTGACTGTGCTTGTCACTGTATGGTGCGGGGGCTTGTGAAGCCATGGCCGTTAATGTGTTGTCATTACAGGCAGCCCGGGTTACGGGATGCAGTACCGACCCTAGTGGGGTTGGGGTGAGCGCTGGTTAGCGCCGAGGCACCCCAAGCAGTGTGCGGTGCGGGCTCCCGGTGAGGGAGCGAGAGGGAGCGTCATCCAGCCAGGGATACCTTGGGGCATGATACTCTGGTTGACCAGCTGTCACGTGACCGGATGATACTGGAGGGGGGCCACCGGTGGACGGGGGCCGTGGGGCGGTCACGTGGTCTAAAGGAGCTCTCGGGAATCTTCGAGAAGGAGCTCAATAGGCCTGGAAGGTGGGCGGGGTGGAGGGCGGAGCCAGCCCCAGCCCGGGAGCATATAACGAGAGCTCCGTGAGGAGCTCGGGGTTCTTCGTGTGCTGGTGTTACGAAGATCTACGTCGGGGAGAAGAAGCCTCTAGCCACGCGGTCCGGGACCCCGTTTGTGGTCCGGGCCGGGATAGCGAACAGTGTCTAGTTCTGCCGGGGCTGTTTTCGTTAAGATGCGCGCGGCCGACTTGAAGTTTCAAGTCCCAAAAATGTTATCTGCTCCAAAAATCTGTTCGTTACTTGGGCCACATAGTCAGCAAATCGGGTATCGCGACGGACCCCGAGAAAACTAATTGCGTTCGGACATGGCCGACCCCCACCTCGGCTAGCGAGGTGCACAGTTTTATCGGCTTCGCCTCTTATTATCGACGATTTGTTGTGGGGTTCACGTCCATAACTACACCTCTCCACGCCCTGACGGCTAAGGGCCACAAATTTAGTTGGGGGGAGTTGCAGGAGGCTGCGTTCTGCTCCATTCGCGATGGGCTTGTTAACGCCCCTCCCCTGCGTTATCCCGACTTTCGTTGCCATTCATTTTGGACACAGATGCCAGTAATACCGGCACTGGTGCCGTGTTATCCCAAGTCGTAAATGGCGTGGAGCATGTAGTTACGTATGGCAGCAGGGTGCTGTCCCCGGCGGAACAGCGGTAATGCGTTACACGCCGGGAGCTGTTGCCCATTGTCGTGTTTGTGCAGCAATATCGGCCGTATTTGTACGGGCGGCACTTTCAATTGAGCTCAGATCACGCGGCGCTCCAGTACGTATTGCGTGTGGACCAGCCCTCCGGTCAACTGTCGCGCTGGCTTGAAATCCTGCAGGATTTTTTATCAATGTCATGTATTGTAAGGTTCTCGTCATACGAATGCAGATGCCTTATCGCGATTGCCAGTGCCCAGAAAGTGCGCGTGTTTTTCTGGTTTGGGTCGTTGTCGGCCGTGTGGCTCAACCTCCCCCAACCCTCTCGTTGCGTCTGCCGCGAGCGCGATGGGGGGGATGGGCGACGCCCCCTTTGCGCGTGATGCAACTTTGGGTCTAGACTATGAGGTATGGGGACGTCGACAGGCAGAGGATTAGTCCCTCCTTAAGTTGCGCCGGCATGTCAGGGTGACCGCCGATGGTGCGGCACCACAAGATGTTATCTCGTTTGTGCTGCGGGGAGGGTTGCTCATGTATTGGGATGGAGGATTGCGCCGTTATGCTATTGTTGTCCCTACCGCCCTGCTGGGCAAGGTTGTGTGGGCGGTGCATAAACGGCTGTTGCACCTCGGAGTGCAGAAGATGCTGGCCGCACTTAAAATGGATTTTTATTGGCCGGCCATGGCCTCCGACGTTGAGGATCTACTGAAAGGCTGCGTGCAATGTGCCCGGCGGAAGATCCTGTTGTCCTTCGCTGCAGTCCATGCAGGTGCCACGGGTAAATAAAATTGTTGCCCTCGATGTTCTCGGGACGTTTCCCGCTGCGGAGCGGGGCAACAAATACTTACTCTTGGGCGTTGAGTATTTCTCACGCTGGCCTATGGCTTGGCCGCTCCCAAATCAGCTATCACCGAAGCGTTCCTCAATGGCTATGTCCTGGATAAGGGGGCTCCTGAGTGCCTCTTAACAGATCAGGGAAAATAATTTCATCCAAGCTGCTGCGGGAGGTTTGCGACCTGCTGGGTACAAAAAATGTACGCACGTCACCGTACCACCCGCAAACGGATGGCATGGTCGAGCGCCTACACTGGACTCTGACCTCCATGTTGAGTCACTTGGACAGCGAGTCGCAGGTCGATTGGGATTTGCATATCCCTGCGGTTCTTGACGCTTATAGGATGACCCCTCACACATCCACCGGCTACTCTCCCTTCTTTTTGATGTATGGGAGAGAGTATGATCCTCCCATCGATGTCCAGTTGCAGCCCACGTCCGCCCCGAAGGTGTCCAAAATTTCGGACACGATTCGGTTCACGATGGGTAAACTCTCTGAAGTGCGGGAAGCCGCCATTGTTAACTCTCGGGCCAGGCAGCTGGCCAACAAGCGGTTCAAAGGTGCCCACGTTTCCCTGTGCGATTGGTCGCCGGGGGACAGAGCCTGGTTGCATTGCCTACAGGTGCCAGTGGGCACATCACCTAAATTGCTGCAACCTTGGAGAGGGCCGGTTGATGTCGTTCGGGTCGTGCGGCCGCAGTGTGTACAGGTTTGGTATGGAAAGCGGAGCTGGTTTGTGCACCCCTCTCGCCTGAAACCATTCATCACTCCCGTGTGAGTTTGTTTCATCTCAATATCGCAGGGGCCGAGTGTCGGGTGTGCCTGACGAGCTGGGGAGTTCGTTTGCCGACTCGGGTCTTCAGGAGAGTGTTTCTGTTCTGACCCCAGGCGCCGCGCGACTGATGCCTCGCACGCGGGTGCTCGTGTTCGGCTCGTGTAAGCCTCACGTCCTCGGAAGGCTAAGGACCCGACGCCCCGGCCTACTGCTCTTCGTGAGGAGCCGCTTCATCGGGTCGATAAATTGCCCACCCCCGGCCCTCCAAAGGTGGACGAGCCTAACCCGTTTGGAGGACCGGCGTCACTGACTCGTTCAAAGACTCAATTTGCGTAATCCCGCGCATTGCACCCTCCCACACCGTCATGGGCTGTCGCACTCGTGTGAGTCGTGGCGAGTATTTGGCCGATCTTGCTCGCCATCGAGCTCACGGGCGTTGTCACACGTTGTGGGAGGGAGATGTTGATTGTGGGGATCTTGTGCGCCGGAGTTGTTGGTTCGATCGGTCGGTTTTTTTGTGTCTTGGTGTATATATTGTATAGTTGGGTTGGGTAATTTATTGCTTTATGTTGTTGGAGCACACTTGATGTTTGTTCTGTTATTTATATGTCGGTTGCTTGCTTTGGGGAGAGTTGGCAGCCAGGACAGTTGGAAGCTACGAAGGGGGGGGGGGTGATGTAGTGACTGTGCTTGTCACTGTATGGTGCCGGGGATTGTGAAGCCATAGCCGGTAATGTGTTGTCATTATGGGCAGCCCGGGTTATGGGACGCAGTACCGACTCTAGCGGGGTTGGGGTAAGCGCTGGTTCGCGCCGAGGCACCGCGAGCAGTGTTGACCTGCTGTCACGTGACCGGAAAATACTGGAGGGGGGCCACCGGTGGACGGGGGCCGTGGGGCGGTCACGTGGTCCAAATGAGCTCTCGGGAATCTTCAAGAAGGAGCTCGAGAGGCCTGGAAGGTGGGCGGGGCGAAGGGTGGAGCCAGCCCTCGCCCGGGAGCATATAACGCGGGCTCCGTGAGGAACTCGGGGTTCTTCGTGTGCTGGTGTTACAAAGATCCACATCGGGGAGAAGAAGCCTCTAGCCACGCGGTCCGGGACCCCGTTTGTGGTCCGGGCCGGGATGTCTAGTTCTGCCGTAGCGTGGTTAGATGGGCATTGGAGACACGAGTGTAGATCTTGTTGTGTTACGTGTTAATCGGAATAAATAGTGTTGCTCCCAAAATAACGTCTGCGACTCAGTTGGACTCACTACACACGTGTACTGCAGGGTTTATTCGGATCGGAAGAAAAACTGAAAAAATTAACTTTATCAGTACGGAGGCATCCACAATTGCCATGTGGGAGGGGCTTCTGGCACAGATTGGCACCAGCTATCATAGAGTGGGGTCGTGTCGCTATGGTTCTGTGCGGTGAGTACAATGTCTTTAAAAACAGCGGCGCCGCATCCCTCTAAAGAAAATTAATGCTGAAACGCTTCTGCGTTCTGAGATTCGGAGGTGAAGGAGACACCCACCCTGCAACTTGCAGGCATCTCGGAATGGGAAAAGGGTTAAAATACCACCCATAAGTATCGTCTGGGGTTGGATGGTGAACAGCACGTGGTGCGTTGTGACGTCACAGATATCACCATGCTTACGTTTGTATGACCGATTTGTATTTAGATTATATACATAAGTGAGTAGGCGTACGCCAGCAGTCACCAATAACAACCGCCATTCGCCACGAATTGGCAGTGATGTCACCACGGTGCTTGTGCTAGGCTCGGTGCACTTTGAGGCCACGTCAAGTGTTGAAGATTCGCTGCTGGCAGGAGGTCACGGCATAGACCCAGGTGCCATGAGGCATGGCCACGGGAAAATAAAGCTAGTTTGCAAATTAATCACATGAATAATCGATTCTCACACACACGGTTCAATACGTGCATAGGAAGCAAAAATAACCAAATTAAAATCGACAAAGGAAGGCATCATTATACACCTAGTGGCAATGGACACACATCTGTAACGTTCCGCACCGCTCCAACAACTACGCGACGGCGACTCGACAACTACAAACGGTAGCAATGTAGACACAGAACCCACTCGGGCGCTCACCTCCGTTCTCCCTTGAGGCTGCTGCACCGACGCCGACCTTCCTGCCACAATCATCGCTGCGAGGAACCGGGGTAGAGGTTTGCGGGCACCGCCGTCGTAGCGAGGTGCAGCCACCAGGGCGGGCCACGCGCAGTTTGCGTGGAGGACATCGGATGCCGGTCGGACGACGCGCCCGGCACCATCGACCGACGACACGTTGGCGCTGCAGTCAGGCTCGTCCGTTTTTGGCAGCGGCTGCGCTGGCCTGCTGCCACCGGAGGTGGCCACCGTTCCTATGGGTGGAATGCGTGACTCTTCTTCCCGAAGACCTGCGGCGCCCTCCTGCGAGAAGAGTCCATCTCGAAGGAGAACGGCCCCACACTCTGGGGGGGCTTCTTCGTCGTGTTCCATTTTAATTGTGCCCAGCTGGCTTTTCCAATCCGATTCGTAACCACGCAGAGGCTCGTGTGGTCGCGCATGGGTTGCGCTGGCGGGGGCTAGACAAGAAGAGGCCGGCGAGGAGAAGGCTCCAATGGCTATCGAGTTTGAGAGGTCGTGCTCACGCAAGTTGGTGGTGGCCAGCGACCACAGTGGAGCCGTCGAGTCCTCACCGTTCTCCCGTAGTAGAAACCCTTCGTTTTCCATCGTGTAGAGGGCCTTGTTCACCTCCTTCTTTGGCAGTTTCAGACGTATTCGGAGTTGCGTGACGTTTACTTTTTGATCGTCTCTCAGGCACGCTATTATATTCCTTTGGAGGGAATCGCTCGGAATGCTCTTCTGTTGCAAGCTGCTCTTGTCTTGCATGCTGTCCGAGCAGTCCCTTGCATAAGGCTTCGTTGTTTTCGGTCTCTCCCCGTGTCCCTTTATCTTTCCCCGTGTCCCCCTGTCTCTCCCCGTGTCTCTCCCCGTGTCCCCGTCTCTCCCCGTGTCCCCCGTGTCTCTCCCCGTGTCCCCTTGTCTCTCCCCGTGCCCCCCCTGTTTCTCCCCGTGTCCCCCTATCTCTCCCTGTGTCCCCGTGTCTCTCCCCTTGTCTCTCCCCGTGTCCACCTGTCTCTCCCCGTGTCCACCTGTCTATCCCCGTGTCTCTCCCCGTGTCCACCTGTCTCTCCCCGTGTCCACCTGTCTCTTCCCGTGTCCACCTGTCTCTCCCCGTGTCTCTCCCCGTGTCCCCCTGTCTCTCCCCTGTCTCTTCCCGTGTCTCACCGTGTCTCACCGTGTCTCTCCCCCTGTCTCTCCCCGTGTCTCACCGTGTCTCACCGTGTCCCCCTCTCTCTCCCCGTGTCTCTCCCCGTGTCCCTCTGTCTCTCCCCGTGTCTCTCACCGTGTCCCTCTGGATCTCCCCCGTGTCTCTCCCCGTGTCTCTCCCCGTGTCTCTCCCCCTGTCTCTCCCCGTGTCTCTCACCGTGTCTCTCACCGTGTTTCTCACCGTGTCCCTCTGTCTCTCTCCGTCTCTCCCCGTGTCTCTCACCGTGTCTCTCACCGTGTCTCTCACCGTGTCCCTCTGTCTCTCCCCGTGTCTCTCCCCGTGTCTCTCCCCGTGTCTCTCCCCGTGTCTCTCACCGTGTCTCTCACCGTGTCTCTCACCGTGTCCCTCTGTCTCACCCCGTGTCTCTCCCCGTGTCTCTCCCCCGTGTCTCTCCCCGTGTCTCTCCCCGTGTCTCTCACCGTGTCTCTCACCGTGTCCCTCTGTCTCTCTCCGTCTCTCCCCGTGTCTCTCACCGTGTCTCTCACCGTGTCCCTCTGTCTCTCTCCGTCTCTCCCCCTGTCTCCCCGTGTCCCCGTGTCTCTCCCCCTGTCTCTCACCGTGTCCCCCTGTCTCTCCCCCTGTCTCTCCCCCCGTCTCTCTCACCGTGTCCCCGTGTCTCTCCCCCTGTCTCTCCCCGTGTCCCCCTGTCTCTCACCGTGTCTCACCGTGTCCCCCGTCTCTCCCCGTGTCTCACCGCAGGCTGTGGTCACGGCCGCGCGTTCGCACGCCGCCCTGACGCGCGCGAGGGGGGAGGCGAAGTCTCCTCGCAGCGTCCTCGTGTTCGCGTCCTCGTCTCGCGCCTTCGCTCGCATCCGTTCGTTCCCCACGTCGTGTGCCGTCGTTGCTAATTATCGCGCGTACAACTAAATGAGCGTCGTCGTCGTTGTTTTGAGTTTTAAGTTTTTAAACGGAGCGGCCGGAGAGTGACGACAACGAAACGGGAAGTCCGCGGGCTTCACTTCCCGGCGGTCACGTGACCACCGGGAAGTGAAGCATCACGGGAAGTGTGAAGCGTCACGGCCGTTGCCAGGCGCGCCGTTGCTAAGGGGACCCTTTAGGATTCTTGGGGGTCTCCTTCTTCTCATTAAATCCTTTATATTAAGTTCACTTGCGTGCTTGCTTGCTTAGGACCGTGCAAATCTTTCGGTCGTTTTTTAACCCACTTCCCGTGATCCAATCGAGCTGACATTTTGCACACAGACTCGTTGTGCGAGACAATTATTGTTCGTGAAAAAAAAATTCCCAAAATGTTACACTTTTTAGGCAAAACATTTTTATTTTACATATATTCAAATAGAACGCATTCATGGCTTTGGCTGAACGTCACAGTGTAAGAGCCCAGAGCGTAACCCCTCCACAGGCCGTGGCGGAGTAGCGCAGTTGGTAGCGCCCTCGCTTCCCATGCCAAAGGTCGCGGGATCGATCCCCGCGTCCTCCACAGGCGAATATATTTTTAAATCCTTTATATTAAGTTCGCTTGCTTGCTTAGGACCGTGCAAATCTTTCGGTCGTTTTTTAACCCACTTCCCGTGATCCAATCGAGCTGACATTGTGCACACAAACTCGTTGTGCGAGACAATTAATGTTCGTGAAAAAAAAATTCCAAAATTTTACACTGTTTAGGGAAAACAAATTAAATATTTAATTATCAGTTGCTTAATACTGGCAGACAATCATCTGACCCATAGGTGGCAGCCATCTCAAGCCAGAGGACGAGAGGACTCTAGCCGCCACGCATATAACGGATTTATAGTGAAAAACTTTGTTTTTACGGGTTTACTTGTTTTTCTTCTTTTCTCCTTCTCCTCCTTCTTTTGTACGGCTCACAGGGGGCTCGGGCAATCAAACTAACAAGAAGAAACATTTCTGTTGTGTTCTTAGGTTTTTTCGGTAAAGTCACGTAGATAAAAAATTAAAATTAATAAAAGTAAAATTAAAATACAAATTTTTGTTATTTTTATTTTACTTTTATTAATTTTTATTTTTACCTACGTGACTTTACCGAAAAAACCTAAGAAAATTTTACCGAAAAAAACCTAAGAACAATTAAAATTAATAAAAGTAAAATAAAAATAAATTTGTATTTTATTTTTATTTTACTTTTATTAATTTAAATTTTTTACCTACGTGACTTTACCGAAAAAAACCTAAGAATATGAATCCTTGCAGTCACGAAAGCTTCAAATCTAGAATTTCTGTTGTGGCCCCTCGTCTCCTTGTTGGGCAGAAACAAAAACCAAAAACACTTCCATATTTCAAGAGCAGCTAAGCACTGTGCAGTGAATACAAGACGGTGTGGATCTTTAATAAATAAGCGTCACGAAGCAGCCCATTACAGAGCCGCATGCGGCTATGAAGCTTCAAGTTTTGCACGACCCCCTGGGTACGGCTGCATCTTCATCACATACCTGTGAACCCCTTATCATCAGTGCCTACCTGATTACAGACCAATTCATACCGTATTGGTCACCCTGTGTCGTGATAAATCTCAACGTTCATCCGACAAAGTCCCATCACAAGGGAGAAACACAAACAGATAGACAAAATTAGTTTTACCCCTATTGAAACGTCTCTTCGCCGTATGGACCTGAAAATTAAATTTACTTACACAAGAATACGGGGTAAACCGCATGGGTTGACAGGTATGAACATCAGCAGCGTACAGGCACAAGATTTCTGTATTACCGTCACGACAAAAGTCACCACTAGGTGGTGCTCTAATTTTACTGATCCTGGAGAGGCGATGATGATGATTTGCAAAATCAAGGCCGGTTCTTTGGCAATTACTTAACATATTCTTCGTAACCGAACACATAACGCCCAAGATGCATACATCGAATCGTGTGTGATGAGAATTGACGATGATGCCAATTACACACGAAGATACAACTGGCAATACAAATGAGACAGAGATTGATAACGTTGTTGGAAACGGTGGTATCACCCATCTGAAGGGTTACACCGGTCTTCAAGAGCTGTTGTGGTTGTGTGATTGTGTGTGATTGTCTTTGTGATGTGCCTGTGTGCGAGGCACCGGATAGTGCAGCGGTGAGCGCCACGCTGCGCTACGAACACCGCGACCCGAGTTGTATTCCCACTCACGGCCAACACCAGTGACGATAATTATCTGAACTGGTCCTGGGTCTATTGCTCTAGGTCGACTCAGCCTCAAACTGAGTACCTGGTGCGGTGTGTAAATATCGCCACTGGGAAGACAAAGGCGGCCGGGCGTGGTGCTGGCCGCCCATCCCCTCGTGTGCCGTTCCGGCCTTCATAGGTGCTCGCTAACAGCACTGGGCCCAACAGTCTGGTCATGGCTATATGGGGGATCTTTGTCTTTGCTTTTGTGTGTGAGGAGCTGGTAACCCCTGCGCTTGGCACTTTTACTACAAAATGCCACGGTGGAAAGACACAACTAAGCTCTAGATTTGAAGCTTTCGTGACTGCAAGGATTCATACTCTTAGGTTTTTAAAGTAAAGTCACGTAGGTGAAAAATGTAAATTAATTAAAGTAAAATAAAACAAATTAAAAAATTCACGACGTTTCGGAGGCAACACAAGCCTCCGTCTTCAGGTGGAACCGTCACAGCCACGACAGCTGTATCAAGTAATTTGTTTTATTTTACTTTTATTAATTTAAATGTTTTACCTACGTGACTTTACCGAAAAAACCTAAGAGTACAACTAAGCTCGTTCTGGAGGCCCCAAGGGGGTAGGCGTTTATGGCACCTTCTGGCCAAATTGCATTTGGTGGCGCCAGACTGAACCCCCCACCACCACCAACCTCTTCGGGTTCCTCCAGGAACAGGAGACTACTGCGGTTGGCCACGTGGAATGTCCGAACTCTCGCTCCAGAGGAGAGGCTGCAATTCCTCTGTCGGGAGATGGACCGCTACCGCCTTGGACCTCTGTTGGAATGCAGGAGGTCCGGTTGACTGGTTCTGGCTCCAGTCACCTTGGCGGGTGGATAGTCCTCCACTTTGGGCAGGAAACTGACAAACAACAGGGAGTGGGCATTGCTTCTAAACAAAATAATGGGGGGCGGGATGTGGGAGCGTGGAGGCGAGGTGTGGGAAGCTGAGTCTCCCAGCTGCTGTGGGCTCACCTCATCAACAAGCGGCGAGGAACAGCTTAATAATGACAGTGGGAGTCTGCTAGACTTCTGTGCACACCGTGGGCTTGTAATTACCAACACATTGTTCCTGCATCGGTGCATCCACACATCATGAATGCACGTCGAGTCCAAGAAAAAAACATATGCTGGACTATTTAGTGACAGAAGAGTGGATGCGGGCCCATGTCCTTCACACCAGGACCTATCATTGAACTGTCGGGGCAAGTGCTGTTAGCGACCACCTATGAAGGCAGGCACGGTACACGAGGGGGTGGGTGGCCAGCACCACCCCCGACCGCCTTCGTCTACCCAGTGGGGATGTTGTTACACACTGTGCCAGGTACTCATTTGAGTTTGAGTCGACCTAGGGGAAGTCCAGGACTGGTGCAGATATTCGTCACCGATGTTGGCCGTGATCGGGATACGAACTCGGGTTGCCAGGTTCGTAGCGCAGTAAGAAAACGGATATACGAACGTGGGCACACACACACACGCGTACAAATACAGTAAATGCAACACTCTAATTAAAAATCGTCACCCCCTCCCCTCCCAAAAATGACACACTCACCAACTCCACTAACATTTGGCCAAACTCTACATTTTATTAAATCTTGAACAAATAAAACATCAGTGCTTTTATACTTCGTCAGCGATAAACTTCCACGTTCGTTTTTTTATTTTTTAAACCTCTCATTTAATTCGCTTAAATTATCGTGCTAATTTAAAAACAAGCTTCAGAGAAAAAGGCATGATGCTTTTGCGGGGTGAACAGTTTACCGCAAGAGTCATTATTATTTGTAATAATTATCACTTTTATATTAGGTATTTTGTTTGTTTCTTATAGCTCTGTACACTTTCTGACTCATTTCAATCTCTCGCCGTCAAATCCCAAGTTGGTTTCAAGATATTTGTGGTACAAGTCCAGCTTGTATCGCAATTGATTAGGGATAAGTGGGGCCTCAAAGGTGTGCGAGGGAAGAATGCATGGCAGGTTTGTTACAGAAATGGAAGCAATTCACTTCATTGGTGAAACTCACACCTTCAATGCTGATGTTTGTCAACAACAGTTCCAACTTGGCATAGAAAGTGTTTGCATTATCATTATCACCGTGTCTGTTATCATTACTGTCACCATCACCATCAAGTCACATCCATAAACACCTTCATCTTATATCATGACCACTACCTCTGTCACCTCTGACATTATCACCATCATCACCTTCAATGCCCTTATCATCATCAATCACCATCCATTTTGCCACCATCGGTATTACCATTAACATCTCCGGTAACCACTATCATCATCATCACTTTACTTTATTCAGTGACCCCTCCATCATCACCATCTCCGCCGCATTCCGCTGGACCATCGTCACCATCACAACGTTCGCCGTAATCCACTCTCTCCAACATCACCAGATTCCACATTATCACCTTCACCATCGACATTGCTGTGCTCTTCAAAAAGGACCGTCACAAACATCCCCATCACCAACATCATCATCATCGTCATCGTCAACCTACATTGGCTCTCTGTGGCGTAATTCAGCTAAAGCTGGCTAAAGGCAAACATCTATCACGCCGCACGCGCCCTTCCAACGAGACCGCCAGGCGTCGCGCGCACACACCACCACTCCGCCTTGCCAAGCCCCACGTTCTCAAAATGCCTGTGCCGGGGCCAACGCACAGGGTGGCCACTTGGTTCCAATCACCGCATCGTTGCGCGAGCCAATAAGCGCCTCAAAGCACAGCCGCCGGCAAAAAATAAGCGTTTAAGATAAATGAGACCGACGTGAATTAAAAGAAAATTCCTCTCCCGTTGGCAATGCTGTTAAAATCGACGATCAACTCGTACGATCGAGAGAGCGGTGAGCCGCGGGCCCAAGCCAGGACAATGGGTGATCATCTTCTTGGTTCTTTCGGTAAAGTCACGTAGAAGGGAAATAATAAAAATTAAACATACATAAAACATCATAAAATACATTTTATTATGTTTTATTTGTATTATTTTATTATTTCCCTTCTACGTGACTTTACCGATAGAACCAAGAAGATGAATTTCCTGGAGTCACGAAAGCTTTAAATCGAAATTTAATGGGTAATCAATCGCGCCAATAGCGGCGCTTGGGGAAGTTCGACAGATTCTGGAGCACAGAAATGCAGTTTACTACCGGGCCAGAGTCTGTCGCCAATTAGCGGTGCCTCGAAATTGTGCCTCAATAGAAAATCACGGCGTGGACATGCACATCATTAAATATGGCCACATAATAGTTCTCTGGCCTCAAAATATTCCACAATTCAAGCTCCTTTAATACGCTAACTGTAAAAGTGGCCAAGAGTAAGCTGTGCTTCGAGTATTCGATTATTTTCCTTTTCATAAACCAAGGTTATCTCTTAGCTGTCACCCAAATGAGCACCCTGTGCATACAACGCTCGGAGGCCCATTCGTTCCTGCAGGGTGTGGATGGTGTCAGCAGCAGCGTGGGGTGGCCGCAATTGGGACGCAGCAGAAAAAGAGCAAGAATTCAAGATCAGGGGTTGTTGAGCGGCGGGGGGGGAGTGAGAGAGGACGGGGTGACAGCAGGGAAAAACGGGGGTGGCGGCAGCTGAATTCCGTCATGTGATCCACCGTTGCTCGCCGAGCCGTAGGCGCTTGGCCGAGGTAGGAGAGAGGGAACCCTGAGAGGCCCCGTGCGAAGCGTGGCCCAGGGACCGGACGCTTGAGGTGGCGACGTCGTCCCGGTCGCTCGTGCCGTCGTCGTACGAGCTGGCGGAGCTGCTCAGGCTGTCGGCGGGAGAGTGGTCTGACTGCGTGCCTCCCTGTACTCTGTGCAGCTGGTGTTGTTGTGGTGGCTGCTGCTGCTGGTGCTGCTGGTGTTGCTGCTGCTGATGCTGCTGCTGATGCGGGTGAGGCAGGTAGGAGCTTCCGATGCCCGAAGCCCGGTCCCTGGAATTAGAGAGAAGTCGCATGAGGAGAAGCGATTATTGGCTATTTATTCTTGATTTGAAGCTTTCGTGACTGCAGGAATCCATACTCTTGGTTCTTTCGGTGAAGTCACATAGGTAGAAAAAAAATATCACGACGTCTCGATCGCAACACAAGCGGTCATCCTCAGGCGGAAAAAATAATCCACTGCTGAAAAATAATCCAGCAGTGGATTATTTTTATTTCTTATTATTTTTTCCGCCTGAGGACGACCGCTTGTGTTGCGATCGAAACGTCGTGATATATTATTTTATTTTTCTACCTACGTGACTTTACCGAAAGAACAAAAAGAGTATGGCTCTTCATCACTAATAATAATTGTCATTGCCCTTTGTTTGGCAGATACTACCGTTGTGCACTGGTTAGCACACGGGGCTGTTGGCTCGCTCTCCCAGCATGGCAGCTGAAAGGACGGTGCGCGTTTCTTAAATCCACACCGCCTCTGTCCACGGAGATGTCCATCCAGACTAGCAGGTACTCCACAGTCAACCGATCAGCCGGTCACATGTGGTGAGGGTCATGTGTGGGTACCCCAAACTCTTTCAAGATGTTGAGCCAGCGTGGAAGAGTAGGCCAAAATTCCCCTCTAGAAGGGGCTCTTGAGAGCTTCCACGAGTGGAGTTCCGACTGCCAGGAGTGGCGTGGGTAAACAATTGCAAGCCAAAATTTTGATTTAAAGCTTTCGTGACTGCAGGGATTCATATTCTCGGTTCTTTCAGTAAAGTCACGTAGAAGGGAAATAATAAAATAATAGAAATATTAAAAATAAAAATTCTCACGACGTTTCGACTGCAACACAAGCAATCATCATCAGGTGTGAAATCCACAGCAAATTTTCAAGAAAATTTTCAAAAAAAATTCAAGAAATTCAATGCTGTAGATTTCACACCTGATGATGATTGCTAGTGTTGCAGTCGAAACGTCGTGAGCATTTGTATTGTTTTATATTTATATTTTTGAATTATTCCCCTTCGACGTGACTTTACCGAAGGAACCAAGAATATAATTGCAAGCCTGCACCTTTATATTTAGTTTAGTTCATCAGAAAAGCCTCGCCGAGTCTTTAGACTCACCGCTAGCAAGATAAAGGGGGCCAGGCGTGGTGCTGGCAAGCCCCTCTCCTCACTTGCCGTTCCGGCCTTCATAAGCCTTCGCAAACAGCACTTGCCCCAACAGTCAGTTAAAGGCTATACGGTGGATCTTTGTCTCTGCTTTTTTTGTCGTGTGGCCCCCTCTCCCATGCCTGCGTAGTCAAGGAACTCACGTGAGTGCTCCGAGCGTGGGCCCAAGGGGTCCTCCCTGTCGTTGCCAGGGCGACATGGGGCCAAAGCTGGACAGGGTGGCCAGCTCAGCACCAGTCAATCCCAAATCTGTCCAGATGAACACAAACACACGCGGACGCACGTTTACTTATATTATTACGATCCTCATTTAATATTAATTTGGCCAGTCGTGGCACAACCCCGCCGACGATAACCAGGAGAATGAAACCAGTCCAGAGTTTGGTTGCTTAAACAAATTCTGCCGGACAACATACATCCAGAAGACCCATAGGCTGATGAACTTAAATATATATTTTTTATGAGAAGGTATAGACATAAATGTATTTATATATTATGCACTTGTCCACAATAGTGCTATATACATGGTTAAAAAAGTGGGTGTTTTTCATTCATGCATGAATGTCGTGTGTAATTACTTCACATGACTCACAAATGTTAAACAACAACAAAATATAAATTTTTCAACTGCATCCCAACACTGGATTGTGACTATCGAGTTAGAATGGGGCAGAGCATCATTACAGTCCTATGTATAATTACAAAACAAATAAGCAGGCCATTCACCTCCTTGGCATATCTGTCATAAAAAATATATAAAAGTATTTTTCTCACATCCCACCAGCCACACGGCCTTCTGGGAGTGCATAATATCAGCAGGTTTGGTTCAACGCAAGAACAACTCTAGATCGACTTTTTACATTCAGTACCTCATCAGGCTCACTTAAAATAAATTATGGTGAACTTATTTAGATATGCATTTTGTTACTTATATTCTCCACAACGACAGTAATGACGATTTTGTGTTTATTATAATTTACGATTGATTCATGCATTAACATTCGACCGAAACCCACGGATAACACATAAATTGTTCATAATCAAATTAAGATGGACATCATCATCTTTCGTATGACCGTGTTAAAACAGTGCCAATTTTAACATGAAGTTTGCATGTGGCTTCTGGTGATACTAAAATTGACATGCAATTGACTCGTGACATTGTAAGCGTGCGTGTGTGTGTCTCATGGTCAGACGTCAGTGCTGAGCTGGGACCAATTCCTCTGGGCACAAAACGGCTGCATGGCAACAGCTGATGCTGACTAAAATGATGATTGTGAAGGTGGTGACTATGATGAAGCTGCAGCTTATGATGAAGAATGCTGCTGCTGCTGATGGTTAGCTTCAGCTGCTGATACTGGTAGGACCCACTGGTTCCACCAGCCCACAGGGGATTATTGTGTCCGTCCGTCGTGCAGGGAGGGCTGGGTGGGGAGGGGCTGTAGGGGAGGGTGGGGAGGGGCTGGTCACCCCGTGGTGCCCTTATAAAACTCAACGTTTAACCTACTCACGCCGGCTTGTGCCCGCCCTCACAGTCGGCCATATTTACGGAATACACCACGCCGCCGTTGACCCTGGCCATTGACCGAACAACCCAACGTTCCTACCAGCTCCCTCCGCAGAAATGTGTTAATGGTGAAACTGAAAATGCTGCTGCAAGTGCGGCGGATGCTGATGACGATAACAATAGTACGATGATGACAATGACGATACCGATTGACGGTGCAGCAACTGCTGCCACTGATTGTGATGATAACGATGCCCATCCTAATTATTGACGATAACGATGATAACGATGACAGTGACGCTGCTCATCATGATGATAATGGCTATAACCATAACGATAATTCTCGTAATGTTGATCGTGCACGTGTGTGTCCCACACCGTAAGAAGATGGCATCACACAGTGGAACCCAGGCGATGAACTGGCCTGGGCAACGCCAAGTCTCCGAGTCTGCACACACACAAAGACGAAGATCCCCCGTATAGACATAACCGACGGTTGGTACAAGTGTTAGCGAGCACCTATGAATGCCGGCACGGCACACGAGTAGGTGAGTGACCAGCACCATGCCCTGCCACCTTTGTCTCCCGAGGAGGTATGTTTACACATCACACCCGCTACTCAATTGAGGCTGAGTCAAATTAGGGGAGACCTAGAACTGCTTCAGATAACCCTTGGCACTTCGTCTTTGCTGGAATTAAACTCGGATACTAATAAAAAAAAACCCAGGTCACGGGATTTGTTGCACAAGTCATGCACCACTCTGCATCTGCTCCAAACACACACACACTGCGTGCTTGCCAACCCTACCGAGTGAACCGGTAGTCTGCTGATTTTTTAAAAACCCTTTTACCGCATAAACAGTTTTTACAGCATACCGATTAAGTCAAGCAAAACGTTGCGTCAAGACCTTTATTTTCTCTCTCAAACTCGTTGAGACGCAATCCCGATTAGCTCCAAAAATCGGTATTCGGTAAAAATGTATTAAAAAAACTACCAGTATATGACATATACAGAGACAAAGATTCCCCGATAGACATACGGACGACTGGGGCAAGTGCTTGAAGTGAACACCTATGCAGCACGTATCGACACACCCACATAAGCATGCACGACAGATCTATACCAAACCATGACATATCGTGTTTGTTAAACTGGATGAGGTTATGAACCTCATCGCACACGAGGCCCCAGCTGCACCCCCCCCCATCCCTCCAAGGACCTCACAGCCAATGTATGCGTTGTTCACGTGGGAACAGAACCCGGGAGAGGAGAGGTGCCGGCTCAGCTTCCTGACCAGTGGCCACTCAATCAGCCACCTATTACCCAGAGTGCAATTAAGAAAGGCACAGTGAAATCCCTGCTTCCGTAGGGCACAAAGACAAAGACCCCCCCCCCCTCCCGTATAGCCTTAACAGACTGTTGGGACAAGTGCTGTTAGCGAATAGCACCTTTGAAGGCCGTCACGCCACATGAGCGGGGGGGGGGGGGGGTGCCAGCATGAAGCACGGCTGGCCGCCTTTGTCTCTCCATTACAAGTCGCTTGTAAGTCATCAGCTTAGTGCACATGTTTTCATCTCGAATGTATCATCGTATTTGTTAAAGGGGCACCACGGTGGCCTGGTGTGCAGGAGGTCGTGGGTTCGGTCCCGACCCTAACGCCTGGTGTATATTTGGAGATTGCGGTGTCTCTCTCCCCGTGGTCACGTGGGTTTTTCTCCGGGTCCTCCGGTTTTTCCCTCCACATTTAAAAGCATGCGTGTGGAGTATTTGGCTGCTATGAATTTACGTATGACAAGAGAGTATTCGGCTTGTTATAAATGTCTATACGATAAGCCACTTCGTTGAGCTATCATTTGTGGCCACGTTGCTTCTGAAAAAGAGTTACACAGCTCAGTGGAGATTATCTGGTAAAATGAAATAAAAATAGTTTAGTTTTAGTTTTAAGCCTTTGTTTACACTACACACTACACACCCCTTCTAATGCATTCGTTTTAGTTTCACAGAAGTCCAACCCATGCAGAAACAGATCCACGCAAAAGGTCCAAGCACGGATTAAGTTGTTTGTGGCACACGAAGCGATGTCGAGCTGAGGACCAAACCAAACAGCGGGGACCATTCCACTCACCAGATCCAAATCTTGCTCCTCGAGCTGTAAGTATGAACACCGACCACACGCAACCGGTGAGTGTGGCGCGTACACCGACAAACTTTTCGTACGGGTGAAATTGCTCTAGGGCAGTGGTTCCTCACCTTTACTGCAACCTTGCACCCCGTTGGTTCTCAATCGTAAAACAACGTTCAAAGCTAATAAATACATAGAGGGTTTGATGAAACAAAGTAGTCGTAGTTACGTGCCCGTGCTTCGTTTGTGTTTTCGATTACACTGGTCAACACACTTTTTCTGGCATAAGGTATTCCAACGGTAATTTTGGGGTGCTGATTCCAAATCTGGCATCAGTTTTTGTCTATCACATCAGGTTTTTGAGATATCAAATATTGCATTTTTAATAAAAACTGCAGACGAAAAATATTAAATAAATGTGGATATCTACATAAAATGATATTATAAACACACTATCCTAAAAACACAACACCGTATTTTAGCACTAAAGCAGTCACTGACTGGCAACAACTTGCAATCATAAGTGACAGAGTTATTTTCGGGTAAAATCAATGAGAATGGGGTATGCCGATAGCATAAAAATGATGTGATAGAGAAAATCTGAGATCAGATTTGGAATAAGCGCCCTGAAATTAGTCTAAAACAGCTGCAAAAGTCCAGGCCAGAAAAAAAATGTTTTTTTTGTTGACCAGTGTTATTTACCTTCGAAAAGAAATCTGGCCACGACACGTGCCCCCAGAAAGGGCATCTCGCCGCACCCCCAGCGGGTGCAGCGTGCACCCCAGGTTAAGAACCACTGCTGTCGAGCAACACCTGTGATTTTACACTCAGGTGGTTGAGGCAGACGATTGCGTCAGGAGTCGCGGAGCGGTGCAGCATCGCTGCGACGACGCCTCCGACATCGTTATTGTGAATCGGGCATTGAGTCGTTACGTGTCACGTGACTTTCCCTTCTGGGTGGTGACCACAGTCGCACACCGGGGAGTTTTAGAAATGTTCCATTTGTGCGTCAAGCGTCCGCAACTGCTCCTGCCACGGTTTGTGCGGACGAATCCCACGGCGACAGTGAAAGCTCATCCGCCACTGTGCTTACAATGAGAAGTCGGAAAAATGACTCGGTGGATGCCACGCACAATCGGCCCCACGCGTGTACGCACGTTGAACGTCTTTCAGCACCTTACGCTGCCAACGGTGCCAGCTCGCTCTCCGAATGTGAGTTTGGGCGGTACCGCACGTCGCTATGGGATGATAGCCAACGTTTCGCTCCACTGCTGGGAGCTTTGTATGCCATTTATTGTGAAAATTCTGTCACAGTTCCTATGATCACTGTTTCATTGGTTTCATGGCTTTATTTAGGTGATTTCGAAAAGTGTATTGATTTAGCCATGTTTGTTTGTTGTAGTACAGAGTTAGACTGATGGCCTTAATCTAAGTTGTCTTGTGGTTGTTGTTGGTTGTTTGACTTGCATCCCACTGGGATTTTTGCACACTGCGTTGGTGTACGGTGTTTTTTTCTGCAATATTTTGCTGTCTTTTCTTGCATTTTCTGTTTGCACTCAGTCACATATTCACTTTAAGATGTTTTTTTGTTCATGTTTTTGTTTTTTGTTGCAGTTGCACCCGATTCAAGAGCCGAATGGCTCACAGGGCTATACCTAATAAATGAACTTGAACTTGTAATGGCCACGACAGGCGCCGTGTGCGTTGTCGTTATCGTTGCGTACTGATCGGAACTGCCATCGGACGAAATCCATCACGCATAGCTTACGTCGTCTTAAAACGCATTCACCGCTCGCTAACAGCAACGCAACTTTACGAAAAGTTTTAATTTTGTATTGGATCATGTGCTTTTATTTAATCAGGGTTATAGTGCTGCTCCACTTTATCCCCCTCATTAGGGACCGGACGACTTACAGACAGAAGCTAACACGTCAACTATTCAACCCTTCGTCAAGAAGCACGACAACAGGGAGTTGGAATCTCTTCCTGCACGCACGAGCAGGAAAGGGGATTAGTCTATGCATCGTGTTGCTGGCCACCACCACCAAAGACAAAGATCGCCCGTATAGCCTGAACAGACTTTTAGGGCAAGTGCTGTTAGCGAGAACCTATGAAGTCAGGCACGGCACACGAGGGGGTGCATGGCCAACACCACGCCTGGGCGCCTTTGTCTCCCCAGTGGCGATGTTTACTACACACCGCACGAGGTACTCATTTGAGGTTGAGTCGACCGAGGGGAGGCCCAGGACCGATTCAGATAATCCTCACTGGGTGTTGGCCGTGAGCAGGAATCGAACTCGGGCCGCCGGGTCCGTCGCGCAGGTCGCTAACTACTACACCCACCGCTCCCCACACCACCACAAGCACCTCCACGGCCATCACAGTCACCGCGGTCCTCACCAGCGCCGTCGGGATGAGGCCGCCCTTGTTCCCGGCCTGAGCGAGCGATCGCCCCGCCGAGTTGGACAGCCCCACGCCGAGTCCCGGCGACGAGCTGTCCGCCCCGAGCGCGCCCGGCGAGGACGGGGAGCGCCCGGGGGGAGCGCGGCCCAGCACCCCCGCACCGGAGCCCCCCCCCACCAGCAGGCCCTGCACCCCCGTGCTGCTGCCCCCCAGACTGCCCCCTCCCGGTGAGCCCAGGTGGCTGGGTGACACTTGGGCTGGGCTGCAGTAGCCGTTGACTGCGGGGAGGGGAGGAAAGATGGGACAGGGATTCATTTCGGCCTGTCTGGGCCAGAGACCAGGAAAATATTTCCTAGCTGGCACACCACATCCAGTATACCCTCTGGCTTTGGTTCTGGAAACGAGCAACGTGATTGCTTCCGTCTACCAGTGCCATGGAAAATATTCAGTGAGACACCACCATCGAGCCCGGCAGCACGTAGTACGTCATCACGCAATTATGACCATATTGTCCTGATTGCAGCCGAAATTGTCAGATATTGGAAGCTGAGCAGGTTTCAGTCTGATTATTACTGGGGTGGGAGTACCAGGATGGGAGTACGAAGATGGGAGTACCAGGAGCTTTTGGCTTCGGGTGTGAGGTGGTCAGGAGATTACAGCACAATCGATCTGTGCGGAACGTGGAGTATTACCACCTCGTAAGTGTCGATTTTCTCCGGATAATTTACTACGTCGGGAGTAAAATGCCTCATTAAATGGAATTGGCCAAACATCTGAAAAATAGTGTTGAGACTCAGCGAGGCTTTTGGGTGTAAATAAAAGCCATTATTAGTATTACGTGCGTGCCACGTACAAGCCACCCTTAATGATGACCTCGGCACGTCTTGACAGCTAAGCTGGGTTGACTCTGACCAGCACCTGGATGGGAGAACAGCTAGGGAATATAAGATCGATTTGTGTGGTTAGTGTCAATTCACTCAGCAGAGGAACTCCATTATTGTCTTTTCTCTCTGAGCTCAAATTCACGAGTGTTCTCGCTGGCCACGGCAGTTTCCTCACAGAGGTAAAACAGAAAATATTCAAAAGAGGAAGCAACCAAATGTCCCATTGTAAGACTCTTTAGATGGAGTCCTGAGGCTCAGTGAGGCATTCTTGGTATTAAACATCGGTGTTCAATGGTAACAACAAAATAAGCAGGCAGTAAGTCTCCTTCATATCTATCTCACCACGTAAGAATGTTAAGATTTTTTGTTACACAACCCATGAGCCGCCCGGTCTTCTGGGAGTGGATGATTTCAGGAACAGAGAGACGGACTTATGAAGGAGACATTATCTGCGGATTTATATAATATATACATTCTCCACAATCACGCTCGTGTTTGCTTTCAGGTACGTAGTGATTTTTTTTAATCGACCAGTAAGTGTTCACGAGGGGCAAAATGAGAAGCTAACATTTGGGAGTTGAAATTCGGAAAACATGAAATTAACAAATTGAAAATAAATAAATGAACGGAGTTGGGCAGGACACCGAATAGCAGAGGGCAGAGATTAGCGACGGAACGGGTTGCCGATGGAGGGAAAGAGAAAGAGAACATGAGATGGTGAGACGAGGTGAGAAGATTTAGAAAAGCGCACTGGATGAAGCTGGCTGGACATCGTGAAGAGTGGAAGACATTGGGGCAGGAGGCCTTTCCCCAACTGTGGTATGTCCAGCAGATGTTGGCACCAAGGTTGTGGAACAGGCTTCCAGATGACCTTGAAATATTATGAATGCCACTCGCAATTAATTAATTTGAGACTAAATAAGAGAGAGATGAATTTCAGATGGTGTATAAATAACTCAAATGAAGTGAACAAAAAAACACATTTTAGCTTTTTAATGTTACTTATCTTGTCTTTACCACTCCTGTATTTTTTTTTATGAACTTTGTATTTGTTTGTCTGCAATCCTTGAAGGACTCAAGTATCTCCCATGTTCCGATACATCAGGATGCACTACGTGGGAGGCGCGGATGAAATAATAAAGCATGAAGACTACTCCGATGATGATGATGACGATGTTTATGCTTCCGGCTAAGAAAGCGTTTAAGGAAGTGTTCAGTGAGGGTCGTCCGTGCCTTACCCTGGGCCGGGGGAGCTGGCGAGCCCCCCGTGAGACGTAGAAGCGCCCCCTGCATTTGGGGATGGAGGGGAGGGGGCGGAGGGGGTAGCATCCCGCAGGGGCTCGAGTCCACCACTGAGGGCCCCCCCACGGAGAAGGATGGCAGCGAGACCCCCGAGGGGTCGCCCATCGACAGAGACATCGGCAGGTGGAAGCCAGAGGCCGGCTGGGAGAGAGGGAGAGAGGCACGGGGGTATAGGCACGGGGGGGAGAGAGGGGGAGAGAGAAGGGGAGAGGGGCACGGTTAGAGGGGCACGGGGGGACAGGCACGGGGGGACAGGCACGGGGGGACAGGCACGGGGGGAGAGGGGCACGGGGGGACAGGCACGGGGGGGGGGAGAGGGGGAGAGAGAAGGGGAGAGGGGCACGGTTAGAGGGGCACGGGGGGACAGGCACGGGGGGACAGGCACGGGGGGAGAGGGGCACGGGGGGACAGGCACGGGGGACAGGCACGGGGGGAGAGGGGCACGGGGGGACAGGCACGGGGGGGGGGGGGAGAGGGGGAGAGAGAAGGGGAGAGGGGCACGGTGAGAGGGGCACGGGGGGACAGGCACGGGGGGAGAGGGGCACGGGGGGACAGGCACGGGGGGGGGGGAGAGGGGGAGAGAGAAGGGGAGAGGGGCACGGTGAGAGGGGCACGGGGGGACAGGCACGGGGGGAGGGGGGGAAGGCACGGAGGGAGAGGGGGAGAGAGGCACGGGTTTGAGAGGCACGGGGAGAGGGGCACGGGGGGACAGGCACGGGGGGGGGGGGAAGTACGGGTTTGAGAGATACGGGGGGAGAGGCACAGGGGAGAGGCACGGGGGGGGGGCACGGGGGGACAGGCACGGAGGGGGGGAGGCACGGGTTTGAGAGGCACGGGGGAGAGGCACGGGGGGACAGGCACGGGTTTGAGAGGCACGGGGGGAGAGGCACGGGGGGGGGGGGGACAGGCACGGAGGGAGAGGGGGAGAGAGGCACGAGGAGCGAGAAGGGGAGAGAGAAGGAGAGAGAGGGTGAGACTAAACAGTGTGATTGACGTGACGAGAAATGTCACGAGTTCGTATGTCAGCCTGACTGTCAAGTCACTGTTACTCGCCCAAGTAATGTTCACCGCACAGAGTCGACCTGAGGATCATTCCGACCTGAAGAAACCGGGGACTTGATGAAGAGCTCTGCTAAATCCTGTGACCTTTGACCTATTTTTTAAAAGGAACCGAAATTCATGCAAAGCATTTTTTTTGAAATACTGCAGTCTAGAAAAGACTCACGAATACACATGGAGAGATGAGGAGACGAACGAATTTACAAATATAGATGCACCAAAACACAAAGCGTGATAGTGAGAGGGCAGATCAGATACACTGGCAGGCATCGGCAGAGATCGAAGCTTTACCATGCAGTAGCACAAAAAGCTATTTCGATACACTCAGAGACAGAAAGAAACATTAAATATGGACACAGAGACTGAGAGAAAGAGACACAACGACAAGTCTGTCAATTAATTCATGCACATTGGGTCAGATTGCCACGTGAGTAAAACGCCGATGTGTGCTGTGCACCCTCCTCCACCCGACACAGCAAAGCTAGTAACTTTGTCACGTGAACAATCGTGAAAATTTTTAGTATTTCTTCAGCGCACACGGAAATGCTGCGCAGCGATCAAAATTAATTCACGGAATCACAAAATGCAACTTGCAATATAAGCACTGTCTTTGAAACTGATTGGACCAATCAGTTTCAAAGATAATGCTTCATATATTATCAGAGCATGTTTTTTTGTTTGCATGTTCACCACAAGTATGCGTGTGGTTAATGCAGACAGGACTCCTTGAATAAAGGATTCTGTTCGGTGTTGTAACATCTTGACACCAGTTTTATTGCCAGAAAGGGTAAAACCTATTGTTCTATTGTTACACGTATGCATGTTGAACTTATTTTGCACTGTACGTAGCCAACCGTGCTATTTGAAGGTGCGGGGGAAGGACAACAAACTAAACACAAAGAGTAGCTGTAAGGAAATGAGTTTTCAATTTGGATTTAAAAGTGCTAAGCTCCAGTAGCTTCCTAATATCGTAAGGAAGAGCGTTCCAGACGGACACAGAAGCGGATCTGAAAGCGGGCGATGCGGTGACCGTCTTTGTTCGATGGCTATCCATAAAGCCGCTGCTGCTGCGAAGGTTCACGTGATGGTTTATGCTCCTTCGCGAGATCAGATAAACCATCACGCAAACTCCGGTCATCCTCGAAACGGCTTTTGGCGAGCCATTGAACAAACACGGTCACTGCATCGCACGCTTTCAGACGCACTTCTGCGGCCGTCTGGAATGCTCTTCCTTCCAATATCAGGACGCCACTGGAGCTGTGCACTTTAAAATTTAGATTGACAACTCATCCCTTGAGAACTGATTTTTGTGTTTGGTTTGTTGTCCTTCCCCCCGCACATCACGGTTGGCTATCGTACGGTACAAAATAAGTTCAACATACATACACACGCGCAGAAAGGTTGCTCCACATATGGTCGCCATCGTCGTCGTCGTCGTCCTCCTACTCAACGACGCCGAGACCTCGGACCGTCCGAGCGACCGCGGATCGCGCTCACCACGAGCTTCTGGCTGCGCATCATGCTGTCAAACTCCTCGTTGATGCGCCGGTATTTATCCTGGGTCCCCGGCGCGAGCAGGAATCCGCCGTCGAGGCCGTCGCCATCCTGTCCCTCGCCGCCGCTCTCACCTCCCTTGTGTTCCTTCTTGCTCAGCACCTGAGGCAGCAGGGAAGGGAGAGGGGCAAGAGCGTTTGGCGACAACGGTGGACACGCGGACTCTGGCTGGGAGCGGGCGATGAGCGTGAAAGGCTGTGGGCTGTTGCGTCAGGGGCAGTTATTTAAACACAGTTCAGTTCATTCATTAGGTATAGCTCTGTGAGCCATTCGGCTCTTGAATCGGGTGCAACCGCAGCAAACAAAAACATGAACAAGAAACGTCTTAAAGCGACTACGCGCAAACAGAAAAATCCAGGAAAAAACAGCAAAGTCTTCCAGAAAAAGCACCGTATATCAATGCTATATGCAAAAATCCCAGTGGGATGCAAGTCAAACAATAACAACCATAAGACAATTTAGATTAAAGTTATCAGTCTAACTCTGTACATTCTAGATTTGAAGCTTTCGTGACTGCAAGGATTTATATTCTTGGGTTTTTTCGGTAAAGTCACGTAGGTAAAAAAATAAAATTAATAAAAGTAAAATAAAAATACATACGTAGCTCTGTACAACAACAAACAAATATGGCTAATCCAAAACGTTTTCGAAATCACCAAAATAAAGTCATAAAAACAATGTAACAGTGATCATAGGAACTGTGATTCAAATTTAACAATAAACGATCTACATAACACGTACGACTAAACTTTGCAGCCATAGCTGGCAGCATGAGTCACTCCATAACAGCAGGAATATCAGTAGGAGTATCAACAATTTTCAATGCACCTTTAAAGATCAGACACGTGCGTAGGATGGATAACAACAACAACAACAGAAACATGTGAAAGTGTGATAATTGGTTTTTTACCCTTCTATCTGGCAACAAAACTGACACCTTTTTGCAAGGAGTCATGTTTGCATAGACCGCAATACCTGCAGTCATAATACAAACAAAAGAACATAACTCTGATAATGTGCACTGTCCTTGAAGTTGATTGGTCCACACCCGAGACAGCTTTCCTTCGAGCCTAGTCTCATATGGGTTGGACCAGATGACGCCAAAAGGCGCCTTTTGGCGTCATCTGGTCCAACCCATATGAGACTAGGCTCGAAGGAAAGCTGTCTCGGGTGTGGACCAATCAACTTCAAGGACAGTGCACATTATCAGAGTTATGTTCTTTTGTTTGTATTATGACTGCAGGTATTGCGGTCTATGCAAACATGACTCCTTGCAAAAAGGTGTCAGTTTTGTTGCCAGATAGAAGGGTAAAAAACCAATTATCATATTTTTACTGGCAAATGAGGTCCCCATAATGTGAAAGTGTGTTGTTGGGAAAAATGGAAAGAACCGGAAAGAGAGGAAGACCGAACACAAGATGGCTTGACGACGATTTAAGACGTCGGTGCCAGAAAGATGCCGCGCCGATGCTTCAGCGTATTGACGCAAGACGGACAGCGAAGTGGAGACAACTGGCGAAGTGTGCAGTGACCACCTACGGGACTATCTACCCATGGACCGCGATGACGACGATGACGATGATGATGTGTGTCAGGGGCAGCTATTCCCATACTTCACCATGTTGGACTGCGTCTCTTCCAGTTATCCCCCCCCCACCCCACAATTCTTCTTAAAAACCTCAAATCTGCCACCTGTACTTGACTCTCTCCGTTCATGTTTCTGATCTGTGTTGGTCAGTATCGGCCTCCACCCAAGCGTCCACAGAGATTTGTAGAGGGGGACTTAAGTGTGTTGTTTGCCCCCCAACGCACTAAATGGGGGGGGGGGGCAATAGCCCTCAGGATGCACTCCACCCCCGCCCCCTCCACCACCCCCACTTTCACCCATACTCTCGCTCACAAAGCCAAAAACTCACTCACTCAACCAAAGACAAACATCCTCTGTCGAGCCATAAGAAAATGTTGGGGCAAGTGCTGTTAGCGAGCACCTATGAAGGCCGGCACGGCACATGAGGGGTTGGGTGGCCAACACCACGCCCGACCGCCTTTGTCTTCCTTGTGGCGTTAATTACACACCGCACCAGGTACTAATTTAAGGCTATGTCGACATAGGAGAGGCCCAGGACCGGTTCAGATAATCGTCACCGGTGTTGGCCGTGAGAGGGAATCGAACTCGGGTTGCTGAGGTCGTAGTGCAACGCGCTAACTGCTGCGCCACCGCTCCTCACTCACGCAACCACTCACTCGTTCACATACACACACGCACACCACACTCACTTCTTATCACCGTCTCACTCAGACTCTCAGCCCACTCACTCACCGACTCAACCACTCACTCTCTCACTCACGCTCTCACTCAATCTCTCAAAGCTCTCACTCCCTGCCTCCCCAGTCAGCACATCGCTGGGATAGACACCTGTTGCTCCACCCACACCTGTTGCGGCTCTGACAGCCAGCCGCATGACATCACTCATAGCCCTTGCCTTAGATGGGATCGTGTGGGCACGCGCGCGAGGGGCAGGACACACCAACACACACACGGGCACCCACATGGGGACACAAAGATCAAAGATCCCCCGTATAGCCTTAACAGACTGTAGGGGCAAGTGCTGTTAGCGAGCACCTATGAAGGCCGGAACGGTACACGAGGGGGTGGGTGGCCAGCACCACGCCCGACCGCCTTTGTCTCCCCAGTGGCGATGTTTACACACCACACCAGGTACTCATTTGAGGCTGAGTCGACCGAGGGGAGGCCCAGGACCGGTTCAGATAATCGTCACTGGTGTTGGCCGTGAGCGGGGATCGAACCCGGGTCGCCAGGTTCATAGCGCAGCGCGCTAACCGCTACACCACCGCTCCCCGCAACATGGGGACACACACACTCACTCACACGCACGCACGCACGCGCGCGCAGAGAGAGACAGATCTCTCCCTCTGGGTCTGCTTTATCAATCATCAGTGATTGACCCAGGTCACCTGTACTGTGTCTACACATACGGTGCGAAAGAAGTTCAACAAACATACGTTTAAATAAAAAAACATGTTCGAGTCCATTGGCTTTCCACGCGGACATTATCCCGCGGCGTTTTTTTTAAGCAAGCAAACGCTGGAACAGTTTTTATTACATTTTTTTTAATTCTCTGGGTCTCTTCGGCAGAGTCGGGTGGGGTTGTCAAATGTTATTAGCCAAAGAGCCCAGTCTCAACGATGGGGCTCTGTCCAATGCATAAAAACTCATTGTGCGTTATGGGTAAAAGTGTGCACTGGCTTAGCAGAACTGTAATGTACTTCACATCTCGAGATATTTGTTTTTCAATTCCCACAACAGAGTTATTCTGACTTTTATGAACGCAGCTTTTTGTTTTTCCTGCAGTCCACTGGTGCACGGTGGTTGTAGCGTCGCCCTGTATTTAACGGTGACAAACACATTGATTTAGCAATGTTTTTTTTATTATCATTACGATTTGATGGAATTCTTCGTGTGTCGCTCATTGTGCATTACAACCTATTGACTTAGTCACAAATGCTTTTACTAATCAGAATTTAAAGGACGCGTATTTATTTCATTCTGGTCCCGAGCGGGGTGCAAATTTGTTAGGAAGGACGTTTACATTCGCGTCCAACGATTTTCCCAGTAACTTTAAATGGCATAGACGACCGCTTTACAAGCCCTATTTCGATCCACTGCTGGATGAAGGCCTCTCCATGCTCTGTCAGTCATGGGGGCAGCTTGACCACGCTTCACCACGATGGTCAGTGCCCGTTGATGAAGGGGGGAAGCCTAGGTCTGGTTCGGATCTCACTCGCCACACGCCCAGCATGCAAACAGCTCCTTCTCCACCGCTCCCAACAAACACCACTTGAATTAACAACTAAAACTTGAGGACAGGGAAATATACATATTATTCGGCACTTATTCTAGCCTTCCCCTGGCAATGAGGGCTTACTCGTCACGGGCAAAGGGCGGTCCACTCACCTGCACCCAACAGCTTAAGAGTGCGGCCGAGAAGCTGAAAGGACAATTGGGTCACCCAGTCTCGTTCTAATTACAACGGCAACGGTCAGTCCGATTAACGTCGCGACTTTTGGTGAGGGGCCAGTCCAAGGTGCCTTCCAAACTTCGTCAGATGACGAGAATTGCCCGCAAACTACTCAGTTGGGATTACGCATCGCGTCCGTCGCCCCCCTACTGGCAGACGAATGGCCAAGGCCACTCTCTTTCAAATGTGACTCCGATTAGTGTGGTTGGCTACGTACGGTGCGAACGAAATTCAATATACACACACATGCAAAGACAAAGATCCCCCGTATAGCCTGTAACAGACTGTTAGGGCAAGTGCTATTAGTGAGCACGTAAGAAGGCTGGCACGGCACACGAGGGGGTGGGTGGCCAACACTGCTCCCTGCCGCCTTTGTCTCCCCAGCAGTGATGTTCATACGCCGCACCAGCTCCTCAATTGAGGCTGGGTCGACCTGCGGGAGGCCCAAGACCGGTTCAGATAATAGTCACAGGTGAAGGTCGTCAGTGGAAATCAAAATCTGGTCGCCGGGTTCGTAGCACAACGTGATAACCGCCACGCCACCACTCCCAACTAACACATACACATACATACACACATACACATACCTACACATACATACACACATACACATACCCTGTCAACCCATACGGTTACCCCGTATTCGTGTGCAGGGAAATTGAGTTTTCAGGTCCATACGGCGTACAGCCGTTTCAATAAGGGTAAAAAAGAATGTTTGTCAATTTGTTTGTGTTTCTCCCTTGTGATGGGACTTTGCAGGACGAATGTTGAGATTTATACGGGCACGGGGTGACCAATAAGGTCTGAACTGGTCTGTAATAAGGTAGACACTGATGGAGGGGTTGACGGGTATGCGTACATACGCACACACAGACACAGAACACACGCCGTCCGCTTCACAGTGGACGATAAAGATCCCGTGGCGTAACGGCAATACGAGTCGGCCATTGTGTGCCAGTTTGCAAAATTTGACAAAATTTTTTGTGACAAACAAATGCTTCGCGAGCAACAGTTGCCCCCTGCTGCGAAAACTTGGCACGACCCTCCTGCAAAAAAAGAGTA